AAGATTCATTATCTCTGGAATTCTAATTCCTGTGGAAAAATAAAGCATTAATTAAAAGATACAAAAACGCTAAACTTCCGTAAAATTAAAATCACTGAATTTAATTCAATCATAGAATTAATTCATTTAAAATCTAAATACTTTTGTTAATAGATCAATTAATATCATTATTTGCCTGAACTTTTTTCAATGTAAGTTTTCAATTCTTCAGATACATAAAAATGGTATTTATTTCTTTCAATTTTTGCAAAGTAGTCAACATTTTCCGTATATTAAAAAAAGTTTATTAATCAGCTGCTGAATTTAATTTAAGATAATTAAAATTAATGTTTTTTCCTATTAAAAAAATCCCAAAAAGTGCAGCCACTCCCCTCACAAGGTGAAAGTTGATGATCAAGTGCAGTGGTGTCTTTTCGTGTCACAATCGGTGGGCATGTGTCGCATTATAGCGCTCTATGGGGCCCCCTAGACTCCGGCCACACATCCGCAGGACCACGTTTGACACTCTTGCGAGGTTCGGACCACACATTTCTGAGCCTAAAAAGAACCCCATGTCTTTTTCCACGACGTTTCTTGGCCGTATTTACAGATTGTCATATTTTCCATCAAATTTTAACTCACCTCTAATAAGTTCAAACCGCATTTGATTTTATTACAAACTTAAGAATTTCTTAATTTTTGTGATTTAAAAATAAATTCCATATCGCATCCTCCGGAATGAAAATTGTGGAAAATGTTGCAGAAATTTGACATTTTCCGGCGAAACGTGTTCAACGCCACCTAGGACGAGTTAGAACAAGTTGAGCGGCCAGGTTGCGCCCTGAAGGGGGTGGTTTGTTTTGAAGAAGAGCGCTGAGGGATGCAACCAGCAAAACACAAGAGTTTCCCCAACAAAAATCAAAGTGATTTGATCCAAATTTGTGCATAAAAACTTAAGAAATACTAGGCACAAAGAAAGGACTGTTGGTCTTTCCAGGGTTGTGTAAGGTTTGAATTTTTCAATCGGAAAATTCCATCTCGACAGATTTGAATCACTTTCTTTAAACGATCGAGCCGCATTTTATTGACATTCACTTTAAAGTGACCCATTTAAAAAAAAAATCAATTCATTAGCTCATTAGCTTCAATGAAAATATGAATTATTACGATTTTTTTAATTCCCATAAGAGTTTAAATCAATTGAAAGATAATTTATTTTTCGAAATGAGCGATTGTATTGATTAAAAGCATTCATTCATTTCCCAAATAAAAATTTGACTCACTTCATGATAAAGATTAGTTAAAAGAACACTTAATTCATTCTAGCCTTCCTATGCATTTTTGTGTGCATTCTATGCTGGTATAAATTTAATTAAAATAATTTTTGTGCGTTGAAATAAAGAGATAAATAATTATAACTTTCAAGAATTACAAAATAGAAATATTTAGCTTTTAAAGTTCATAAGGTCAATCCTTTTTTCTATCAAAACTTTTAATTTTTATAAAATAATTCGAAATTTTCCAATCTTATATATAAAATGTTCCAAATTTAACTAATTTTTTTAATGCATTTTTACGGAAGAACTGGGAAGAACAGTTTATTATTTGCAGTTGGAGTTTCATCTTTATTTAATTAAGAAGTGCTCGTCTTCATTGCAGCATGAAGAACGCACATTTTTAGAGCGTGGCTTGCAACGCTTCTCTTTGTTTTTGCTCATTGCAGCGTGTATATGAAAATTGAAAGGAAATACCCTCGCGCCGAATTTCGTTGTGCCGCGGGGCGATCGGCGCGCGACTTTTTTGAACCGAATGCGCGTCTAGACGAAATATCTTCTCACACTTTTGTTTGCGGCATCGGAATGAGTGACAAACACATGCTTCAAATGACAACTAGTTGCACCGCGACTTGACTTATGCGACTCCGAGGGCGGCGGACGCGAATCTCGGCTCGCCGCCGTGTCACAAAACACAGCTGCGTACGTCAAAATTTCATACACTTCTTGATCAGCTCTCGCGTCGCGCCGCGGCAACAAAGGCAGACAGACGTGTCGCGCAATCCGCGGTCTTTCATTCATCTCTCGAAGCGGCCGGCGATCGTGACGAGGATGCATGAAATCTCAATCTTAAACTTTTTGCATCTCCGATTGGAGACAGTAAAAAAGGAGCAACTCAAATCCATAACTGGAAGTAAATAATAATTTATAAAAATATTATTTTCCAACTGCCGATCGAATTTTGTCTTGAATATCTTGGAGCAATTTTCAAACGATAATTTAATTAGCATTTTTTTTTCTTTAGTTCCTGCTTAAACGTTAGAAATTCCGTTATGTATGGATAAATAACAAAATGTTTAAACTTCAATTTAAATTTAAATTCTATGTAGTCACCATTTTAATAAATGATCTTTAATTTCCTGTCCTTTCGATTTGATTCCCTGTTAAAATGAAAAAATATTAAAATTCTAACCTAGTTATTGTTCAGATTATTTTTTCCTCACTTAAAGTATTTTCTTACTTCACCTAATGTAAAATTTGTACTTTTCGGTAAAAAAAATTAATAATAATTAATGAGTTCACTAACGAATTCAAAATATTTCAATTAATGCTGATTTAAATACATAATATGATTAATTTTTGCAATTGTAAAATAAAATGGGTGCTAGGAAAATTTGGTGCTAAATGGTGCGTCGTTTACTCAGACAAATGGAGAGCAAGGCGGCATTTAATTATCGGCGAGAGCGCGAGAGAGAGAAGCGTGGTGGCGGCGTTTCGGGCGCACAAAGGTGCTCATTGTGTTGATTGTTTGTAACGCGAGCCCTAATGAGAAACTGATTTGCTCGAGTAATAATCCTCCCGCGATCTCGTGTGACCTTTGAAGTGGTAATGAGTGCGCGCGAATTCAAGTCAGACTTCATTAAATCGCGCGCGCGGGGCGAATTAACTGCCGAGTCGAGGGTGAGCAAAACAAAAGACGCCGCGTTCTCCGCTGATATAAAAGTACACGCGGAAAAGGCTTTTGTGCAGAGGCGCGGATGTTCAAGAAGTGGAAAATGATGTGCACACCAAAACACACCGCGCGCGAGGCTCCACTTTGCACTTTGATTAAAAGCTGCTCCAAAAACTCTCCCTGCGTTTTAAATGGTGATGCTTCAAAGCCTTCAAAGGAGAAAACGATTTGGAAGGAAATTGAGAAAATTTTTAATAATATCTTACATCGCAGGAACGAAATTAAAAATTTAAGTTTTTAAAAAAGTAGGTTTCGACAAATTTATTTCAATGCTTTTTATAAATAATTTTGGGGTTGGTTGTCCTTTATTTATTTAATTTTTTTTTAATTTTTCTTTGCTCTTGGTTCACCCGGTTTCAATTTTTCGTTTATTTTTATTTCTAAAAACAATTTTCTAAAATATCGTCAAAATTTGCCAGATCAAAACTTATTAAAATTATTTAAGTTTGCAAATTAAAATCAATAATAAGGCTTCACATCTAAATTTACATTGGTCTGAAGGGTTTGATTGCTCAGTGCAGATTTAAATTCTTGTGTTTTATTATTACTTATCCCTCTCTGTAGTGCCAAAATTAAAAAATGCAATAAAAAAGGTTTCCGATATATTGGCAGATCTGATGTTAGAACGCCCAACATTTAAATCGGCCGCAGCGGTAAATTTATTTTATTTATATTAAAATTTGCAATTACTTATAATAAAAGATGAAAAAATTGCTCTCAAGCAAGCAATATTGCATCTACATGTGAATAAATGTGAATGAAACTTATTAAAATGGAGGTATCATGATAATTTTCAAGATACCTTTCAATACAATTTTATAATTTATTAATTCATAAATAAGTCTATTGTTTCAGTCCTCCAGTGTAAGAGCTCTGCAGCCTCAATAATAATAGGAAGCACTCATGCGGAGAATTTATAAAAGAAATGGACATTAATATAATTAATTACGCTGTTATAATTATTCACTATTCAATAAAAAATATAAATTAAATATTTTAAATAATATATTATAAAATAATAAATAATTTATAAAATAAAATAAGAAAAAATGTAAAAATAAATATTACAAATAAATCATATAAATATATTTTTAAATTATTATAACTAGTTGGTAAATATATGCAATAATCACTCAAATTGCAAAGACAAATCAAATAGAAATTTAACAAAGACTGGGATTTACCAAATGTAAATCCCCAGTTAAATAAAGTTTTCTTCCAATTTCATTAAAATAAGAAATTCTATACAATTTAATTAATATATTTTGAAGAATTATAATTATTTAATATAATTTTATGAAGTTTTTGAGTATGCCAAGATTTTTTACGGTAGTATGAAAATTCATCACGTTTCTCTTTCTGTGCTCTTTTAATGTGTTGCAGGTTTGAACCTTATAAAGTGCAGTTAAGAAAAGAATAAATTCCGTGATTACAGTTGTATGCATCAACTTGTCACTCCGTCGCAAATTGCAACAGAATGAATGGAAAGCTCGACGTCTTTGATGGACGCAGGTGAGGTCCGAGCTGACAAATTCTGCCTCGCAGAACAAAAACTAAAAATGCATCGCTTGAAATTCTCATTCTTTCATATATAATGTCTGACGTGACGACGACTTCTTCGCATTATACGAAGGTAATAAAATAAAATTGCTATTCGCATTGGTAAAATTGGCGAGTTATAATTTAATTACTGCAATAATTAAAATTATTACGAATTTGTTTAAAAAGTCAGATTAGAATTTTTTAATTTAGATTTTTAGTGATTTCGGCGAGCAAATTAGAAATTCCGAGCTTTCCTCGAAATAATAATTCAAGTTTTCAAAAGAGGAATAATTTTCCGGGTCATAAACGCAACTTTCCCGAAATGAGCCGTTCGTTGTCAAAAATTCGCAGCGAGGTGTCAAGTCTGCCTCGGAATGTAACGAGAAAATTAATAATTAAGCGGCGCACAACAACAACACGGCGGAATTTAATTATAAACGCTGCAAAGTTGGGCGTCAGAATGCAAATTTTACCTTTGGCTCGGCACGGTCGCGGGGAGGGTTGAGTCTGCGTGAGAGTTGCGCGTCCTGCGACATCATCGTCTCTTGTCCTCGGGCTCGGTCCTTCTTTTTCCTTCCAGGTGTGTCGGTTTCGTCCTCGTCGCCAAGCCTTGATCTTGCCTCGGCTCACTCTCGATGCAGACTGGGGCCGCTGCACTCGGCGACCCGACAAGGTCAACTTGATGACGAATGACGACCCACCCGAGTTTGGCGGAATTCGATGCACTCGCCACCGATTGACGCGGCTTTTGCAACTTCTTCTCACCTCGTCTCTGTGCTTTTCTATTTTCAGGCTCCGCCTTCTTTTATGCTTTTTGTTCATCGCGCCTCTGTTCAAATATACAGCGCCAATCTTATGAATCATCAAACTTGCTGAAATCTTAATTACATACATAATTACTCAAAATTATGCTATGTTCCAGCAACGGTGGCTTTGTGAAAGTCTGAAATCAAAGTCTAAATAATAATTCGGAATAAGAAAAATTTCAAAATCAAGATATGAGGAGATTAAATCTACTTTCCGCTACTTTCATTTTGTACATAAATATGTAAATTAAATGATTATTAATAATAAAGTATTCAATTATTAATTAAAATGTGCTATAATTATAAGTGATCTTCTCAATTTTTTTGCTCCCTTTACATTTTTTTCGAGGATGTAATCTTCCAGTAAAAAGAAATGCTGTCTTTACTACATAGTTTGAAATTGATGAATTATGTAATATATATTATTCAAAGATGAATTCTGTTTGAGCAACGTAATTTAAAGATTATTTCAGATTGAAAATTAACATTGAAGACATGGATAAACCATGAAAAATTAAAAATTCCTTTTTTTAATGCTTATATTAACTAGAAGTGCACGAACAACAACTGCTGAGAATGATTTGATTTTGCAAAAAAAATCATGTTTTTGAACAAGTAATTTTACAATTTTTATCTGAATTAATTCGTATTTTTAGGTGGCATGATTTAGTGAAATAATCATTAAAAACAGCAAGGCGTATGACTTTAAGTAACTTGTAGAGAAATTTTATAAATGATTGAGAGGGTTGATTCACGGTATTTGAATTTAAATTCAGTTTATCAGGTTCAAATTCAGGTTTATGAGTCGATATATGTAATTGTTTGATAGAATAAACAACATTATAAAAATTACTCAAAGAACCCATCAAGGAAAAGTCAAATTAAAAAATTACGAGTTTTAGCACTTTGATTTTAGAAAATTGTCCTCCAACGTGATTAAAATTTTTGCTGAATTTTATACATTGACTTTTGTTGCAAGAGAATAAAAAGAATTAATAAAAATACTTCGATTTTCGTGATAATTTGAATTTTTTTTACCTTTTTCTTAGCAATTATCGCAGCATCAGTTTTTAGATAATCCTCGTCATTCAGAATCTTCTTGGAATTAATTGGAAAATTTTGAACAGCGAAAATTAATTCAAAATACAAAAGGTAGTTTTTTTTATAATTTCATCTTCGTTGGTATAAAAGCTGATTATTGGTCCCGTCATCAATTTTTGCATTTTTTTTCTGTCATGAATCATGACTTTATGAAATCCAAATTTAAACCGTTCCTTTAATTTGAAACTTTTTTATAGTATCTCTGCCAATTAAGAGTTTCAATCTCTATCTTTTCTGTTGTCTTCTTTTTATGCATGAAAAACCATTATTTTATCCGTTAAAGAGTGAACAAAGAAAAGGCACGATTTGGAGGTTTCATTTGTTTTGTTTTTAGTTACAGCAGCTTTTTATATTGTGGTGCTTCTTTTCTTGTTACTTTTCACAAAGCACAGCCAGCGAAGGTTAGAAAATTATTGCTCCGCTTAGCACTGTGAATAAAATTTTATAGGCCCAGGTTCTGTGAGAAAAGTAAGAGGAGAAAAATTCAGCCGGGCCAAACGAAAATTTATTCTTTGCCGGCAGAGGAAGAACAGAGAGCACGGAATTTAATTTGGCTATAAATTGAAATGTAGATTCACGGGTTGATTCGAGCAGATGAAATGAAACTAGGATACATGTTTAAGGTTGTTATTCGCTATTTATTTCGCCATAATAATCGTATTATGATCTGCGCTATAAGAACTTGGAAAACAGTAGTGTGTGTGTTTTATATTTTATTGCACATCAGAAATAAGCAAAATTTGTTTTTCAACAGCAGCAGAAGAGAATGCAGGTCGATTCAGATCCGATTGACAGTAAAAAACGAAACTTTGAATTATCCTTCCTATATTTGCGCGAGGTTTTCTTAAAACATTTCAACAACAATATTTGATCAATTGAATAATATAGCGTCCTGCTTGCAATGAATTAGTTTCGATTGAGTCGCTCTTTACCATGGCTTGTTTGCTTCCACACATAAATTTTGCGAAATGATCCACCATTTCTTTCTTTAATATACAACTTTGGGTTATACACAGTTATGAGAGAGAGATGAGAGTGACTTCAATACATGATTTTGCAAATTTATCCTGTGTGTGTCTTGATTATATTTACAATTTTTTTCGATGAACGTCTCTTGCAACTAATCTCGTCATCTAAAATTTTATGCAGAGCAATGAAGTGACAACACAACGATTTGATTAAGTATGTATGCAATTTTTTTAAGTAGCAACAACACTTATTCAAAATTGTCACCTATACTTGATTATTTCTTTCTTTCTTGCATCACCTTTTTCTCCTCTAATTATCATTTTTATTATAATTATTTTACACGTCTCGTTTTTCGTGATCAGAAGACGAAACCACAACTTTGACTTGAGTTTGCGAATCGGTCAATTTCTTCTCTAATTTTTGATTCTGTCTTTTTATTCCTCGAGCGAACGCGCGCGTCTCTTTTGCACAAACATACACATTCACATACTGCCGCACTTTGTCTTGTGTTCTTGCACTAATAAATCAAGTTAGTCGACACTTTGAGAGGAGAATGCTGCGAGGATTATTTTATTATTCCAGCAGCAAGTCGACTTTAGAACCAGTACAGATCCTTCGACGGCTCCTGCACCTGCGCTTCCAGACCTGTGAACAAATGAGAGTCAAGTTTTATTACAACTGCCAGTGGAATAGATGCAACGAAAACTGTTCAAAATGAGGGTAAATGTTTCATGGAAATTTAAAAAAAGCTTGTTTGGATGATATATTATAATTTAAAATAACTTTTATACAAATAATTTTTAAAATATTTTATTAAAGCAAGGTTTTATTTTCAATCTTTAATTAATTACTTGTAATAAGTATTTATTTAAATTATTGAAATTTTTTAATAATATTATTTTAAGTAATAATTTTGTACTTCTTCTCCCATGTTTTTCTTATTACAGATGGTTTTAATGAATTTTTCTTAACTTTAAATATTATAAATTTATGGTGTCACTTCAGTTGTTCTAATTATCTGTAGTAAAATTGCAATCACTTTAAAATGCTTTTTGATGCGTAACATTATATAATTATATTTGTTATTTAAAATTATTAATCTATTTTCTGCTCGGTATTGTAAGACGAAACCCTATTTCAAACATTTCAGTTCAGTTTACTAAGTTTTAGTAACCATAAAATTTTGTTTTGTTTTCAAATACAGTAATATTATGTTAGATAGAACATAAATTTGCTTTGAAAAACTAGCACTGCGATTTATGGTTGACAAATTTCAAAGCTCCATTCAGAAAGGAGCAGACAAATTTGTGGCAGCTCCGGTGCAATAATTACCATCCAGACTGACAATGAAATGTGATTCTTCTGCAATTAATCTCTTTTGTGCTTCCCCAAAGCTCGATAAAGGACACGAAATTAGTGAAATTTATCGTCTCGAGGCTCCTGGGGTTTCATTACCGAAATTAATAAGGGCTGATTTTTTTTTGTGAGTCGGGGCAGAAAAGTCACGAAATGCATCAATAAAGGAGCGCGACAGCCCCTCACACTTGTCGTCGTCGGCGGTTATTTTGAGACACTTTTAGGATAATAGCGCGGGCGAGTGACGTGAAATAAATAAGACAATGGGGTGTGCGTGCCTTGAGAAGGCGAGGGCGCCCCTTTTATTGTAAATCGCTTCTCTCTGAGGTTTTAGATTATCCAGCAGATGTGGTGCCCAAATTTATTGCACGCTGCGCTGCATCATTAACGCGCCCCGCAGCCCAAAATCCAGCACTGAATTATATAACGCGCCGAGAAATTGCCTCTCCCTTTTCAAATTCCTTCGCTCCACATTACAATATTTCACCGATTTGGGCCTGGGGTTGCTCCTCGGAATCAATTTCGAGTGACTTTTATTAAAGTTTCGAGCTTTTACAAATTGAGACTTTCCCTTTTTAACAAATTTGCCGGGTAGTTTTGCGCAGTTTCACTGTGGCAACCAGTTCTAAAATATATTTTAATTCTCAATCGCACCAAATTAATAAATTCTTTATTTAGTAAAGATCAAAAAGAATCTTATATTTCCAGGTACAACTTTGTCAAAACCAAAAGAAAAGGATGCACTAAAACTGTTAATACCATAACACTTTGCTTCTTTTCAAGAATTATATTTAAAATCTTACTGTTCAGATCCATGAAACCTTGGAAAATTTTATTGAATTTGAATAGATTCCCAAATCACTCAATTCAAATGAAAGGTTATTTTTTTTAAGTTCATTTATTAGTGCAGGTTGCTTGAGCGATCGTTGAAGAATAAGAAAATTTGTATTAAAAAAACTGAAAAGAAACGAAGCATTTTTTCCTTTTTATATTTTTCTTTCTAGACGAAGAGATTGCTTTTGAAGCGAACCAAAACCACCAGTTAGATAAAATTCAATGCACTGCTCTCTGACTAATACAGGAATTTTTTAATAAAAACCATTTTTCAACCAGGGAAAAAACTGCTAACTTATTTACTAAAAAGAAAAGTTGCTTTGGTTAAGGTTAAAATTTTAAGTTTAATTTTTTTTTCGTCATTTCTCACGCAATTTGAAGTAAAAAATAAGGATCGGACGCCTTTTCATTCCGAACCACACAATTTTGTTTCCCTGCACCTATAACAGCTTTTTGCTTTTCCGCTGAAAAATCACGCTCTGTCCGTTCTATGTATTAGCTGCTGTGTGGCGCGGCAGCAGGCCAGTCGCCGCTTTTATTCTCTCTTTCCACGAATTTATCGATCCGTTTATATAAAAGACGCCATTATATTTCCTCTCTTTCTCTCTCTCTCATATTCCTGGTGCGCGCGGCTGGCAAAAGAGCCGCCGACTCTCACCCACCGCCGCGCATTTTTATTTGATATGTCAGTTTTCATGCTCGTATATAGTGTACTCGTGGGTGCGGTTTTAAAATGATATCCGTCGCCTTTGTGCCGCATACGAGATAAGAGCTCACATATTGCGTGGAATAAAGTGACGTACGTACGCTTTTTATTTTAACCAATACGTCGAGGGCGCACCTACGTGGAAAAAAATTTGCCGCTTTTCCCTCTTCTTTCCAATAAGCTCAAGAAGTGCTCCAGTTCTTTATCGTCGGAAAAGGGAAAACGTATGTTGTGTCTGCAAAAAAAACCGGAGCAGGAAAGAAAATAATACTTTTCGACTTTATTTCCATTTGATGATGCGTTTGAGATCAAAAATTCCTTCCTAGAAATATTCTCGCAAAACGATATAAAATTGTATTTTTAGTTGCAGGAAAATGTATAAAGCTGCAAAGATATTGCCTTTTTGATTTGGAAAAAACTTTGGAAATAAATGCTATTTGAAATCTTTGGAGAGAGAAAAAAACACAAAAATGATGTTGTTTTTGTTATTGTTTCTGGATTTTCTCACAATAATTATATCAAAGTTCTTTGAAAATTAAAACTAAAATATTGTAAAGGCTGCTCAAAACATGAAAATATCAAAAAATATGTGCAAAGTAATTATAATTGAAAGAAAGAAAAAACTTAATATTAAATAAAGCTTTGAATTTAGTTTATTTCTTGTAGAAAAGAATCTTCTGAAGTTTTTGGCGCTGCAAACAATTATTTTGTGAAGATATGAAGATAATTGTTATAATAATTTCTTTATTTCGGCACATCAAGGTCCAACGCTAGCACCAGCAATTAGAGAGTTTCGCAAGGTTTCAAATGGCCGCTTCCAGGAACACCGTCTATCGCACTGATTTCCACGAACGAATATTGCGTATCACCTCTCTGACTAATTATTGCGAGAGTGCTTCCTGCGTGCGGGAAAGAGGGAGCCAGATTATTTTATGATAAAAAGTTTCTGCCCGTGGCAAATTTATTACATGAAAAATGCCACTTCAGTAAAAACGAGACCGCGTTCGGGACAAAAATAAAAATTTCGACGAGAGGGGCTCGGAACAAAAGGACTGACTAATTATTACCCCATTGTCATTATTGTGTCTGGGCCGTTGGACGTGTATGTACATAAAATAGAGCATCGGGGGCAGAGGGAATAATAATGAGAGATAGAGCCGGGGCGCGGCCATATTGAGACAGGAGCGGGCGAGAGAGATGATCAAGGCATTCCGCGCATTCCGATGGAACTTCACCCTCTATTCTGATGCGCTCGCTCGCTTTTGCTCTCTCCGCCGCCGCCGCTTTCTATATTCTGTGTGTGTATCACCCATCCACCTTTTATAATTTAATAATATTATCAACTTCATTGTGTAGTCCCTTCTCGCACGAGCGCCCCAGTCAGTATTTATTACAATATTATTAATAATAACTGACAGAGAGAGAGAGACGAGACATTTAATGCGAGCTACCCCTGCAAAATATGCAAAATTTATAAATACTGAAGCTGCAATTTTGCCCTCGAGAATGATATTAAGAGGGAAAATTAAAAAAAGGGCAGGGTTTGAAACCCTCATTTTTTCTGTATATCCACTTGTTTTAAGAATCTAATCCAAAATTCCAAAATGTATAAAAAGTGTTTTCGGCTCAAAAATTCGTTTTGTAAAAAAATCTTTACGAATTATGATGCAAAGTATTATGTAAATTTGAATATGATTTAATGTTTTACTTTTTTTCCCTTTTTTTTAGTTTTCAATTAGCTTTTAATGCACAATTTTGAATGAATTTTTTTTTTTTAAAAATGCCATTTCAACGTAGTTCTCTACGTATTTATTCAAGCAAACGACTTTTTTTAAGAGAAATTAATGGACTTTTGAATTAGCATGAACGTCATAAACATTAGAAGCATAAAAACAAAATATCCTTAAATTTGACAACAGAATTTTAAAAATTGACTTGATTATAAAAGCAATTTTTGAGATCTTATAGATCTTTACCTTAAAAGCGACCGCAAGCTAGGACATTTTCAACCAAATTTCAAGCCTTAAAGTCGTTTAAAAAGGAAAATAATTGCCAGTCTAAAAATGTGTTCCGCAAATGTAAGTTAAACCGAAAGAAGCAAATAAATTTCAAAAATAAGTTAAAAATTTCAAAGCTTCATTTGACTTTTGAAACTCGAGGAGATGATCATGGAAACGAAGAGATCGGGCTTTTCCTCGTTGCGAAAATTGTTATTATTCAAACCATTTTGAAGGATTTATTATTTAATAAAAACAATTTTCGCAACGAGGAAAAGCCCGATCTCTTCATTTCCTTAATTTGGCTTATCAACTTATCTGAACTGAAAATGCTAAATTTGGTTGGAAAAACTTAATCGACAGGGTTTTTTTTTTGTCTTGCGTGGCATGAAAAACCTGCGCAAACTGCTGAAAAGTGAGGGCGTATATAATTTTGTAACTGGTGGACTTGAGAGTCATAATACTTTGTGCCCATTTGTGAGAGGCGAAAGTAACCAATTACAGCGGCTAAAGGGACCAAGTCTGTTTTATAAATAAACCATATAAGGAGCGCAATAACGTTTTCGGCTTTTATATAACACGAATTTCGCGCAGCTCCACTTTCACGAGATATTTGAGAGCGGATTGAGTGATCTCGGGGGTTATGTTGAGGAGCCCGGCCGACTCTGCGCTTAAGCACATGTGCACGCGATATGCCCTGCGCTTGATCTTTCACCTATCCCAGCAGCAGCAGCTACAAAGGCAACCGCACAACAGTAGCTCCTCCACTTTCTTTCGCCCGGTGCTGCTGTTTTATTAGTCAAGTGAATGCACTACTTTAAGTTTAATCAAAGCCCCCGTGTTTGAGAGCGCTCCATAAATATTCTACAGAGAAAGAGAGCTTCTCTCTCTCTCAACCCTTTAGCTTTCTCGCTGCTTGAGGAGAGAAGAGGCTCTTTTTCGCGTGCACTTTTAATGAAGAGGGAAGCACCTCTAAAAAGCATTCCTTCCTTAAACTTTGCTCCCCAACCGTTTCGGCGCATAATGTGCCAGAGAGAGCACATGAATTCTTTGAGCCGCCGGATGAGTTTGGCAGCGACGCAAATTATACTCGCAGCGTCAAACAATTCCGTATTATCTGCGCAGGAGATCATCCCCTTTCTCTGCAAACACCGAGGGAGCAGACGTCATTAAAACGCTCAAATTTACAATTTGGAAAATTATTATAAAAAAAAGTAGACGCGACGTTGGTTTTCTTAAAAAATGATCAGAAAAAGTTTAAACTTCAATTGAAAATTATTTTATAAAAAAATACCATAATTGCTTTTAAATACAAAATAATTGTCATCCTATTTACAGTTTTGGCATTCATTTGATTCATATTTCAATAAAACTGTCCTGAATTCCAAGGTGCATAACGACTTACAATTTTAAATTCACATATCAAAATAAGATTTAAATTTCTACTTTATATTAAAACAAGCAGAACTAATGAAAATTCGTTTCGTGTATATGTTAATACTTGGTGTGGTAAATAATTTATTCGTAATGAATCGAACATGCTGCGCGAGAGAACAATTAAACGTTGCTCAGCTTCTACGACTTGGTGTCGCGTCTCGTAATTAATTGTAACTGGAGCAAGGATGCAGCCGAGCTGGTTGCATACCCAGCGCGGATCCAGAGAGAGCTCGCAGCCAAAGAGATGCGGTGACGTCACGTTTGATATCGTGTAATCGATGAAGTCCTTGCCGCCTCTTTGACCAATGAAACACCAGCTATTTGACCACACCCTCGTCTCTTTTGCTCAAATTCGTTCAAAATTGAGACCGGAGTTTGACGCCGATGCAAATTGACACTCTACATTTTTCACCCTTTCCCAATCGAATTCCTAAAAAGTTTTCACAAACCATTGATTCACAAAAATAGCTCCCAATACAGGATATTTGTTTTGTTTAACAACTTTGAAAGAAAACAGATTGGCTTTTTGCTTTAAAAATTCCCAGTGGCATTTAGACAAATGAGCTCATCAGGGCAGAGAGAGTGAAAAATGCAATTTCGAGCCGAAAAGAGCGTTCGCTTGTAACCTTTTGTGACGGCGCTGCACTTTTCTCTGTTCCTCGGATGCTCTTTTTTAAAGTGAGTCGGGGACGATTAGTCGGTTTGAAGGATGCTAAGTGCCTACGGAGATCACGCCGAGGCGACGAGAGCAGCCGCGCTCATGCTTTTAACTTTGTTCGCCTCTCTTCAAATGTTGCCTTTGTTTTGTAGAGATTTGTTAAATCGCTCCCAACACCGAAAGTGACAATGAGATGCTCTCGCGCGCGCCACTCGCGTCGGAGCTAATTTTGAATACAGCCGATTTCTGTAAAAAATGCCGCGCCACTCTCAAAGCAGGTGGATGGCAGCAGACTATATACTTATTTTTTTTTCGGTCTAACCTCAGACGGCGCCTCTCCGAATGCACATAAATCTCTCACTTTTGAGCTCAAAATGAAAATTCGCGTGAAGCGGCGCGATAACAAGAGCAGTGCATATTTATTAATACGCGCGGCGATAACTCATTTTTACGACTAATTTTAATCTTTATTCGTCGCCGACACGACACGTTATGCTAACAAATTCACGCAAATTAAACGCTTTGATATACGACTGCCTGCTTTAAGCACACAGCAGAGCGGAATGAATGCTGATCATCACGTAGCTCTCGGTTTTGATTTATGCTTATAGGATGTGGGTTCGAGTGAAAAACTTTCATGCGGTTCTCGCAACTGGCTCAAGGTTGGGAAAATTGCAAAAAATAAATAACACAATTGCTGCTGGTAACGTACAAATATTTGCAACATTAGTTATTCATAGCAGACGATTTATTAAAATGAATCTAATTTACACATTAAAAATTTCATTAAAGTTTTCAATTTTCATCATATTTTTGTTTTTAGGAGTCAAAGCTTTTTCGATTGATCAAACAGAAAAAAAAAACATTTAGAATATTGTTGGTTAAAACGATGTGAAATTGAAGATTTAATAAAAAAATAAGCGAAATGACAAAACTTATCTATCCTCGAATGCGCATAAAGAAAAATATAAAACTTATTTGTGTAAAGTTACCTTTTGAAAATCAGATTATACCAGAAAAAGACAAAAGTCAACTTACGAAAAGAAAATATTGCCTGCAATTTTTTTTTCTAAAATTCAAACTTTTGTTTAAAACGCGTATTGGTGGATAAAAGAAACTCCACTAGTGGATTAAAATCTACTGAATTCTACGTAATAAAAAAGTGTTGATTTCGAGTGCTGGCTACGTTGAGGGATAGTTTCGACTCTTTCCTTTGTTACATTAAAATATTAGTGTAAAAATTACCATAGTTTCTCAATACACAATAAAACATTTAACATCTAAAAAACCCTGATATTTAATTTTCATAATTTATAGCAACGATCTATGGCAGATTAAAAACCATAATCAGTACTATTATTTTTTTTTAACAAAAAGTTCCGATTGAAACAGTTTTTAAAGTAAAAAACAGTTCCTGGTACTTTCAAGATAATTGATTTTATTTGTGTAACCATTTTTAAGTTTTATGATCTCTGAGCCAACAAACAATTGAATAAATTTATTTTCCAATGCAAAACGGAGACCAAGAATTGATAAAGATTCAATTTTTGTCTAATTAAAAGAAACGGCCACTGTACCTGCCATGCTGGTGTAGGGGTGCGTGACGTAGGAGGTGGCGGCGGCGTGGGTGGAGGCGTCGACGAGGGGGTGCGAGCCCCCGGGGGCGGCACTTTCGAGCTCGTGGAGGCGCGAGGACCAGTCGCCGGCGGCCGACTTGCCGGCGGCTGAACTCAGGTACTGGTGTCTGGCCGAGTGGTTGCGCGCCGACGAGGCGGCCGACGGCACCGCCGACGGGGGCGGGTGGGCCGAGGCCGAGGGGGCGAGCAGCAGGGGGCCGTACTGGCCCGAGCCGAAGCGGCTGGCCATGTTGTTGTAGGCGGTGAAGTCGTGGACGGCGGCCCGGTACGCCGGCTGGTGGTAGTGCCACGGGTCGGGGGCCGCCCCCGCCTGGGGGTGGTGCACGTGGTGGTGGTGGTGCGGGTGGTACGGGTCCGACGAGGAGGCGGCCGCCGCCGAGGCCAGCGCCGCGGCCGCCGCCGACGAGTACAGTTCGGCGGCCGCCGCGTGGTGGTGGTGGTGGTGGTGCGGGTGGTGCGACGCGGCTGCGGCGGCGGCCATCTGGTGTTGTTGCTGCTGCTGCTGGTAGTCGCTGTTCCAGAACGACGGTGGGAAGTTTCGCGCCGACATCGGCGAACTCGTGTCTGCAACACACATTCAACCATCAATTAAATTTTGTTTGACAAAACATTTTCTATTTTTACAATGCATTATTTTTGTACATTAAATTTCTTGATTTTTTTCCTCAAAAACACTCTAAAATGTATATTTTTGAAGTTCATATTTTTTTTTTCTCACACTATTGATACTTTGTTTTAATATTCTGGGTAAATATGATGTTATCTCTTTTATAACAGAATTTGCCTTGTGGAAAATCAATAAACTTAATTTGCAAACAGTGTATTATTTTAACATGCAACTTGTTGGTAATTTCAACTATTTGTTTGAAGAAGTTGTCACTAGAGGAGATGATCACGGAAATTATGAGATCGGGCTAGTTGAGCCTTTTCTTTTAATAAAAAACGATTTTCTGCAACGAGGAAAAAGCCCGATCTCATCATCTCTCCAATTTAGGCTATGTTCAAAATATTTGCACATCAGACAATTTTAAAATTCAATATTTGTTCTTACTGCAATTCTTTTCTCTTAAAAAAATTGTTTTTAATTCAATGAAAAAACGAGTTGATTGAAATAATGGTAAAAAAAAAAAACAACATTAATAACAACTTTGCTTATAAACTTTAAAAATTGTTATTAAACATTTGAACAAATAAGATCAAACGTTAATTTTTGACAGTATTTAAATAAATAGATATAAAATAATTTTATTTTACATATTATAATGCATTTTTTCTTGTTAATATAAATATTAAATTTATAGAATAGAACATTATTTTGCTTAAAAAACTTTTAAAGTATATAACAAATATAAATATAGCATTGGTATGCTGAACCACACTTTATTTAAAGTCATCGTTAAATCTATTGGAGGCAAGGTCTCCCTTGTATTTTATATTTACCAGAAGCAAAAGTATACTAATTTTTAATTTCCTTTCCTATTTATTGTAAATTTTGGATGGTTATAATGAAGTGAACCCTCAAAAAAAGAAATTGAATGGTGTACAAATATTTTTTTTTTTAATCAAAAAAGATTTTATTGTTTCAAATTTAAAGAAAATTTGATTTCAAAACTGTTTCTTCATATAAACGTGATAAAGAAAAAAAACTTCATTCTTTCCAGTAAGAGATCTTTTGCTAATCTCCATGTAATTATAAATAATATAAATTGAACTATTTGTTTATTCATATATTGCAATTTTGACCATTTGGAAATTATTTAATAAAAATCTGTAATAATTTACAAATAGAAAAGCAACGTTGGTGAGAATTTTTAATATGTTAATAAATAATTTTAGAAAAAAAAAACATTTTTTCCACAGCTGAATATCACAATGCTAATAATCGGGTAATTTAAGACCGCGGTCTGAGCGAGGTGAAGAAATCTCTCACGGCTTCTCGCTTCGTTTTTACACAAACAAACCGTGAGTGTGGCGCGTTTTCTTGTTGATGGCAGTAAATAAAAATTATCAGAAAGGGAGGCATTAAATGGAGTGTGCTTTAATTAGGACCACACACACGAGCTGCCTGAATTTTATTTAATTTACCGACGTGGCCGATGAGAAAGGACAGGGTCAGTGCGCCACCACACACTATTCTCTCGCTCTAGCTGTTCCCACGACATCTTTCCTTCCTTCGAATATTTTCCCCGGCCGCTCTTATCGCGGTCGTCATCTTTGTTAGTGAGTGCTGTCCGCGCACACCGACTTAACTTTTAAGGTCGCGCCGCGGCAGGTAGGAGGACGATGAAAGATCTGGACCCCTGCCGGGGTGAGCCGTTTAATAAATTTCCACATCTAGCCACCAGAACACTGGGAATTCAAGAGTAATCTCACAAAAGGCGCCGGCATTTGACTGATCAATAATCGTCCTTGCAATACGATGAGGATTGAAATGTCCAATTCATTATGTGAAATTGAATAAATACACGGCCGATTCTCATCAGATAAAAATTTGCACAATTTATTTTATGCTTTAGAAAACGCCCTAGAAGTTTTCAACAAAATATTGCAAAATTCACCTTTTTATTTGAGAACCTTCTCGGAAACTAATTCTATGTATTAAAAATTTACACTTTGTAAGTCATCATCATCATCAGAAACTTCACAATGAAAATGGCTAGTGGTACAAAATAAATAATTATTTTATGACAATTCACCAATTGAGAAATTGAATAACATTGGTTCTTTCGGCAAGCCTTCCTTATCTTAGAATGATTGAATGTTTTCAATCTTAAGATATGTTGTACTAGATGCAAAATAAAAAATATTGGCTTTGGAAAAATCAAATTGGTTCAGCGTGGGGCTGTAGTCAGGCGATCAAAGATTTGTTAAAGCTCAAAAAATTGGCTTCGGTTGCCTACTTTACAAATCTTCGATCGCCTGACTACAGCCCCACGCTGAACCAATTTTGATTTTTCAAACGCCCATATTTTTTATTTTGCATCTAGTACAACATATCTTAGGATTGAAAAGATTCAATCATTCTAAGATAAGGCTGCCATAAGAACCATTTTATTCAATTTCTCAAATGGTGAATTTGTTTCCGTACCAAAAACTGTTATTTTCGGAGGCAAAATTTAGTTAATTAGTTTCCGTTACATTTTGGTATTGCTTTTATGAAGATTTTCTGAAATAAATCTGGCTTTTTGTTTGAAGGAATTGACATGAAATCTGCTTGACTGAAAATAATGAAATTTTTATCAACTTCAAGTTCGGAAGAATAAAATTTTAGATTGACCGCAAGATGGGAGGCGTTTTTTGGTTTATAGCAAAAAATCCAACTGATGAGGCACCTTAAATGTGTAGAAATTTACAGTTAGATTAATATTTTTGTACCGATCACGAAGTAAATTATACTTATTTTTCTTTCCTTTTTCACTCCTTTCACATTTTTAATCGTGAGATTGATTGATTTCCCTGTAACTAACAGATTATTTGGATAATTGTAAAAAAATGTACATCAAACTTGAGCTTTTCATGATATATTAATATAATACGGAAAGACAGGTTCGTGCGTATTATATTTTGACATGGCAAACAGGCTGGAATGATATCAATAATAATCGATTGGAATCGGCGGCTGTGCTCTTTCTCTCTTCAGGAGTCTAACGAGGAACACGTCAACAGCTGTTTCCACCGAGAGCCGCCGCGCCGATAGTGATCAAACCAAAAGATATATTATCTGCTGCTACATGGTGAGTGAATTTCTGTGGTGACTTTCCTACAGCCCTGGCACCCGCTGGCATTCCTGAGGCATTTTTTCGTCCGCAGACGGGCCGGCGGGAGAGAAAGCAGCGAAACCGCGCCGCCACGCAACTTTTTAACCCTGTCATTACCCCCGCAGTGGATAAAGTGAATTCAATTTTTGCTCCTTACAAATGCGAATCTGAAGGAGGCTTTCTTTGGAAAACTCTGCAGATTGCGCGCGGAACGTCTCTAAACTTTCGGATTCGCAAACTTCGAGCTGGACAAATTCCTTTCGACCACCTTAATCGTGTGCGGTTCAGATTCAGATTCAGAGAGATTTCTATTATTTTTGTTTTCTAACCTTTACTAATTCTAAATTCTTGTGCGTATTATAATAACATAACAGTTTTCTTGTACACTCTTTCATGAATTTTCTTATTCAATTTTAGCAACAACAAAAACTGTTTTAATTAGCAAGGTTTTGTTTTGAGGTAAAATAGTTGCCAATATTATAAAAACAAAATTTGTTTACAAATTATATAACAAATTTAATAATTTAGTCTTTTTTTATTAATGTTTTTTTTTTAAATGTTAAATAAAATTTTTTTTATATTATAGTTAAACAAATTAATTAAGTTCTTTGTTTGAAGAAACAATTTGATATAAATTTAAAAGAAAAAGAAAATTTTATAATTAAAACCATGTGTGCTTTACTGAAAAGGTAAAGCAGCTGAAAGGAAATTTGTAAAAACGATGGAATAAATCATTAGTTATAAGTTTCAATAAATTTAATTGAAGAAGTCACTCTGTTTAATTATTTAAGCTGAGAAAAGCTTAGATAGAAAATTAAAAAGCTAAAGTCATCAAATTAACTCTTTTCAACTTAAAAACTGATAATCTTGCACATTTTTTCCTTCTTTGTATTTAATTTTAATTAATTTTCAAATCTTTCGTCATCAATTTTCCCGAGAATTTAATACTTGGAAATGAACCGTTGCGAAACCTTTATCCTTTATCTTGATCATAATCGAATTAATCAGGCAAATTATTTTCGGACCTTTCCGAGAGAGCGCGGCATCATCAAAGGTACACAGAAGCGCAATTAGCATGCGGGCACATTCATAATAATTCATTACGTTAATGAGAGGAGAAAAAGAGCAAACACGTGTAATAATCGTGGTGAACATGCGACCGATTCGGAGAAATCTTTCTAATTAATTTGCGAGCGAATTCCAAAAATTCCGCCATTTCTCTTCTCTCTTCTCTCTCGGGAGATCCGCATTGCGTGCCACGGGAACATAAAATAATTGTTGGTAACCCCGAATAATATGATATTGTTCCAGCCCAAACACGTAATGAAGCGTTTAAAAAAGCCATTTGAATAAATAATGGCGGCGCCGCTTTTTGAGCGCACGACACAGAAGTGTATTATCCGTTTATTTTCTATTATTCATCTCATCCGGCGGCGCGGTGCATTTGTTTGTTTTATATCGCGGCGCGCAGCACACGCGGACGGACCGAAGAATATAAATTATTCGCGGCCGTGCTGCACGGGTTCACGGAACAGCACACGCGAATTGTACATATTATTGTTCTTATCGCGCGCTGCCATCATATTTACTTGTTATACCTGTGTGACAGCGCGTTTTGGTTGTTTGTGTTTGTGTCGGTGCAATTTATTGTTTTGCAACTCGCGCAATTTGTGGCCCGGGTTCGCTAACGATATATTCAACCACACGTGCGAGCCTTCCTCTTTGGTCCGACCGGGTATAATTTTAAATTGGTCCTCGTTCCGACCAGAAATTTTAATTGACTCGGAAATTTGATTGATTTATATCGGGATGGGAGAGAAACATCTGTTGGCGAGGATATAAAATTTCAACAAAAACGTAGAGATTAAAATACTTAAAGTTCTATTCTAGGAGATTTATTTTATAAAATAAATCTCTCAAAGCGTTTTCTATTGTCAAGTTTTCATCTCTTAAGAATGTGATACTCTGGGATAAGGAAATGTACAATTTTCTTCAATCTGAAGCTACAAAACCGATAAAAGAAGCTTAATTAAATTAAATATAAACTTTATTGAAAAAATTAAATTAATAAAACATGCCTCTTTGATATATCATACATTTTTTGCAACTAAAACATTACGTCTTTACTTAAAAATTGGGGGTAAATGATTTATGAATCAATTCCCATGAGCTAATAAAGGTTTGAAATTAAAAAGGAAACTTGAATTTTTATGCAACAATTATGGGTTAATTATAAAAATTCAAAGATTTCATCTCTTAAATTAAATTTTATTTGGAAAAGTGTGGTCAATTTAAGTTGCCTCAAAAATTTAAAAAATTACTTTGAAATTATTAAAGCAAAAACTTTCACATCGTTTAGAGACATTTTGCAATAACAATTATTTGAAATTGCGGCTTTTTCTTAATTAGTTTGGAGTACAAAGCGTTTAAAAATCATAATTAAAAAACCTGATTTCTTTAAACATGAATATCCAATTATTAAGTATCAAGCCCGTTTTTTTGTTTTTTATTCCATAAGTCTTCCAATTTCTTCTGCCAAGTATTTTTTTATTTTCAAAATGCAATGAAATTTTTAGACACCCATATGCCTATCTGGATCAATCTAAAAGTGAATTAAAGAATGAGCATAGTTTTTTTTTCAATTGACAATCCTTCAGGTTCTATTAGCGGTGGTTTTTTTTTTTGTTGCCAGGCGCAATTGAACGAACAAAGGAACGAGCGATTTTCAAGTTTAAAAATCTGCGGTCAAAGAGATTAGAAGGGAGGAGCGTTAATGTCCCCGAAAACAGCTCCGGCAGGTAAACAAGACAATAATTTTCACAAAGCGTGACTTTTCGGGTGCGACGGCGACGGAGAGTTGAAGCGAAGAAAAGCGCGCGGCGCGAGTTGATATAATTAATTAATACACCTCGGCCGAGATTAGGTTGTTTGCATTTCACAAATTCACTTTGTTGCTGTAAAGCACGTGTTATTTGACCGGGAGAGAGAAAGAGAGGGAGGGGGAGGGAGACTGGGCGCAGACACTTTCAAAAGAAAGCAGGCAACGCGAGACAGGCAAATTTATTTTTATTGCACTCACTCAGTTTTACCCCCCGCGCATTTAGCAATTAACGCGCGCGAACGCGTGAAGAAGATTCGAAACAAAAGGGGGTGTCTCGAGTGCTGCTTTTCTTTAGCACACTCGAATTCAGCTACAAAATTAGGGTCAATTAGAGGAGTGCCTGCAACCAAATTGCTGTTGTGAGAATTGAAAAAGGTAAAAATTAAGATGGAATTAGCTAAGTTTGTTTAAATCAAAATTGTTTATATCGTCTTAAATTTCTCAACATCTCCATAAAACATTGGTCATGTGATTACAATAAGCAGCAAAATTGTAAAGTTTTTTCTATTCACCCCAATAAATTATTCAGATTCAAATTGGGTAAGCCCAATTTTAAAATTTTCATAATTTTTCTTATGAAATTTTTTAAATAGGTAATTTTTTTTTAAATTTGATTCAAATTTTTGGACTTTCAGATTTTGAGACTCTATTATAGACTCTTACAGACAAAACTAATTGAAAAATTCTTAAACATCTTCAAGAAAGTGATTTTTCAAGAATTGCTTTTTAAATCAAAGCGCCGTTCCTAAATTTAAGGTCAAATTTATAAAAAAAAAATCCATAGAAACAATTTAATTTTTAACAAAACCGTTTTGAGACTTATTGATAATTCCTAAAAGAAACCTTTTAACTAATTTAAAATTTCGTCTTTTTCATATAAATATACTGCTTATCACTATAGTTTTAAGTGTAAAAAATATGCAAATAAATTTCAAGTTTCTCTGAGAAAATTTTTGGCCATAAATTAAGTATTTCAATTAGTTAAAAAAAATATCAATACGCCGGAAAAATTTTATTAATAAGAAAATTATCAAGTTGAAAATAACTAATGGAAAACAGACACACAAAAATACTTTTATAAGTTTCCCTTGATCTGAGAAATTCCTTGTTCCTCAAATTTTTTGTTCCGATTTTACGTCTTTTTGAGAGAAAATTGAGGCTGTTTGTGTTGGCTCAGATGATGGGCGTTGATGGCTGCCCGCTTGGTGTCTTTGTTTGCTGGGGATTAACCCCGGGTCTGGTCTTTGATGAGCCACCGAGAGACACTTTCATCTCACGTAAAATTAGCCCAGAATAATGACTTGGCCGCTTGAGTGACTCCGGCATGATCCTTGTCGCCGCTTTTATTAGCCGGCGAAAATAGATTATATGGCAATTCAAGTGCCTTTGTCAATTCGAAACGCAAAAGTTGATTGGGCTTGACAAGGGGTGATTAAAAATCCACACAAAAATAAAAATGAATGAACGTAACAGTTAATTGAGAAATCCACGGAGTAAGAATGAAATATTTTCACAATTGCATGAAAAAAAAATGCAAGAATTTTTTAATGAATAACATTGTGTGCAAAAGAAATAATAACTCTTCTATTATTCTAGCCATCCTAGCTGCATTTGTAACTTTTTTTCATCCGAGTGAGGAATGCACGAGTAAATAAATAATAATAATTGTAACGAACACGTGTCATTTGTCATTGATTGCGCGCACCTGTCTTTGATTCATCAAGAAGTAGTACTCGATCTCTTGCGCCGCCACACCTTCCCATTAAGCATGACTATTATTATTTACAATAATTATACCGTGTGTTGACCAAGTGACGTGCCCGGACTTGCAAAACCAGAGTATTTATTGTAAAGAATCGGGCGGGAATGCATAAATCAATGTAATATGTGTTTTTCTCTGTTATTTTTAAAATAATTGCACCAAACGATTCTTGATTTTTTTCTTCTTTGATTGCCGACAATTACCTTGATGCAAAACAACACAAAACAAACGGTGCCGAGAAAGAATGAATTGTTCTCAACACAGACACACATACGCGTGGCGCCGGTAATGAGTAATTTCAGCCGCGACATTAATTGCGCTTGTCAAGGAGGTCAAACGTTAAAAAACGTGCGCTGATTTGTATTCAGCTTAAGAGATTGAATGTTTTTTACGAAAAAAAGAGCGCATTTCAATCGGAAATGAGATAGATAAATAAATAACGTCGAGTGAATAGTCGATCAGTTTGAAATAGAGCATAATTTAATACGCATTCTCTACGTGCGTTTGTTGCACTTTCTTGTCTGCTACGTGGACTGAATAATGCCATTTAAGTTCATTTTATGGTTTCCAGGTGTTTCGCTCTTATTCTGCTTGAATTTTAACTCGCTCGGACATAAAAGTCAAGTACATTGTAAAGTTGAGGTGTTCAACGATAAAGCGTTTTAAAAAAATACAAGGAGAGGGGTTAAAAAAAATATTATAAAATAATATTTTTATGAGAAAATTGGCATTATAAAAATTTATCAAATATATTTTTGAAATTTCAAAGCTTAAAGTAGATTGAGTACAAAAATAATCCGCAAATTGGCATTGTTGGAAGGTTTCGTAAATTTAAAAAAATTAAAATTAAAAATTTAAAAAAACTCTAAAGTACTGATTGTACTTAAATCTATCCATGTGCCATGTAATATTAATGAAGAGAGGAATTTTTGCATTTCTGCATTTATCAAAATAAAATAAGGAATAGAAAAAAGAAGGGAGTGTTTTTTTAACAAAAGAGTTGCAAAAACTATTTAGTGTCAGTCAAAAAAATGATGCGAGATGATTTTTTTATAAAGTTGAACCCAAAAATGAATATAATAAAAAAATTAATTGGGTGGTGCCTTCTGTACCACCATTAAAGGGCACAGGCCAACAAGACTTTGTCTTGGCCTGAGTAAAAATAAAAAATAAAAGATACTTCACAATGCATTTTTTGAGCTTGAAATAAACCATAGATTTATGAGCCAGTTTTCAGTTTACAAAAAAATTTATTAATTTTTGGAGATATTTTGTTGAATCTTGTTATATTTTCCTGTTTTCTTCTTTCCTTGTATTGTTATTTATAAATTCAGATTTCATATTTTTAGTTTAGCTGTGGATAAGTTCCAAAAATGAAGATTAAATTTCATCTTTTCGAAGAGAAAAGTAATAATTTAACTTGAACATATTTTGTAATAATTGTAAAAACCCTATACTGATGTAGAACATTCCATCCAGAAATAAAACGTAAAATTCTGACAAAAATTAATGTAAAAAAGATTTGAATCTACCTTTACTGGCGCCTGCCGCTTTGCCAGAGGTGCCGGGTTCGGTGCCGCCGAAGCCACCGGCCGCCGAACTCGAGGTCGATCCTGCCGAGGACGAAGAGGTCGGGGCCGCGGCTGAGGAGGTCTGGCTGAGGGCTCGGCTGAAGTGCTCGTCGACGACGGCGGCCGCGTCGCCCGAGTAGTGCGTGAAGACGACGCAATTTGCCGACACGTACTGAGCGGCGCCGGCACGCTCGTCGTCGTCGTTTCCGTTTTCAGTCTCATCGTCGGCGCCACCTTCGTCGGCTACCACAGTCTTGCTTGTTGACCCCTTGCTGTGGACGAAACACAAAGCGAGCAATGCCAATTTAATTCTTGCGAAATGATTCAAACACAGACATTAATATGTGGCGTTTAAAAAATTAAATTAAATAATTCATTTTGTAAATTCAATCATATTTTTGTTCTTTTGAAGTAACACTAGTAAAATTCAGATTCATACCACTAACAAAGAAAACAAGGGAGAGAGATGCATTTTTGCAACAAGCCATAGAATTATATATTTAAAAAGTTGGATTGATGCAAATATATAAATAAGTTTTTAATAGAAAATCCAAAAATTTTATAGTTTAACTTTCTGCATTGATATATGCTTTTTATAATGGGTACTAACAATTTAAATAAATAATAAAATAAATATTTAATATTTGAATAAATAATAAAAAGTATATAATAAAAACAAAATATCTTGAACAATTTAAATAATAACTTATTTATATTTTTTTTTAATTGCATTATAACAATAAGTCTTAAATAGATAATAAAATAATTAATTTCAAATGATTTTTTTACCTTGAACTAGGAGCGGCGTGTAAAGAAATGGGGCTGGACGGGCTGCCGACGGAGCTGACAGAGCCGCCTCCACCGCCCCCCGCGCTGCCCCCGGGGCTGATGTACACGTCCGAGTGTCCAAGTGGGCTCTGCGACTGCTCCAGGGACGTCCGCGGCTGCATTCCAAACTGCGGGAAAAGAACAGACGCCTGGTCAAATGGTCAGCGCAGAGTGTAATTAATTTCCGCCGAGGGAGTCAAAGGTGCGCGCGGATTAATCTAATGTACACGCTAAATTGCGCGTTAAGTCTGCTCGCATTAATCATTCGGGGTGGAGGCTGAATTAATTCTAACGCGCGCCTCACCAAAACTTTTGGGGACAAGAAAAGTGCTTTTCTGTCGTGAATTTTAAATTTTTTTATCTGACATGAAGAGATGAAAGCAATTTTGAAACTTCCATAGAAATGAAACTTTCATTGAATAAATATTTAATTTTGACTAGTTTGTTTTTATTCACCAGCAAGGACAGCGGTTGCGTGAATTTGGATTTTTTTTTAAATCTATGAAATTCTGTAATGCAAAAACTTTTTTAACTTGCTGATATTTTTTCTTACTCACAAAACAGAGTCGCAGACAATGACAGAAACTTCTTTTTAATAAAAATGTAAGACAATTTTTTTCCCCCAAGGAAAATTCTGCTTTTTAATTTATTAAATTTTGAATTTTTTATAAACACTTATCTCATTTTCTTGCTAATTGTGCCACTTTTTGAGTTTTTGCGGGAAGATAACTTCAAAATATTTTGAATATTTTGTTTATCTTATAAGAGTGCTTTTCAAATTCCAAAACTTTAAAAGTTAATTTTTCTCACATTCCCCTTTTTTACAATTTTAATTGTTCCAGTGGTGCTGCATTCATTAATTTTTATTTCTTCAACTTCTCTGTTTCTCTATGTTGATGGAGGCAATTATTAACTTTAAGTGTTTGTTTCTGCCAAACGCATATAAAGGGTTCAGATACCGATCGACACAAAAGGTTTTCCCTGCGCAAATTAAAAACTGAATTAGTGCTGCGCGTCCGTGAGACACGACTCGCGGCCGAAGGTTTTTTTAAACGATTCCAAACAAACCATACGAACTCGCGCATCAAAACAGCCATAATTTATGTATTTTATCTGAGCACTAATTAAACAAAACTGCCTCGCGATAAAATCAGTCAGAATAAAACTCTGCTTTCCTCTCTCTCTATCTCCAGAGACCAATAACATAAAAAGCGGCAACCAGTTTTCTGCAAGCAGCCGTCATTGCCGCCCGATATTTATTTTCCCCCGCCGCTTAAGACTTCTTTTCTCGTCGTGTTATTAGCAATAAACGAGCAGCAAATAAATAAATGAGAGCCGAAATAATTCGCGAAGGGGAATTAGATTTATTTTCAAAGAGCAGCTTTCGAGCCCGAGCTATGCGGATGTGGCTGCTTTAAGGCTCCAAACCGCACTTCCAAGACACATCTCTCGAATTCCTGACTAATTGTCTCCAACCGTATCATTATGTAAAGTGAATCCTCTATCTTTATTGCACATCATCAACGCAACTCCTGCTAGATAAGAGGCGAGTGTGCTCTTCTTTTTTGCCAAAAAAGGCACCATCGGTTAAATAAATTGATTATAACCTTTAAAGCTGCTTTACCCTTTTATTGATAATTTCCACTCATCCATAGAAAGAGGATTTCATTAATTTTGGCCTTGCAATTTCTTTTTTACATTTTAATGGTTTTCCACCTGCCATCCTCTTTCGCAAATTTATTTATTAACGCGCAAATTGACCATTTTCTCAACAGCGAGTGCGCAAGCCAACTTCTTGACGTGCTGTTTTTGTATAATACGGCCCATCACACAAACTTCCTCTAACGAGATAATTGCTCTGGACCGCGACCAAAACACGGCGAATAAATTTTCTGTCATTCCGCATTACGCGAAAACGCAAACAAATAAATCAGAGCGCACGAAGGCGATTGATGTGCACGTGGATTTCCCTCCGAAATACCAGTTTGGAACGAAAGGATGAGAGGCCCGTGCGCGCTTAGCTCATCCAAATGCTGAATTTTCAAACAAAGAAAAGGCAAAAAGGTCTCCGAATTAATTCAGGAGCAGCAGTCAATCCAAACCGGTCAACTTGGATTCACTGATGAGTTGCGAGGAAATAAGAGTTTAACCAGAAGCAAGGCACACAATGGTCAATGTCAATAGATATAGTTGAAAGGATTATTTCATCAAAACTTTCCTGACAAAAGTTTAAAATGAAAAATCACAGCCATTTAATCTTTGGTCGAATTGATCACATTTTATTTTAAAGTGAAAAGTAATTAAAAGAGAAAATTTAATTAAATTGTTTATAAAAGCCTTGTAAAAATTAAAAATCATCCTTTTTTAAAGAGGAACCACGCCGAGAGTCCCTAAATATCTTTCGTGGTTGTTTGGCTAGTCAGTGGCTCTTCTGTATTTTGTATAGTTGGCGCGGCCAGCTTCATAGACATTCCAATCAAATTCCTGACTTCTTTCTCTCGCGTACCCATCTTTGGCGGACGAATCAGGTGCACAGCCATAGCGAATGCAACCTTGTATGACATTGGAAACATGTGTTTCTAGTTATAAATTAGATCAGCCGAGTAAATTCATAAAAATTTATTTAAATTTTAATTTAACCTTCGCCAGTATATACTTGAAAAAGCGCAAAAAAAATTTGCTTAATTCATGCATAAATTAAAAAATTAATTTTCATATTTATAAGGAAACAATGCAAACGTGCGAATTTGAATTGCAAATCGCTGTCGTAAACCGCGGCGGCATTTTTTTCGTTTAATGCCTCGCCATGGTTAAAAAAGTGTAAAAAATGAAGGCCACGCGGCTCGATGGCCCCGGCCGCTTGTAAATCATAAATGAGAAAATATTGTATAATAACACGCGCGGCGGCGATTGGCCGCGCGAGTCGCTGCAGGAGGGGTTCCCTGGGCGCTACCTGATAATTAGCGCTCTCGGTGGGTGCAATAAAAAGGCAGTGTTTTGGTTTGGCCCGCCGCAACACAAAAACACACACGCTCGCGCTTCCTCGCATCGCCGGCCGGCAGGTGATCATTGATCGCGGCGATCGCACCGCCTCCTCCGGCCGCACCGGCTCGCTAATGAGCCCTGCTAAAGCTGCTCGATCCCAGCTCAGCGGGGAGCTCTGCACTCGTGCAAAGTGGCAATGGTTGTTTTGTTTACAACGAGTGCAAAAATCACTACGAGAAAAAGATTTTGTTCTCAAATACACAATTACAAGCATTTCAATAATAATAAAGACAAATACATCGGGCGATGAGATGAAAAATCAATTCAGGCTGCTTGAGGGCAGGCGACAGATTGTTTAATTTTTTTATTAGAATTGTAGCAACTTTCAGTCAAAATAAAACATGCATAACGAAAAAATCATTTTCAGGTTTCCTTATTTACTACTGCGCAGACATTAACAATTTAAATAAATAATTTACACACAATTTATCAATGAATAATATTATTGCTGTTTATAATTTTGTTCAAATTAAATGTTTAAAAAAAATAATTGACTGTTTGATCTGCTGTAAATTTGATCGAGTGCATTTGTTAAGAGACTGTTATTTGTAAAAACTGATTCTTACAGATGGAAATTTTTAAATCTTTTAACTCTCAGCTAATCAGGACAATTTAGATTGCGAACTAAGTCGAATAAAGTAGATAATTTGATGTGCTTCCAAGGATTTTAAATCTTTAGGGTCAACAAGCACCGCCCTTTCTTAGGTTACAGCAGCTCAAAGAGATACAAATTTAAGATTACTTTAAATAAGTTTGTTTCTTTTAAATTTCCAATCAAATCAGTCTATAAAATACTGCGTATAGTGCGTAACATAAAAATATTTTCAAAGAGATTTTATTATTAATATTTTTCACATTTATTTTACTAAAAATAACTCTTATTTTCAATTGATTTCATTTATTTACGTTTATATAGTATTTTTATTAATCTCATTTTCGTCAGCCTTGTTTTCACCCTGCGTTGATTAATTTCGAGTGACGTTTGCCCAGTTCTGATCGCAATCGGGACCACCCCAGCACTTTCGAGTGAAAACACTACTAATTTAATTCTGCGTCATTAATATTAAACCTCTTTTTCTCGTCCGGCGAGGTGCATTTTACCCTGCGATGCTATCGTGAAATTCATGCATTGAGCATATATACAATTAGATTAATTACCAGAATACGATTTGCATATTTTTATCTGCAGCCACGCAAAATGACTAAGTGGAAAAGACGGAATATACAGAGCACCGTGGTTTCGTGCGCGCTCTCTTTTATATACATAAGGATTGGGGCGTAACCGCGAGCATAATGATAATTTTTTATTCACTTTTTTCTCTCTAAACAAGCTCGGTGACAAGCCCCTGACATATCTCATACAAGCTATCTCTCCAGCAGTCGCGACACACGAAGTAAAGCTTTGTGTGTATATCTTGCCACTCACACGGAACAAAATATAAAGCAGGGAGGTCTGAAAACGCAGCCCTCACAGTAAAATGCACCTACCCTTTTAATTAATCGGCTGCTTTTGTGCCCCAGAGGCTGAAACACCGACGGAAAAAGATAAAAAAAAAATAAGGAGAGTATAAAAGGTCGGCCGCATCCCTTTTTGGTTAAATGGAAATAAAAACCCAGCACCGTCTGGTCATTTGTTAAGGAAAATGCTACTTCTCTGGCGTGTTATTGTGATAGGATCATGTGTGTGTACTCGTTGAGCGGCGCACAAAGTTATATTACTAGCCGGTCAGCTTCAAAGGGCCCGACCCGAGGACTCTCGTCATTATAAGAGCTTTGAGTAATCGGCAGCGACTTCTGCGCTTGTTTACTTTGTATAAATCTTTCCTTTCGGCGCTCTTTTAATTGCGGTGCAATTTTTGATCGCTGCTCTCAGGTTTTATTGTGTCGCTTTAAAAACGTCGCTGTGTTTCTGCTATCAAAATTCGCAACAGCACATTAACTCTCTGAAAGAGAGAATTTACATTGATTTCATTGAACACACGCTTTTTACTTTCGAGCTCTGATATTCAATGATGTGAAATTGTGCGACTTCTGAATTTGTTGCAATTAAAATACTGACCGTCAAAATTTTTTAAAAACTGATCCGTAAAACAAAAATCACAATTACTTATGAGTTTATTCAATTTTGAAACTAAATCTTTTCATAAAAAGTACTTAATAAAACCAAATTAAATTTGCATCCTTTATTTATTCCTGTTAAATTTAAGAACAATTTAATATCAAATTAAGAAAAGCAAAAATTTATTTAAGCAGAACTGATTAATTGTGAGTAATTAGGATTAGAATAGAATATATGTTCAAATAATTCATCTTATAATTTTTAGGTACATTGTTGTTATTTTCTTTCATTGTTTCAAATTGTTATTTACTTTACGTATATTTTAAACTGCCACTGTTAAATTTTTACTTTTGATATTTACACGATCCTGAAATTAAATCATGCTGTGTTGTATTAAATTATTCTGTCAGATAATTTCTTGCAATTTTGATATATTAATTCTGCCCAATTTGTTCATTTTTTATGTTTTCAGCTGGCGTCTTTCCTTGAAAGCGTTCAAGCGCACACGTGAGTTGTTAAAAGTTTAACGCTGCTGGAATGCGAGTTTGCTCCCCGAGTTAGACTCAATCTTTTAATAATGATTTATTGACATTCCCCATCAGATAGCTGCCAGCGCGCGGAGAGTTGCTTAAAAAGAGTTAGTGACAGCGAGCGCGCAGGTAGAGGAGACGCGATCGTAAAGTATCTGCTGGTGCCAAAAGGGCTCATCAATTTTCATTGTGAAACTCTCGCGCGCCGTGAGCCGCCAGTTTGCCTTTACAAGGATCTTTTTTCTTGACGAGCTTCGTCGTTATAAATATAAAATAATACACATTACTTTTCCCTGAACCCTTTCTTTTACAAAATTAAAACCGATTTTCTATTTTTAGAACATTTTCCTCGTTTTTTTCAGATGAAGTTGAGCAAACATGAAGAATCGCCGCTTGCAAGTTAATTAAATTTTATGCTTCTTTAATCCGCTGCTTAATTGGCTTTCTGCGGCGCACAATTTCATGAAGCTGTAACTTTCACAAACGTTTGTTTAATTAGAGCCGACGTGTGCATTCAAAGAGAAGTGTTTCTTATATATTATTTCCCTGCGGAATGCAGAAAATTTGTTTCTTTCCCGCAACTAACCACGCATAAAAATCTCATCTGGACCGTTTGTGTTTCTATTTTGTCGGTGTTGGTGACAGAAAAGTATCGTGATTTTCGAGGGGACACCTTTGCTCTGTGGTGCGTTGTGTGGCCTCTGCTCTGTCGCGGGTGTTGACAGAGTTATGGTGCTGCCGTGGCTTTGCTACTCCCACGTAATACACGCCGAATAATTGGTCTCCCGTGTTCAAAATAATGTTCTCCGTTTTAGATTTTGAAAGGAGACAAATTTTGACTCTTTTCGTTAAAAATAATTTGAAAAATCGTCAGTTTTAAATGTGAAGTCCGTTTGAAAGTGCTGCATACCCAAATCCGGAGGCATTCTTATATAAGAAGAAGTCTTTCTCAAAACCTGTTTTGTCAAATGTGAGCCTCCGCCGTTCTCCGATGAAACGATAGTTGTGACAAATAGATTTGAACATTTCACTTTTATTGAACGCGCTCTCATGATTTCAAAATTATCTCCAAGATTTAAATTAATATTCTTGTCTATTAAAAATTTTAAATTTATAAATTTGACTGAAAATGTTTCTTTAAAGAAATATTTTTAATTTTTTTAGTCCTGCTTCTCAGCTATGATTCATAGAGGAGCGGTGGAATTTTTCACTTTTTTTGTTTCTAATTTGTATGCGACCCACGTTGTGCGGACAGAGACGGCTGCTGCCATAAATCGCTGGCTTTTTCTCCAAAGCCGCGTAACGCGACCGACAACAATGATCGCGGTAGACAAACTTGAAAGAAGCGGGCCGACCTATTAGCAATTAAAACACCCAAAATTCATAAAGTGCGGTGTAATTAGCATGATGGAAATAGTTCAGTAGTGCGTCGACTGCATGCGAATGACTTAATTGCTGAAACTATGTGTGTATTTTTTAACCGGTGCTAAAACCGAAATCCGGGCTGGAGAGAGAATAAAATAAACGTAAATGCAGATATAAAGGTAAACACGAGCAAACAACAAAAGCAGCCCTTGTGTGTGTGTTTTGTTATTCCTGAAGTCGCGCATTCCCAGAAATTAATATCACAACGCAGCCAGACATTCCAACCGCGTTTCCAGCATTCCTGCGTTTTCATAAACGTCTTCTTTTCATACACCCGCAATATCATCATCATATTTCGCAGCAGTTATTCACAACATAAAGCCAGCTACATCAAGGCGCCGCCCGTCGTTTGTGATGAGAGGGAGAGAACGTTTATTTATATTAAATCGCCCTCGCGCTTTTGTTTTAATTTTCCCTCTGTGCGGCAGATACGTAGCCGGTGCGGAATTCCCTTTTGATTTTAATCCTTTTTGAGGCGCATCATACGAATTTGCATTGGATGGGGTTGCGCTGGGGCCAGTCTGCAACCCGCTGGACACCACCACCCGGCAAAAAGCCTATCCCTCAAAATTTCCCTCATTCCTATCTCAAAAAAGCCAATAAAAATATTAAGAGAAAATTATAAATTTTCCTTATAAAAATGTTTAATAATTTAATACTTTTCAGTTTAAAATGTTACGTTTAAAACAGGCTATTGATTGTCCTTCTTTGCATCTCCCACACCAAAACACATGCTCAACTTGAGAGCACACATTGACCTCATAGATGTATAGAAAGTGCGATAAGGCACGTAGCGTTCATGCAGGCCTGTGCTTTTTGCCCTCAATAATTCCTTTCGCAGTCTCGTGCTATTCAAATTTGTGTTCTTTTCCGTCTGACAATTATTGGAGTGTGACTCTCCGTGTATAAAAAGTGAGGAGCGTATTCAACGGCCGCAAGGCTGATATGAACCGATGGAAGTCAAAATAACCACACCTTCAAATCTCCAACTAGGGACAATAATATGTAATGCTATATATGGAAGCATGACTGATTCTTGATTCTTAATTAAAAAATAGAGCTGAAGAATAATTTCAAATTGTCCAAATTAATTATAAATTTCAAATATATACTTTTGAAGCTCCTGAATAAATTTAAATGAATGTTTGACAACAGGAGCACTTTTTTTCTTTAAATTCACATCAGACAGAGTAATCTCTGAAGAAAAGTTGACTCCCTCGCCGTTAATCTCACTAATTAACTACGACTTACCCTGTCATATTGCGGAAAGGGCGTGAAGGCCGGCGGTCTGGAGACAGGCGAGGTGGACGGCCTTTGATAGAGGTAAGGGTAGTAAGCCTGATACATCACCTCACTGCAGCTCATCATAGAGACGCATAGCAGCACATAACAGTCCACGAGACTCGGAATATACAAATCAAAGTGTGTGTGCGGCCGAACGAACACCCGAAGCAACTTTGCGGAGACGAAGCAAAGAGAAGTCACTCTCGGCGAATGCAAAACTTCCGTGGACACGCACCCCTGGCGTCCGAGGGTGAAGAGCGGTGCTCACTGTGACGCGGGGCCCGACAGACTAATGCTGTCCATGCCTGGCCACCCTGCCTCCACCAGCATCCCCCCTCGCGGCGCCCGCGAGGCGGAGACTCGCGCGCCGCCGAGGCCAATCCTCGGAGCCGCGAGCGCCGTCCGGTGTCCAATCGTCGACAGACTCCACCCCCTTTAATGGTATAAATACGCGTACATTATCAACTGCTGGGCGCGTAATTATTTTATAAACTACCCCCCGCGCGAGCGACGTCGTCGTTATATCACTATCTAATGGCGCTCGCCGCTGCCGCCGCCGACGGACGGATTAATTGTGCGGCTTTTTTTCGTTCGACCCACACTCGGCGCTCGCTGATTTGTTTGCGCGCGTAGGTGCCTCAAGGGGTGGGCAAGCCAAGGGTGGCCCTCCAGAATTGCTTCATGGCAGGTTAATTAGACCCAGTGTTGCGCTCTATCTAAATAACAGCAGAAAAAGCCCCTCCGTTCTGGTGTTGCTTCGTCAGATATAAAGAAACATGCATGTTGAAATTGTGAACTAAAATAATAAGCTTACAGCTGATCTGCAAATTAATTTATCTTATTGGAGTCATTATTTAATTTAATTCATGACATATAAAATTTATTACTTTACAGAGCCAAAAAATTCATTAAAGACTTAACCAGAATTCTATACTCAACTATTTTGTTTGGAAATTAGAATTGAATTTCTTATTGAAAACTATAAATTAAAATCATTTGAAAACAGTCTTTTGTTCTTCTTAACTTATTTATAACCTCCTCTAACGAATTTTAGTTGCTTTTTAAAATAAAGGAATACTTATATTAATTTCAAAATTTATTTGCATTAATTATAATAAAATATAATTGCATCTTTTAACCAATATGAAATTTAATGTTATAACATTTATAATTCATTTCAATTAAACTATATTTTAGTTATTAATCCTTTTATATAAGCGAGTTGCTTTAATATAAAATTGTAATATTTATATTATTCCTTTATTTTTTAAGTACATTCTTTTCAATGTCATTTATTCCAGCATTTTCTATTTAATGGTCGATTTTATTTGGAGATTCCTTTAATCCCATATAAAATAATTTGAAATCCACCAAAATAAAGAAATTCAACATAATAATTAACTTCTTCAACAGGGATCTATTCATTTCTTTAATCAAAGATTCTTTCTCTACTAATATTAAGTATTATCTGAGGAGATAAAAAAACACCTGCAATGTTCACTTCAACTATTTTGAATCTGAATCTTAAAAAATAGTATTTTTTTTATGATTCAGATTCAAATGTGCTCAATTAATTACTAATCTAAATTTGTGAGATAAATTAAAGCGACTCGTCGCTTTAATACAATAATTTCAAATTAATGCATTCCAATTATTCACCCTTAATTTCCTAAACAAATCAAACGCCTAGAGTGATTCATTATTTTAATTGCTTGAAACGTGCGGCCCAGCAATTAATAGAACACCTGCGAATGCAAAAGTATTATTAAGTTGGCTCGAGTCACCGCGATTTAATTCGAGGGTCATTTTATACCAAGATAAAGAAGGGGTTGAGGTCTTTTGAAAGCTCTTAGCCAAACAGCAATGTCAGGAATTTGCATCGCACTAAATTACCTCGCCGACAGGGATCCTGAGCGACTCTATAAAACACACAAAGCCAAATACCGCGGCCGACACGAGACGTGAGTTGAGGGAGACAAAAATGCACTGGGCGGCTCAACGGCCAACGTGGTGAGCCCGGCCGCGCCAAAATATATTCACACCAATCTATAGTGACGAAATCCAAAATTGACAGCGGATTAGAGAGGTAAAATTTTATTGGCTGATGCACCTTTCCAATAAAAAATATGTCATCAAATATACATAGTTACAATTTTATGAAAAAATTTCCCTTACGAAAACACCGTTTTCCAGGCAAGAACCTTTTAGCGCCAAATGAAACTTTATTTACTCTGCTCTGGCAGTGGTGCAGAAAAATGTGGAGATTGGAATTTTTGAAATAACTTTGCACTCCATGTGCTGAATGGAAAAGGGAGGCTGCCGCGCGCAGCTGCTCTTTGTCGAATAAATGTATAATAAAAGCGAGAGGGTGGATTAGGAGGGCAAATGAATTAAGATACATCCACTTTAGCAAATATTCGCTTAAAAAAATCATCCCAATAATCTTAATTTTAATGGAATACAGATTATTTTTAAAGCTGGAATGTTAAATTATTGAAAATGAACTCTGCAAATTTCAAAATGAATAACTGTCGGAAAAGTTAGCAACTCTAGAGCAAATTATAAGACACAAAAATCAACTCGAATTCAAAGATGAGAATAAATGGCTAAAACAATTTTACTTTGACATTTTTTTTATCAGTTGCTTTAAAACAATTTAATGCCTTTTGAAGACAAGGCAATCTTGCAGAATCATTTTTAACGACTTTCGAATCATTAGTGCTTCAGCGCCATATTTAATAATTCCAAGCTAAACCTTTTCGGCACCATTTTTATTTCCCTCCTTTATTTAATTTTTTATCCCCTTCTCCCTCGCTTGCTTGCGTACTTTTTAGTGCTCGGTCGGAGAGGCGGCAGCTTCAATAAGAGAGCGAGCGCTTTTGATACGAGTTTTTATTCGAGGCTGTATTAGCGCTCGCATTCCCCCTTATTAAAGCTGCGAGCGTGCTGAGATGTATTATTATACGTTAATATGCCAGAGCAAAGTTTCATCCACTCTTGCAGCAGCACGGGCCATTATCAAATTACAGTGGTTCCGAGTTCATTTTCTACGATGTGAAAATCCTTTAATCCTGCCTCTGTTCTTGGAGAATTTTACTAAAATGGTCCTTCAGTTTTTGGAGCAAAATTCATTTTATTTATGCATCAAGAAGAATCAAAAGAGGGAGGCATATTTTATGAGTAGATAAACAAATTATAATTGATAAGGTCTGAATGTAACTAAGTTTACAGGGAAATTCTCTGCCTTAGGGTTCGAGCTGTGGAGGTTTGAGTGTCTTCTTTGGCAGGTACTTTCCACAGACTAACAATAATCTGTGATTGAACGTCCTTACCCAGTCTTAAAAGGGCTCGGTGGACTGGCTTGGGATGAATCTGTGGCTGGCTTGGTCCCAATCCCAAATGGCTCTCTAAGCCCTTGCGGGGAACTTTTGTCACGATAATGGAGGATGTACTTAACTTATTGATTGGGATGTTGATGGGTTTGGAAGCTTTGGAAGGGGAAGCTTTAGGACTTTTGGTAGAACTGGTTGTCCTCTTCTGGCAGCTTTTCTTAGTTGATTTCCTGGTTCCGACCCTCCTTTTCTTTGTTGAGTTCTTGTTCAATTTCTCAGCGTTTGAATCGTCTGAAAATTTAAATTTTATTATAATTTATACTGGAACATTGATGCTGATAGTTTACCATTCATCTGAGGCATTTGAGCTTCCTCCACAAGGCCAGGTTCTTGATAAGTCAACATGAGCAGGCTGGTGCTATTCTTCTTAACGCTCCTTCTCTTTGTTGGGTTTTTCTTCACTTTTTCAGCGTTTGAATCATCTGAAAATTTAAATTTTATTATAATTCATAGTGGAACATTGATGCTGATAATTTACCATTCATCTGAGGCATTTGAGCTTCCTCCGCAAGGCCAGGTTCTTGATTAGTCAACATGAGCAGGCTGGTGCTATTCTTCTTAACGCTCCTTCTCTTTGTTGGGTTTTTCTTCACTTTTTCAGCGTTTGAATCATCTGAAAATTTAAATTTTATTATAATTAATAGTGGAACATTGATGCTGATAATTTACCATTCATCTGAGGCATTTGAGCTTCCTCCGCAAGGCCAGGTTCTTGATTAGTCAACATGAGCAGGCTGGTGCTATTCTTCATAACGCTCCTTCTCTTTGTTGGGTTTTTCTTCACTTTTTCAGCGTTTGAATCATCTGAAAATTTAAATTTTATTATAATTCATAGTGGAACATTGATGCTGATAATTTACCATTCATCTGAGGAGCTTCCTCCACAAGGCCAGGTTCTTGATTAGTCAACATGAGCAGGCTGGTGCTATTCTTCTTAACGCTCCTTCTCTTTGTTGGGTTTTTGTTCACTTTTTCAGCGTTTGAATCATCTGAAAATTTATATTTTATTATAATTCATAGTGGAACATTGATGCTGATAATTTACCATTCATCTGAGGAGCTTCCTCCACAAGGCCAGGTTCTTGATTAGTCAACATGAGCAGGCTGGTGCTATTCTTCTTAACGCTCCTTCTCTTTGTTGGGTTTTTCTTCACTTTTTCAGCGTTTGAATCATCTGAAAATTTAAATTTTATTATAATTAATAGTGGAACATTGATGCTGATAATTTACCATTCATCTGAGGCATTTGGGCTTCCTCCACAAGGCCAGGTTCTTGATTAGTCAACATGAGCAGGCTAGTGCTATTCTTCCTAACACTCCTTTTCTTCTTTGAGTTCTTGTTCACATTCTCAGCGTTTGAATCGTCTTAAAAATTAAGTTTTATTAAAATTTATACAGTTAGAATGATGCTGATGATTTACCATTCATTTGAGGCATTTGGGCTTCCTCCACAAGGCCAGGTTCTTGATTAATCAACATGAGCTGGCTGGTGCTATTCTTCTTAACATTCCTTCTCTTTGTTGAGTTTTTGTTCACTTTCTCAGCGTTTGAATTGTCTAAAAATTTCAATTTTATTAAAATTTATACAGTAAGATTGATCTGATAATTTACCATTCATCTGAGGCATTTGGGCTTCCTCCACAAGGCCAGGTTCTTGATTAGTCAACATGAGCAGGCTGTTGCTATTCTTCTTAACACTCCTTCTCTTTGTTGAGTTTTTATTCACTTTCTCAGCGCTTGAATTATCTAAAAATTTAAATTTTATTAAAATTTATACAGTAAGATTGATCTGATAGTTTACCATTCATCTGAGGAATTTGGGCTTCCTCCACAAGGCCAGGTTCTTGATTAGTCAACATGAGCTGGCTGGTGCTATTCTTCTTAGTATTCCTTCTCTTTGTTGAGTTTTTGTTCACTTTCTCAGCGTTTGACTTGTCTTAAAAATTAAGTTTTATTAAAACTAATACTGGAACATTCATGCTGATAGTTTACCATTCATCTGAGGCATTTGGGCTTTCTCCACAAGGCCAGGTTCTTGATTAATCAACATGAGCTGGCTGGTGCTATTCTTCTTAACACTCCTTCTCTTTGTTGAGTTTTTGTTCACTTTCTCAGCGTTTGAATTGTCTAAAAATTTCAATTTTATTAAAATTTATACAGTAAGATTGATCTGATAATTTACCATTCATCTGAGGCATTTGGGCTTCCTCCACAAGGCCAGGTTCTTGATTAGTCAACATGAGCAGGCTGTTGCTATTCTTCTTAACACTCCTTCTCTTTGTTGAGTTTTTATTCACTTTCTCAGCGCTTGAATTATCTAAAAATTTAAATTTTATTAAAATTTATACAGTAAGATTGATCTGATAGTTTACCATTCATCTGAGGAATTTGGGCTTCCTCCACAAGGCCAGGTTCTTGATTAGTCAACATGAGCTGGCTGGTGCTATTCTTCTTAGTATTCCTTCTTTTTGTTGAGTTTTTGTTCACTTTCTCAGCGTTTGACTTGTCTTAAAAATTAAGTTTTATTAAAATTAAAACTGGAACATTGATGCTGATTGTTTACCATTCATCTGAGGAATTTGGGCTTCCTCCACAAGGCTGGGTTCTTCTTGGTTAGACAACACAAGCTGGCTGGTGCCATTCTTCTTAGCACCCCTTTTTTTCGGTGAATTTTTGATAATTTTTTCAGTGTTTGACTCATCTTAAAATTTTTATCTTGTTAAAATTTAGGCTTGAAGATTAATGCTGATAGCTTACCATTCATCTGAGGAATTTTGGCTTTTTTTGCTTTCTTCACAAGGCTGGGTCTTAGGTTAGACAACACAGGCTGGCTGCTTCCATTCTTTTCAGTACCACTTTTTTTCTTATCCTTAGAGTTTGTGAACTCTTTCTCAGCGTTTGATTCATCTTTAATTAAAATTTTATTAAAATTCATACTGGAAGATTAATGCTGATAGTTGACCATTCATTTGAGGAGTTTTGACCTTCTCCACAAGGCTGGGTGCTTGGTTAGACAACATGAGCAAAGCTTTGATTGCCAACACTCTTGCTCTCTTATGAGGAGGTTCTTGACTGAAAATGAAATGTTTTAAATAAATTGTCAGATTATTAACTTTTGTTTAATTAATTGCCTTGTCCCAAACAAATTCAGGGCAGCAGTTTTCCAGGAAAATTTCCTTTTTTCGGCTGCTTTGGAAGAAAAGAAATTGACTTTTGAATTGCTGCTGGGACCAAAATAAACCAGCTCCACTGGCCCCTCACTCAAAGCCCTCTCGTCAGCTTTCTTGGGCGAATACCATTGCAGATCTCTTGCACAATTTCTGTAATGAGCCTCAAAGATTTTCCTCAATCTGGAATCACGAGATTGGCCAGGCAGACTGGATAGATTTTCATTTTCTGCATCTTCGGCCTGTTTGAAAAAGAATAATTTCCACAAAAGATGAAATAATATAAATTTATCTACCTCCATATCCGATTCATCATGGAGGGAGGCAGACTTGTTCAATTCCGCAGCCATAGCTTCAGCAAAGTCCTCCTGGTTGACCAAGTCCTTTTCCTCCTCCATCAATCTTTCAAACGATTCAACAGCTGCAAGTGTATAATTTGTGTAAAAATGAAAAAAAAATCACAAATAATAATACCTTTTTCCTTCAGCTCTGGGTCACCTGAAGATGAGTTGAAGAGTTCTATCAAATCAATGGGATTTTTCACGGAAAATGGTCGATAAACACACTGGAAAGAAAAAGAAAAATACATTCATATTCCTTTTAAAATCAGCTTTCTTTCCTAAGATTGGAAATGATTTTGTGAATTGGCTTAGCAAAATTTACGCACCTTTAAATTGGAGCATCTGACATGGGCCCACACTGGAGTGTGGTACCTGATGATGATCTTGCCTGGTTCATTATTATCGTCATCGTAGCAAGCGAAGGGACAACTTCTGTTGACCAGCGAACTCGGCGACTCGTTTTTGTGGGATTCAAAAGAAATTTGCCTGCAAAGGCTAATTAATTCGCTCATCTTGTAGCTGTTGGAGGCACTTGAGCGTCTGCAAAAAAAATATGTATAAAAATGGACTCTCTGTTGCTGAAATGCTTATGTACTTACTATTAAAGAACTTAAAGCTTTTGGTTTCGTACTAATTTAAGCGCTTAATTAGCACGCGTTGGCAGAAAATCTATGTATGCAGAAATATTAGTTGGAACAAGAAATGCTCAGTATGTGTTCACCAAAGCTCAATTTGTCAACTACAACACGCGATTAACAGGTTTGTTTTGTTCAATCTAATATTTGGTCACAACTCAGTCCTCAGTCAGTCCCGACCGCCTCACATGTTTCTGTGACTTCTGTGTTTATCTCAATCTGCGCAAGCGCGCACTCGTTCTCTCGATTCGCTCGTTGGTTCGCTCCAGCGCGGCAAAGACAAAATAGAAATTTTGAACCGCCAAAACATGTATTTTCCTGCTCAGCGCCGTCGGAACAGCCAAAAATGCTTCACCATTATATCCTTAATTAAAATTAGTTTTGCTGTGTTCCTGCCTCTCTATAGATTTGGCCTTCAATCCATTTCCCATGGCAGCCTGTTTAATGTTTTACAATAATAAAATTATATTTGCCTGCACAAACTTCACCAATGTCACCAATGAAAATGGTAAAAAAGCTTTGTGAAAATTTAAAAAAAAATCCGATAAATTTTTTTCAAACGCTCAATTGAAATCTCAAATAATTTTTAACATTTTGCCGTTAAATCTTATTGTAATCATGATTATATTTATCAATATTTATGTTAACAAAAATCAGTGGAAGGAACTGGAATAAAAATTGCCTGAATATTTCATTCTCACACTCATTAAATTTTTAATACATATGGATTTTATACACACCAATATTCATTTTCTTCTAATACACAAAGATATTTGTTTCTTTAAATTATAGAGAGCATGAAAAAGCAAATTATAGCTTCGAGAGCATGAAAAAGCAAATTTTTGTAGCTGTAACGAAAATAAAAACGATTCCCAATAAACAGAGTTACAATTTTATATTCAATGCAAATCAAATTATTTGAAAATCTTGAAAGGGATGCAGTGGTCCAGCTTATTTGGAGATTGCACACCAGGGTCAACAGCTTCAAAATACTTTCTGTCGTGCACATAGAAATAGTTGTGAATGAAATCAAAAACATCATTGAACTGTAGATCATCATAACGTTGGTTGATGTACAACACCTGGATTTGCTGGCAAAGTTCCAGGTTCTCAGGTGTTAACATGGAAAGTGGCATTTTGCCCCCTGCCCTGTTGATGGGCTCGACAATTTTGGACTGAAACTGTGGCCTGAGGTGTGTCTTGTAAATACAATTTTTCATCACAAACTTGTGGCACTCGATCATCGCATCAGATGTCGGCCAATTTTCTCTGCAGGCTCTACACTTACACTCGAATGACGGGCCAACATATTCAGAATACCACTGGCGTCGTTTTTCAAGAGGAAGCATAGGGTACTCCACTCCAAGTTGGTTTGAAATTTCTTCTCCAATTAAAATTAGTCTTGATGCTCTGATCACCATTTTTTTCTGATAGAAGTGAATGATTGTGTTGGGATCACAACTTGTTGTCAAGAAAATTGGACCTTCGAACAGTCCGGCGCCAATTGTCGGTCTGTAATTAGGACACACGCAGAGTTCATTGTTCATTTGCAACAGCGTGGCCACCAAGAAGGGGCTCAGGTTCCCAAACGCAATCCTTGCAGCTTTCATCAAGAACCTCAGCAGCGCCCACCTTTTTGCAAGAGAAATGTCAAAGCTGCTCACAACCATCCTCACAGCGGCAATGCAGGCGAAAGAACTGCTCAAGCGGATACTAACATTGCACTCTTTGATTTTCGACAGAATCCCTAGGTGATTGGTCGTGTTGGCAGAGGCTTCGTCCCTGGCTTCAAATTTGGTGCAGGCGTCAAGACCGTAGTAGGAAATTATTGCAAAACAAAAATTGACGTTGTGGATCAAATCGCTAAAACTTTCCAGTTTGATTGCAAAGTTCTCGCCAATCTTTCCATTTAGTAGGTCATTGATGATCTTGTTCTTCGCAATGCACTCATTCTTGTGCCAATTTTCCCAAGCCTGCGATGCACAGCTCTCACTGCAGAACACGGTCTAAAAAAATACACAAAATTTATTTAGGGTCAAAAAAAATGTTTTAGAAAAACATTTTTAAAAATATACTTTAAAATTGGAAGTAGCAGGTAATAACGAAATAAGTTTATTTTAGAAAATAACCCTAAAATATAACTTCATAATTTTGTCAAAATTTAAAATTTTAGTAAAATATTACACACTAAATTTTTACAATCTCTAATGGTGTAAGTGAAAATTGAGTTATTTTTATTTGTCTAGCCTCAAGCTCTTGAATTTTTATGACACATGGAATTTGATGTGATAATGGAAGAAAATTTAGTTTTTTTAAGATTTTATCTATGAAAATAACTAACGATTAATCTTTTGTCCAAATAAGTACATGCACAGCACGATACTACTATCCCAGTCCCATTTTTAATCTTTGTGATGTTACAAACTAATTTTATCTATGATTTAACTTAACAGTAAATAATAATTAAAAGCAATTGCAAAATATTTTATGCTTTATGAGATTAAACAACAAAAAATAGTACCTGGGAGCAAGTATTGGAAGGCTGCAGATTTAAGCAGATCCTCAGGCACTCACAGCAGTGAATCCAGCTTGGAGTACCTCCATTCTCTAAGGAATTATTAAAAGAGAGTTTTGGTTCCTCAATAATGAGAACGTCACCTAAAAAAACAAGACAGTTACCAAAAATTAATTCCCTTGAATGACTTATATGAAATTTACCAGCATTGATTCTCCTGTTAGCTACCAATGATGCATTTTGGCCTTCCTGTTTGATGGTAAGAGCAGCAGAAATTGTCGAATTCTGAGGATTTTGTCCGTAGCTCAGCAAAGGAAGTTCAAGGTGCTCAACTCGAAACCTTGGCATTTTCAGCTTGTAGGGTTCTGCAAACTGCCCAATCAGGCTTCTAATGGTCTCTTCTTCCACTTCAGACTTCATTTCTTGTTTCTTGACCATCTCGATGGCTGCATTCAGATTCTCTTGAGCCTCAACTTCTCGACCCAGCGCTTTATGGCAGATGGCCATCCTCATACGCAATTTGTAGACCAAACTATCAGGGTAGTTGTTCTGCAAGGCAATTTTGGCGTCGCTGATGCACTCGTCGTAGTAGCCCAGGGACAGCAGGACGGCGCTCCTGTTGGCGTAGGCCAGGCCGCGCTCTTTGCTGCCGGCTGCAGCTTTGACCAGACTCTTGGTGTAGAATGAAATAGCTTTCCAGTAGTCGCCCAGCTTGAAAAACTTGTTTCCCATCTCCCTCAAATTCTCTGGGTCAGTCATGGTGGCAGGAACTTCAGTATTTTCCAATGCGTTCGCAATCTGCACCCCTCCGTGCGTATCAAATTTTGACCTACATACAAAGAATTAATTAAAGGAGATAATTTTGAGAATCTAAATCATTTCAAATAAGAAAAACATTTTGATACTCTTAAATTGATATAGTAATTATATCATGTAAGATTTGAATTAATTTCCTTTTTATCTTTTGATTTTATTGATATCAAATACAAACTTATGTACACAACTTTTAATGAAAACTTCTCAGACATAAGAAGGTATATTCGACAATACTGCAATGAAATTTTCAACTTCTATTTTGCATTATGTAAATAGAACATTAATATATTCAAATTATGGTCAGCATACAAACAAGTTGAGGAATGGAAATGCAAGTAACTTCCTTACCATGGGAAAGACATCGTGCAAAAGGATTTTCCTGGCTGCAGACAAAATTCGGCAAACCTACAACACACAGTCACAATCATAATTTAGCAATTGCATTATTAAAATATTTAAAATATAAAAAAAGATCAAAGAGCCAGCATCTAAAAACAGCATGACATTTTTGAAGAAAGGGATCATAATATTATTATTGAATTGCAAAAATTTCCCATAAAATCGACACAAATTATACAAAAAAAAGCATTGACAGCAAAAGATACAAGTTAGTGATAGAATTGGTAGATCGAATACTCTTCAGAAGGCTTTTGTAGGAAATCCAGAAGCTTCATGCTGCTCTCAGAAGGCTTCACAAAATTAAAATTCATCTTTTACTAAGTGCGCCAAAAATACGTGCACCGTCACACTAGACCCAGAATCACTTATCATTTTTATCTTTTTCTGGACTAAAACTTGATTAATGTATTAAAAATACAGAGAACTCACGTATTTTCCTAAGATATCTGACCGGCTGAAATCCACAGGACGAATGAAGGACAAAATATTGAAAATAATTGTGCAGAAAAGCCGCTTCAGCGTCTGCGTCCCCCAGTTGACGACGCCAGATACATTTTCTGACTGGTTCGAATGGTTCGATCGTGTTTCTTGGGTATTCCTGCAGAAAATGTGACGCTTGTCTTTGTTTTTGGTGATGATGTGAATCAAAGCAGACAACTATAGAGGGAATAGAGAGTAAAATGCCTTTACTTGCGTTTCTGGCGGCGGGCGGAGGGGAAAGAGGGCGAAGTGGGGCGTATAATGCATTTTTATGCGTTTGGTATCTCTGTAAAACATTAAATATCAAGAAGTGACTTCTTGATTAAATATATTTATCATAATTAACTTTTTTTAATATTTAAAATTGCAGTTTTTGATTTTAAAATTTTAAGAGTAAAATGCAAAATTTTATGAAAATATTATTAAACAATAAAATTGTATTAGTATGAATAGTTTAATAAATTGTTTAAATAATTTTAGAATTTTATTTAATGGCTACTATTTAGATTATATTATTTTTTAGACAATATTTTACATTTTAAAATGTTCTTTACATCAGCACCCAAAATTATCTATATGCCGTTGCAACAATTATACACACTAATTGAAAAATTTTAAATAAAAGCGAATAAAAACATAAAAAAATGCTTTATCACTTCGATTTTTATTTCTTTTTGATTACATTGTCTTACAAGTTATTAATTTTTAGATTAGTTTCATTATTTTTCAATTTAATAAGATAGATTTTTGGTGATGTACGTTAGCATTTAAAAAGTGTGTATATTCTTACAAAATTAATATTCATGTTTTATGTTGCACAATACTTTGATTCTTACAGATTCTTATCAAAACAGCTTATATATTTATTACAAAAATTTATGGGAACGTCTACTATGAAAAATCCATTTGATATTTCAAAAGGCTCTCACATAATACGACGAGGGATGCTATGCCCCAACTTCTTTGAGGGCTCAACACAAGAACCAGAAGTAAAGAATTTCTTGGTCTTCACATTCAAATAATTTACCACAAAATCAAATGTGGCGTTGAACTGCAGGTCATCTCTTCTTTGCTGACGGTACAATTCCTGGATTTTGACACTCAGTTTGAAATTCTCCGGAGTGAAGAGAGACAATGATTTGTAGTTAGTGGCATGGGCAGTAATGTTCCGACGATACTGCTTCTGGAGATGTCCTCTGAATTCGGGATTTCTCGCCATAAAATTATGGCAGGCTTCTTGCTCTTCCAGAACAGGCCAATCCTCGCTGCAAGCTCTGCAGCGGCACACGTACGAAGGGCAGTTGGTGAGTGAATAATATAAGCGCCGAGCCTGCAGTGGCACCAGGGCATAGTTGATGTCTCTAAGCATGACAATTTCCTCCCCCTTCTCAATCGGTCGTCCAGCAAGAATCACCATGGTCTTCTGGTGGAAAACCTGGACCGTGTTAGGATCACAGTGCGATTTCAACAAGCTTGCGACAGGGTAAAGTCCGCAGCCAATGTTATGGTAGTCTTTGTCAACGACGATCTCGTCGTTAAACCTCAACAACGAAACATCAGCAATGGGGACAAAGTTAGAAAACAGGATTTGCATGGCTTTCTCCAAAAACTTGACCAGAGCTAGCTTCTTTTCCCCAGAAACGCCACAGCTGTCAGCAACAAGCCCCATTCCGTTTGTGCAGGCGACATTGATTGCCGAACGATTTCCAATGTTCCGCACCTTCAAATTCAAGAAATCCCTCAACTCTTCAGAGGCACCGTCAGAAAACTTGTCATTCTGAATGGCGTTTATGCAGTTTTCGAGGCCAAAGGTTGCAATCGCAGCAAATGATAGGTGGACACAAAGGATGTTGTCTCCTTTTCTTTGGATTCCTCCCTGCTTGATAATATTTTCTGCAATCTTGTTCTTCTTCACACACTCGTGCTTGTGATATTTATTCCAAGCAGCTGTAGCACACTCTTCGCTGCAATAGCATGCCTAGAATAGAAAATAAAACGTAATTTAAAAAAAAAAAATACAACAAATGAAAATATAAAATCTTGTTTTGGTCTCTAATAGTTTGAGGCTTTGTTCATATTTAAATCAAAAGAACATTATAATTAAAAATAGCTCTGTGAGATTAAGAACCATAAAAAATTGTTAAAAAAAATCTAGAAAAAATGTGAAGATCCTATTTATAACAAAAAAAACATTAGAAAATGTAAAACAAAATGCAGATTGTCATGAAATTTTAAAAACATACCCATTTGCATGTTGGACAAGGCTGGAGGTTCAGGCAGAGTTTGAGGCAATGACAGCAGTGAATCCAAGTTTGATCACCACCACTTTCAAGACAGGAGGACAATGAGAGAATGGGTTTCTCAACAATGAGAACATCACCTGTGTGTAAAATTAGAAAAAATGAAATTTTTCTAAAAACAAGCAATAATTTAACTTGCCAGTATTGATTTTTCTGTTTGCAAAAAATGTTGAATGCTGCCCTTTTTGACGAATTGTGACAGCAGCTGAGACGAGTGGGTTTTCTGGGTTCGGCCCGTAACTCGGACAAGGTGCAGCGAGGTGCTCGACTCGAAGATTTGGCATCACACTGTTGTGATTGTCTGCCAACTGCTTTTGGAAACCTTTGACTGTCTCTTCCTTCACCTCGGGTATCATATTTTGTTTCTTGACCGTCTCAATGGCTGCCTGCAGGTTCTCTTGAGCCTCAACTTCTCGGCCCAGGGCTTTGCAGCAGGTGGCCATCCTCATATGCAACTTGTGGGCCAAATTGTCAGGGTATTTGTTCTGCAAGGCAATTTTGGCGTCGCTGATGCACTCGTCGTAGTAGCCCAGGGACAGCAGGACGGCGCTCCTGTTGGCGTAGGCCAGGCCGCGCTCTTTGCTGCCGGCTGCAGCTTTGGCCAGACTCTTGGTGTAGAACGAAATTGCATTCCAGTAGTCGCCTGACTTGAAAAACTTGTTGCCCATTTCTCGCAGTTCCTCAGGGTTAACCTTGAGCACGGGTAATGTTGGTCGAAGCAACATTTCTTGTCTGAAGATGCGTTCCCTGTAAGTGAAGAAAGAAAATGTTTTTTCATTAACAAATTATCAAGTTAATGAAGTTTGTAATTTTATGGTGCCATAAAAATTAAAAAAATACATAAATCAGATTAATTACGAATAAATATAGTAACTCACCATGGCGCGGTCATGATGCTTGGTAATCGGCTATGCAAGTTTCTCTTTCAAAATCACGTAAAAACCAAATTTACGTATTTTTATGTGTGGACTAAACGCGCTCTGCGTTTTGTCTCTCGCGTCTTCTGTAAATGGAACAGGCGATCAGAGTCTTTCTGCCTTTTTCATTTGAACTTATGTACTCACAATTAAGCCCTCGGCTTAGAGTGTCCAACTTCCAATCCAATAACTCCAGTAACACTTCGAAACGTTGCAGTTCCCAAAAGAAATGAAGACTCGCTCAGACGCTCAGCCTAAGTTTCGAATCGTTTCTTGTCTTCTATTCTCCGCATGCATGAATTGTATTATTGTAAAATGCAGGCAGGACCCTTGCCAACCCCCCACCCTCATAAGATTTTCAATTCTTCCTTTTTTCTACTTCTCTCCTGCTCCTGCTCAAACAGCTCACAGTAAATTATCTCAATTCTTCAAACCACACAATATGCGCATGACTCACACGCACATTCCTTATATTTGCCCTCAGCAAAAATAATGTACATCAATTTCAACAGGTTCCACATTCTATACAAAACAGAATTATACACAACAAAAAGGAGAAAGACATGTAAAATCTTGCACGCTCTTGCACTGTCTGTTTGGCTGATTAATAAAATAATATTCAAAATTATTTTCGAAAGTATGATTATGTTTGTCATAAAGATTAAAAAAAAAAATGCGAAGTGCGTTATTTACATACATTGTGGCGGATGATAAATTTAAATACTAACTTAGAATTACTTGAATTTTATATCCGATCTTTACAAAGTGTTATGAATAATTTTGAGTAATATCTTCTCTGTAAAATAAAAAATTAATTGAATTCTCAGTTGATTCGCAATCAGTAGCGCGGAGATAAATTTTTTAAAGGAAACAAACTGTTTTTTTTTCCAATAAATTTGTTTAATATAAATACTTAATTTTTAAGCGAATTCATCATATAAATGAAGAGCGGTTTGCATGTATTTTAAATTCATCAAGTAAAACACAAGAGGCAAAAATTAAATAGATAAACAAATTTAACAATTTAGTAAAACATCGTGAAAATACACTCCTGTACATGAAAAGAATTACAATAATACATTATTTTTCATCTATATCAAGAAGAATAATTTCCTTTAAATGATTTATTGTTTATATTGATTATATTTTTTATGCATGAAAAGAGCTAATTTGTAATAAATTATTTAATTTCATAAAAGTTTTATTTTCAATTATTTAAGATCTGAATAAACTGTTTATTCTTTTTTTTTATAAACTCCATAACTTGAGCAAATAAATTTAATAGATCAGCTCCAGGGGTTGAAATTTTGCGCTTCAGAAGTTCAGAAACAATGGCCACGCGCGTGTTAATGTGTTGCGGCGCAATTAAAGCGCGGGGAGTGACGCGCGCGATTTCACGTGCGACTTGTCGACAAAGGGTTGAGCGATGCACCCTCATTACACTTAATAATTGCACACGGGACCTTTGCAATTGTCCGCCGCCCAACCAACATCTATGGCTGGCTGGCAAGCTCGTATTCCGCGCACTATTATAATAATAATAATAATAGCGAGTGCAGTCGGCACAGCAAACTCTGATGACGGCGCACGTTTAATTAAATCTGTCCTTCTCTCGCGTCCCGCCGCACCAAGAAAATTAGAGAGAGAGACCTTTGCAGGGGGTGAGATCGAGGGGTTGTTTTGCACTCTCGAGTGCCCTGTTATTACACTCGGCGGGGCGCACACCCCTCTCTTGTGAAATTGATGATCCAGATAATCGACATTATTAATCTAACAAAAAGTTACTTCGCTCTGCGACACACACACACTCACTTTTGCTCGCTGCCGACCGTCGCATGTCAAAGGGCGCGATGGCAATAAGCTGGTGTAATCTGCGGCCAAATTTGTTTCCGGAACTGTGTTTACTTCGTCATTGTCGCTGATCCTTGCAAGGGGATTTCTTTAAAAATAACTGCAAGTTTTCTACAGAAAGGCCAGAAATAATAATTGAATATGTGTTCTTTTTGAAGCAAAAATTATATTTTCAATTTAAACCAAAAAAAATATATAAATTTTGTGTGAATGATTAAAACAAAACAAAAATTACTTTCAATTTTAAATTAATTTAGTGTTTAGTTCTGAGCTTGGAAATGAAATACATTTTTTTTACCAAAAACTCGTACTGGATAAAACTATTGAGCCTGATTAAAAAATTTCCAACTAAATTCAATTTTAATAAAACTTAAGAAACATAAAAAATGCAAAATAAAATAGAATTTACAATAGTGTGGACTTGATGTCTGTAAAAATTAGGTAGAATGAGTGACAAAAATAATGAACTGCCCCTTATTAAAATAATTAAGTAAAAACACAAATTTTCATCATTAAAACCAAAAACAAAATACAAAATTTTGATTATTTTAAAAGTTAAAATGAAATCCATCTATTATATTCAAAAATATTTTGTAAATTTATGAACCGCATATAAATATATTATATTCGATTATATTGATGAAAATTATTTATATGTCTTTTTAATGTAAATTTAAGATTAATTAACATGAAACTACGGCGGGGAAACGACGTGTATGATAAATTTGGTTAATTTTACTGCCTCTCTGTCTTTGAAATTCCAAATGAAAGGTTGCAATAAATTTGAGCTCAATAAGACAAGAGGGTCGTTATGAATATTGATCAGATCGCGAGGACGGGCGTGGGATGAGCGGCTTATCAGCTCTTCCAAATTTAATAAAATCCTTTTTATTTCAAGAGCCATCCCCGCTCAGACAATATGTTCGGGGGGTGGATCGCCATTGTGTGATGCTGGGGCGCAAGCAGGGGATGATTGCGAGCCTATTATTAGAGTTTACAGATGTAATAAAATCGCACCCTCGCCAGTCGGCAGCTCTCTGGTCACCACATACAAATACGCCCGAGAGAGAGAGAAGAGGGTTGTTCCAAAGGTTATAAACACACGCTGCACGCATGAAAGCGAGCCGGATATTGCTCCGTCGGTCTCCGTTGTAAAGGGGAGGCTTTCTGTATATTTATTGTCACACCAGCGACTTTAATATTACACTATCATTTGTCATGCAGCTGCATAATAATATAATAATTCACGGTGGCCGCCTTTTATTATACACTGCGCGCGCTCTTCTCCGCCGATGAATCAGGCTGATTTATTGTTTCCACGGAGCGGCGAATAATGGCTTTGCAATTTGCATTCTATTGCCAGACAAATAGCACAAGAACTACATTCGAAACGTCTCGCGGTGGAAATAGATAGCTCTGTTTTCAGGACATGCGACTAGTTTCAATTTTAATGAAATGCATGCCATTCAATGGAAATGCAGAAATTTTTAAAAATTTAACCGGTGTCCTTTTTTTTACATTTTTGTACTTTGGTTTTAAAAATTTCTTGATATTATTTTAGCAACCGTTAAAAAGAATTATTATAAGATAGAATTTGCTGAAAATGGGAAAAGTGTGGTTTCATAATAAGGAAGCAAATTTTTGAGTTCAAAACAAGGTTTTAAAACAAAAGTGATTTTTTTTTTAATTGTTGATCAAAATAGTCAATAAAAATTCAGAATATTTCCATTGACTTGAATTAAAATATTTAAATTGATCTTAAAAAATTTATTAACAAATAAATAATAAAATAATTTCATAACAATTATAATTAATGATAAATAAATTTGATTTAAAAGTTCCATTTAAAAGTCATTTGCAAAAAAGGATGAATTTTTACTAGCTTTACAAAAAATATCTGTTTTACTTACTTAGTATAGTGAACTTCATTGTAAAAAATTTCTAAATTAAAGTAGAAACTTTAAATTTTGGAAACATTTTCACCCTCTAAAATAAAAATAGCAATCTGATAAAATGAAAACATCTGAATATATCAGAGAAATTTATGTTTATTGAGAAACATCCCACGTCTTTATAATATCACATTTTCTAGGAGGACTATTTTTTAGTATTTTATGATGAAAAACTTGAGCGCACTGACCTTACTTTTTTTATTCCAGTGTTTTAATTTGTTTCAACTTATTTTTAGGATTTTACATTGCATGCTCAAAAATTATTCCTGCCGTGTTTTATTCTCCTTCCCGTAAATGCTTGTGAAATTTCAAATCACAAAAAGTTCAAAGTTCTCCTCTTAAAAAAAAAATACTAATTATTCATTAAATTTTTAGAAATCATTTATGTCGTTGTGGTGCAACTTTGGTCTGGGAAGTTTTAATTGTTCCATGGCGTTGAAGTCGTACAGTCCGCTGTACCGGTCATGCTCCTTGCTTTTGCTTTTTTCCACCGCCGGAATCGGCTCCTCGTCAATGGCCCACGGTTGTCTTTCTCCGGAGGCGCAAATCGCGTAAATCACGGCGCCTACCAAATAAATTCCACTTGCGATGTAGAAAACGATTTTCCACTCTTCAACGCTCTGGAAGTGAAAAATTCAAATTCATTTTTCAATTAATTAAATTTGCTGCTACCTTATTTTGCACGATGATTCCAGTGAGCGCTGGGCTGATTATTCCTGGCAATGTGGCAAAGGTGTTTGACAAACCCATAAGAAGGCTGGCATACTGCGGCGCAATGTCGAGATGATTCACACTATAGAGAATTAAAAACCAAAATACGTAAAGAGGAGGAATTTTGAAGTTTTTATAGATTTTAAATTAAAATGTAATTTTGTTCAAAACATTACGTTAAAAAGAAAACACGAAAGCTTCTTTTTTTAATATTATTGTATAAAAAAATATTTTAATTTATATCTATTTATTTTTTATTCAATTATGCACTTTAAATAAATTTAGCTTAACCCTTTATCACATATTTTACTGGCGCAAATTTTACAGTAATAATTAATGTTCAAGAATAAACTTTTAAATCTGATGTTAACATAAAACAAATTTAGCATTTTTTTTTTAAATTTTACCCAAATTTGATATTTTGGTTCAGATTGAACGCAACCTGCCAAGCGGCCGTGTGCGTCAAATTGCATACTTAACCCAAACAAGGCATTGCTTGTCACTCACCTGAAGCCACTCCACGCGAAACCGCCAAGGCCGACGGCCACCGTGAGACACGCGACGGCCTCGAGTGGGGCCAGCAAGTAAGCGGCCAACATCATGAACGTCGTCTGGCTTACGAAGGCGCCGCAGTTGAACAGTTTGCGGACGGCTGTGGTCGAGATGAACTGCTTGGAGCGCAGCCAGTCGGCAAGGTGTCCGGCCAACTGGAGCACCGCCGCCATCGCGAGGTATGGCAACGCAGAAAGCAAACCCGCGTCTTTCAGGTCAAACTCCAACGTGTCTGTTTTTAATAAATAAAAAAGACAAAATTGTAGTATAAAAGTGACAATAAGTACAAAATTAAATACAATTAAAAAATAAGTAAGAAAAAATGGCAAACAAAATCGTACCTTTCATGAAGGTCGGCAGTTGCGTCAGAAGGGTGTAGAAACCCCAGTTTTCCGCAAAGTGGGCCACGATTATGGCCCAAACCGGCGCCGATTTTAAAAATTGACCCCAAGGTGGACTTGTTTTCTATAATTTTGTTACATCAGAATAATTATATACATTTTTTTCTCTTTAATGTACTTTGTAATTTTGCTGTCCAAGTGATTTTTGGATGTAGATGAGTTCCTCTTGTGAAATTCTGGGGTCCAATTCGGGTCCTTCTCTAACCACAGCCACCCACACAGCATACCAAACCAATCCGATGAAGCCTAAATTTAATAAATTACAAATATCCTGTATTTTCTGTGAATTTAATTTAAATTGCACTAATTTAGGATTTGTTTTATTTTTTACATTAAAATTTGCAAATAAAATACTTGCCGAAAACATAAAACACGTAGGGCCATCCGACGTGTTTTGCAAGATAGCCGGAGAGGGGTAGAGCGACCACGGTTCCCACGTAACTTCCTGAAAACGCCAAAGTGGCCAATTTGCTCCTCTCCAGCGGAGGAGCCCACCTCGCCCACACTGCGTGGATACAGGGATACGTGACACCCTGTTGAAATAAATTGGAATTATTATTTTTAAATAAATTTTCGTTCTAATTAATTTTTCGTACCTCAAATACACCTTCCAGAACTCGGAGAACGAAGAGCAGAGTGACGCCTCCGCTGGCTGCCAAGGGTGTCAAAAGGGTTAAAAGGGCCGTGGACGCAATTCCAGCCCCGAATAAAAGGGCGCCTCCTATCCTAGCGCCCAACCAGCCGCCAGGGATTTGGGTGATTATGTAGCCGTAGAAAAATGAACTTAAAAGGAGGCCTCTGGTCTTTGAATCCCAGTCAAAATCTCGCCTCTGTAAAAAAATTATTTTGGGAGATTAAAATATGGAGTTTTTCTATTGTAAGCTTGTATTTCTCAAGATATTGAGTCAACGTTCTCAACTTTTACTTATACCCGCATCAAGGAAAATATACAGCAAGTAATATAAACGGCGCACTAATTACTCAATAAATATTTTCTCTGGCTCTGGGAGCAGAAATAATCCAGATTTAACCCGATTTTAAGCAGAACTTATTTTCGTATAAACATAGACGCTCTTAAAGCTGCATCTAAAAATTAAAACAATTATTTTCTGGCGCCACACACGATGAGCTCAATGGCAAAAAGCTTGCCACAATTTTCCTTTCCTGGTTTTCAAATGTCAGGTGAGCTCGATTGAAAATTTGTCGTGGATACTCGATGCAACTTAAGGAATCTTTTTCACGCACGAATTACGATGCCGCCGGTTGTGCAGATCTTCCGCTCGGCCTGACAATAATGCATTCATTGATCATACTTTCACAATGCGCGAACGCGCTCACAGCTGAGAATTCTCGAGAGAATGGTTTGACATTCTCGATGATTGCGAAATTATCGCCGCGTGAAACCTGCTTGAAACTAGAAATTGACTCGAAACATTCAGCAAAGAGGGTTTCATGGTTATAAATATTTGCTATATAATTTGATGGAACCACAAAAGCATCTTTGGCGCTCGTGTGATATAAGCGGGTCCCTCTCAATTTTAATTAACTATTAATTAAAAAAAAACTATAATACTAAAATTTAGTATATGTATTTAATATTTTTTACTTTTAACCTTATTCTTTTTTGCAATAACACTTTTAAATATGGGAAAAAAAGATAATTAAAATGTAAAAATACATTAAGAAAAATTATTTCACAATTGGTTGCGGTGGACTTATTTTTTACGAGGAGTTATTTGCTTGATATTTTAAACCCTTTCATCTAGTTTTTTTTATTTTTTATTTATTATAATTAGTAAGAATTATTGAAATAAAGAGCTAAAGAAAAAATGGAAAAAAACATATTTTAATATTAAATATTTCTTTAAATGCTTTTTACATAATTTTTTTTTTTTTAATTTTAAAAACCTTCAACCTCCTTCACTTTTAATCTGATTATTTACTGAAAAATTACCTGTATAGTGGTACCATTGTCCAAATGAACCGTGTAATTGCTCGTCATCGCGACAATGGCCACACTCAAATTGACTCGCAGGGCGTACACATTCCAAAATCCCAGGAACGCTAGAAAAGCGACCACGTATCTTCTCGGCGGCGACCAGCATGATGATTTTCTACAAAATTAATCACATTGCCTCTATTAATTTAAATTTTAAAGCGTAGCATTTGCGCTTTAGATAACATCGCGCGAGAAAGCAGTCTGAGGCACGCGGTTTCAAGAGCGCCGCCGATTTAGCGACACTTTGAATTAAACTCACTGGCATGCCAATCAAGGCCAACTTGTTGATTCCGACTGGTTTTCACATTCGTAAGTTCCGCGAGCAAATATTTGCGCTCGCACTTTGACCATTGCAATAAAATCTCAATTTAACGCACTTCTTCAATGCTAAAATAAATTACATTCTCCTTTTTTATGAATTAATTTTTTTATGAACGTAATAAAAAAGATTAAATTTGCTATTTTAAAATTCATTTTCCGATTTGGATGAATATAAACAACAATTTAATTGTTTATTATTGATTTTTAAATTTTTTTTTAATAAATAATTTTTTTTTTAATTATTCTGATTTTAAAACGTGCCTTTTAAACCGGTGCTCTTGAAATTAAAATAAGAAATTACAAATGAAAATGAAAGGAGAGAAAATTTTGCTCCACTACACACTCTGGACAGGTGAAATTGCTTTTTATCTACGAGATGGGGAGGCCGCGGGCAGTGGGTCACACTTCTTGCCGCCGCCGATACACAAATTTTTCTTACTTGCTCTCCAACTCGGACGACGGTGTCTCCGAAATTTGCATACTGCTCTCACTACTGTGCACCGTCATGTTGAAAAATAAAGAAAAGTCCGACCCACAAGTAAGTCCAAAAGTTCCGTCTGCGATGCACTGACGGATCACTTCTATGAAAAATTATATTTTCTCGATGCACTCTATGAAATCGCGAGCACGCCGCGCGCAGGAAAAGAAAAGGAGTCGCGCGCTCTCGGCTCGCGCGCTGCGCCAAATGAGTCGAACACACCAGTCCGAGAGCTCCGGAGCCGCCCAACCACTTTCACTTCAAACCCATTATCAATCTAAAGCGCCCAGAGAGCAAAAAGGCCTGCATATAAAAGGAATTTATTTATTTCGATCGGCGTGGGAATTCAATCAATTTGCACCCGATTGGCAAAGGTCATTGCTGCACTCAAGTGATTATTATGTTGTTGGCCGACTCACTTGATCGAGTTCAATAGTCGTTCAGGTACTTTCTCTCCACTTTGACTTCCTCCATAAATAAATTAGACTAGAACGCTACCTGTATTTTATTAAATCCGACTGCTAATTAAGTGAAGTGCTTCTCATTGATTTCGGTTTCTTTTCGTGTTTAAAGTCCATTGTAAAGTCCATTGTTCGGTCAAAGAAAGGTTTCACTCTCGCTTGTTTAATATGTGTAAGGATCAAACTTGCATGTTGTTGTATTTCGTCTCGCGTGCAGTTCGTTTGGACGTGCCCATATATTGAATTTCTAAACATTTGTTTACACTTGCTGCTCCAATTCATTCAAAGTCCGTGGGATATAATCCGTTAAGAAAATTCCCGCACGTATATATTCTTGCAGGTAAATAGATTTATTTATTCCATACAACATACATTAGGATATATAGAATATCTAATTGTGAACCAAAATAGACAATAATTTGCAAGATAAAAGCACCAAACATATTGATTGAAACAATAATTAATAAACTTTTTTAAGCTATTTAACAGTGCGGGTGCAATTTCAAGCATTCATTGTGCATTTCTATATTAATATAGATTCTGTTTACAGTAAATATAATTCCTAAAATATCCACTTTGCAGTTTGATTTTTACTTACACAAAAAGAGAGACAATTAAAGCAACAACAAAGAACAAACTAGAAAATCAATGCTCAACACTAGTGAGTTTGGGATAATTGATCCTGAGAAATATCATGAATGGGTATTTCAACCAAGGATCATACAATTTACGTTATCACAGGTTGGGGCTTCTGAAATGCGCGCATTTTCCTAAAATCTAAAATAAATTCAAAAATAGACAAAAACGCTAAAATCGCTGTAACAACAAACTAAGCAAAGCTATTTACAAATAATGAGCTTGTGATTAATTCGTCAAGTATAGGCAACCACACAAAACAAAATTAAAAAATAACTCCAAGTTGAGTAAAACGCCACTGTGATTTGTGTCTCGCAATACAAAATAATGAACCCAACTATGTGGAATGACAGTGAGTGCTTCAAGCAAGTCTATAATAACATTTGATAAGCAGTGCAAACTACTGACTACATTGTTGAGAATAAAGTGGCTCACATTATAGTTAAGGAATTCTTTCGAGGAATCATTGTGCCACTTGAATCAGCATCAAATCTGAGAGATCATAATTTTCAACTATTTTCAAATGTTTTTTTTTTTTAATCGTTATAATAAAATCCATATTTTAAATATTAATAGTTTGATCTGATTTGAATGATGCCAAATAATTATAAAAACAAACAGTGCAGATTATAAACTTTGTATACAAAAAAGATATGGCAGCCATTTCCTGATTCTATTTGAAAATTTGTCCATCCAGGCATAGCTTTCAATGGGCGGTCAACTGAGTGTTTCATTTTAATTGACTTGTAATTGATCGATCAGCCAGCCTTTCAACTCAACTCCACAGATTTTACATACCCTGAATCCAATGAAATTTGTAAAAATGAAAATAATTGACGTTTCTGGTCTTTAAAATGTGGATAAATTTTGGCAATAACATCTATATTATTAATATATATGTAGCTGATAGTTTCAAATTAATCTGAATCGCCGCAAGTGCCAGAACCAAAAGGGAGGTCCTCTGTGGAAGCTCGTGAGTGCGTTTCGGCACACAAAGTCTCACCATCCTGGAGCTCTGCCCACCGCTGCAATTTGCCAGAGGCAAAGAGACCAAAGAACACAGCTCCTGCCAAGTAAATTCCGCCAGCAATGTAGAAAACCGTTTGCCACTCCTCAGGTGTCTAAAATTTAAAAAATATTTTTTATTTTGAATTAGAATAAAAAACCACACCGACCTTGTGTTGAACAAGATGGCCTGTTAGAAGAGGGCTGACCATTCCAGGCAGAGTTGCCACCGTGTTGGACAGACCCATCAAAATACTCGCGAACTGAGGGGCAATGTCCAAAGGGTTGACGCTGAAGCCGGCCCAGGCGAAACCTCCGAAACCAACAGCCACGGTCAAGAAAGCAACGATGGCAGTTGCACTTGTGGCGTGAGCTGCGGCCAGCAGAAAAATCGTTTGGAAGATGAAAGCTCCGCAAGTGCACAGTTTGCGAACCTGAAATGAATGAAAATGTTAAGAAAATAATTGAATTTTACAAGGTTTTTCTTACTTTTGTCGATGTTAAGTAGCCATGTGAGATGAGGTGGTCTGCAAAGTGGCCTCCGACTTGGACCACAATGCCCATGACTAGATATGGAAGGGCTGATAGGAGACCAGCATGTTTCAGGTCAAATCCAAGAACGTCTGTAAAATAATTTTAAATAAATTCCAAAACTATCAATTTTGTTTAAATTAGTTTTTCAAAGTCTCTGTGATTATTTTTAAACAGTTTTTTTATTTACCATTCATGAAAGTAGGCAGTTCCGTAAGCAGAGTATAGAAGCCCCAGTTTTCACTGAAGTGAGCCAGCATAATGGCCCAAACTGGCAGGGATGTGATGAACCGTTTCCAAGGGACGTCCATGTTCTTAAAAAGAAATTATTTGGGTTATTTTTATTTTCAAGGGAATTCAATTCATGAGATTAGTTGAAAATGAAACAAACAATATTAAATGTGCAAGAAGAGAAGACAGGTGTTCCCAGCACCTCCGAAAATGATACTTTACCACCTTCACATGGTTTGCTGAAGGACCAACAGTTGCTCTGATGTAATCAAGTTCTTCCTCGGTGATTTTTCTGTCCTCTTGGGGAGTCTCGCTGACCACGTTAAGCCAAACGATGCACCACACAATTGCAATCAAACCTTGAATTTTAATTTGATTTAATAGAAAATGTTTTTGTAGGTTAATTTTTATGTTGACTACCAAAAACGTAAAATATGGAAGGCCAGCCGTAGGTTTCAGCCAAATATCCAGACAGGGGCAGAGAAATGACAGTTCCGAAGTAACTTCCAGAAAAAGCAATTGTGACCAAGCGACTTCTTTCCAAAGGCGGTGCCCAGCGGCTCCACACAGCATGGATGCTGGGATATGTGACACCCTGGAAACCATTCTCATCACTTTATTCTTTTGTCGAATTCAAAAGTTACCTCAAAAAATCCTTCGATAACTCTGCCGATGACCAAAAAGTAAAATCCAGCCCAGGCCAATATCGGGGTTAGCAGGGTGATTATGGCCGTGACCAAAATTCCCAGGCCAAACAATTTCTTTCCTCCAATTTGTGTGGCTAACCATCCTCCGGGAATCTTTTAAATCCAAATTAATTTAAAATAACGAGTAAAATTAATTTTTTATGATTATATACTTGAGTGACTGCATAGCCGTAGAAGAACGAACTCAAAATTATTCCTTGAGAGCGACTATCCCAGTTGAAATCTTGCTCCTGTATAATTTATCTTACAAATAAAAAAATTTATAAAAAAAATCCAATCATTTACATAAGAAAGGTGTCCATCTTTGTTGATTGTCCTGTTCGCAGTCATGGCCACGATAGCCACGCTCAGATTGACTCGCAGCGAGTAGACTTGACAAAATCCAAGAAAGGCCAGAATTGCCACGACGTGTCTCCTTTGAATTCCATCCAACCACCTGCTGCTCCTCCTAAAAAAAGTAAAAAATAATGCACACGTTACAAAATAGAATTAAATATCAAGGATCGGGGATAATTTGGGAATATTTCATCAATTTTTTCTGCTAATTATTTGTTTGCAACTTTTATTTTTTCACTGTGACAATTAAGCGTGTCGACAGCAACACTTGGTGGAAAATCAATAACCACCTTTGGTGATGTGGAATTTCCGTCAGCGACTGTGTGTAGTGGAGGTGCGACTTGATCGCAGTTTTCTCGTCCGGACTGGCGTCCGTCGAGCTCGGAGGGGTTGCCAGCATCGTCGCTCTTTTAGCTCAAATCATCCTCAGGCCGAAGACTTCCAATTCGGCCACCGTCGGCCGAAACTGCCTGCCAGATGTCGACTCGTCTATGTTGACATTTTCGTGCCGATTTGTGAGAGGGAGGGGCGGGGTCACGAGGTAACGCCCCTGCGGTGACGGACACGGGGGTGGGTGCGTCCTCGAGACATGTAAACATTGCGGTCACTTCGATTTTTTCGTAACCACAATAAAAATGATTTACCAGGACTCTTTAGGATGAAACTCTGTAAGTTTTTTTTTTATAATCGGAAGTTTCCTTTTAAATTTTATAAATTTCAGGAAATTGCCCGGAAAACGGAAGCAGCATGAGATTGACCCCTTCGAGGATTCTGTTCACCTTGATTATCTTCGTTTTGATTTTGACAACCTGGCTTATAATAAGCCATAGTGGTCCTGACCACTACATTGCTCAAAATTGCCAAAACTCTGAAGAATTTCAGGTAAATTTTCAATTTAAAATTCATACTAATTAAGTTTTTTTTTTAAATATTATTATCAAAATTTTTACAAACTATAAATTTAAACCATATTTTTAGGATGCTCTGCACAAGCTTGCCAAGGACACCCATGACCTACTGACAGGGCTAGGCTTGACCCATGCCTTGTGCTATGGCGCCCTTTGGGGTCAGATTCGAATGTCTCGAACCCTTCCTTGGGAAAACGACGTCGAGTTCTGTGTGCTCAACGAAGAGTTGATGCAAAAGGACGAGGCCTCGATCTTCAGCACCTTCAGACGAAAGCAGCTGCAGTTGTCTTACGACTCTGTGGACGGAATCTACACCGTGACCAATGTGGCCGTCGAGCCAACTTCCGATCGTAATATTTTATTGGGAAAATTAATTTCAATTATTTATGTTTGAAGTAATTTCAGTGGCCAGGGCAGTTGTGAAGCTGATTGTGTTTGAGGAGGACAGCAAGACGGCCAGGGTGCCCGGCAGCAAGGGCATGTTGCGCAGGGTGGGGTGGAAGAGAAGGGTGATGCCCCCTGACTGCGAAGGAATCGCAATACTCGAATGCTTCCCACCAAATCTAGTCACTCCACCGCTGCCCGAGAGAAACTTCGGCGGCTTTTTTATGCCAGTGCCGAGGGAAGGGGTGGAAATTCAGAAATATCATTACATCGACAACTGGTGGAAAGAAGTGATACCAAAGAATTGTTAGTGAGTCCTCGTAGATTAGCTGCTGTTTAAAAAAATTTTGCATACATCTAAGTACATAATAAATCCAGACAAATTTCCATTAATCTGCGTTAGTTTTTATGAAAATATAATTCTGTACAAATAATTATCACTGATTTAACATCAAATCATGAGAAGCTTAAACTAATGAAAAAATATCTTTTAAATAATTCAACCATTTAAGAAAATTCTCGTTTATTGTACAATTCATGACAAGAAATTAAATCAAGACCTAAAAATTTTATATCACTCGCAGAAACAAATTAGTCACCAACAAAAAAAAATAAATTGGCACAAATTGAACAATGAATGAATCAAAGAGCTGGATGTCCTTGAATCACTCGTCGAATGAGGGACTTTTTACCGGAGGCGCCGCCCTGATGTGTTCTTGTGTGGCGCGCCGAGTCCGACCTGCTGGCAAAAAGTTTTCCACACTCGGTGCACATATAAGGTTTTTCTCCAGTGTGCGTCCGCCAATGCACGACGAGACTGCATCTCGCCGCAAACGCTTTTCCGCAGTCTTGACACTTGTACGGCCGGTCGCCGGTGTGCGTCCGTCTGTGGATCACCAAAGTCCCTTGCGTCCGAAAACACCGTCCGCACTCTTCGCAACTGTACGGCTTTTCGCCAGTGTGGATCCTTCGGTGTATTGCAAGCGTACCCTGAAGATAAAAAATTTCATGAAGTAAAATTTTGGTTGGTTTTGAACTTCAAAACAAAGAACTTTTCAAATCCCATTAATTTTTTTCTTATTAAAAAATAAATTATCTATTACGGACTGATTTCATTTTAAAGTTTTGTTAAATTCTTTTACTTCAACAATTTTCACAATTTTTATTTTGTTTTAATCATACAAATTTCTTATTAATACCTGAGTTCGAAACGCCTTCGGACACTCGTTGCACAAATAAGGCCGGTCGCCTGTGTGGATGCGCTGGTGGGTGGAAAGCTGAGAGTGCTGCCGGAAACACTTGCCGCAATCTTCGCAAGGAAAAGGCTTTGAAGGCCCGGCAAGATTCTCTTCCATTGTTGACGAGGACGGCGAGCGATGCTGCTTTTTCTTGGGAAGATTTTGCCCTCTGTTGGAAACTCTTTTAAAATTATTAGCAAAATTTTTAACCCCGCGGATAAAATGAATTTGTTCTCACCTCGGAACATTGATGGGATCTTGACTCAAAGTGCTCGAACTTCTATCAGTCTTGCTGCCCAACATAAAGTGACTTTGTTCCGAGTAACCCCAAAAGCACATAGCAGCCGCCGCCGCCGCTTGTTGCTGCTTCTCCCATTCAGCCTTAGTTCTCATCAAAAGCCCATCTTGAACCTATAAATTGTAAATTTGTTTAACATTTTTTAGAAATTGTTTTATTTAAGAAAAAATATTAACTTTCCAAGAAATTTTTCCTATTTATATTTTCAAATTTTTTAGCAATAATTTTCTTGCCCTTGCTTTTATTCTAATTTCACTGATCATACGTTATGCGTTGCGGAGTGAGCATTGTTCGAGCCTGTCCGAGGCGCCTGATGCGCCGACGGTGCCGAATAATGGTGCGAGGCCCACTGCGCCAAGAGACCTGCCGTCTTCCCACCGCCTCCTTTGGCTTCATTCATCACCTTTTGAGATTGGAAAATCGGATAACTTTGAGTCTTTGGTGTGTCTTGAAGTGAATTTTTCATCAAAAGCCCAAAATTTAATGTGTTGACTGAAAAATAAAAGGGAAATAAGAAATCATTTTCTGCTGTGTTTTCTTTTTACTTTAATAAAAAATATAAAAATATGTTTCAGCGTTGTCTGAATTTCATTTGAAAATTATTCAAAAGTTTCTGTGATTTAATTTTGCACTCTGCAAACCGCTTTTTAGTATAAAATCTCATTTTATATTTACAATGAAAATAAATATTAAACTGAATAATTAAATTGCTAATGAAAGTTAATTTGATTATTTTTTTTAGTAAATGGATGCTCATATTCAGTACAATGCAAAAATATCATACCAGTGAGGCGAGATGGACTGTGTTTGTTTTTGTTGTAAATAATAATTCACATTTTTAGTCCGCGCAATTCACTTTCATCAAAATTTTACAACATCAAGCAAATAAACGCTTTTGATTTGTGAATTCTGATGGTAAAATCAGTAAAGCCCTGCTCTGAAAAATAAATTTTTTTATAAATTTCCAACTGTGTAATGTGAATCCGCTGCTGATGCAGCTGCAGCTGCTGCGAGAAAAAAAACATTTAACCCTTCCGTCGTTTTACCAACCGCGCGATATTATACGAAATGTGTTATTAGTTAAGTACTTCGTTATTAAATTCACTCTTTAGTTCATTTTTTCACTTCTTTAGAGTTAAATTGAAAATAGCATTTTAAGATATTCTTAATATTGTGCATATAAATTATGATCTTGAAAAATTTATTCATATATCATTGAATCGTTGTCTCCGTGGAAGCCCTTTAATTTGAACTGAGCACATTCCATCGAGCGCGCGAACATTTTATTTTATATCTTCAAAATATTCAACGAAATTAAACTTTTGAGCAGAATGATTGACATCAGGTCATTCCATTGCTATTTGATCGGTAAGTGCGCCGCGCTAAAATGATTTAATATATATTATTTTTTTATTTTTTGAATTTCAAAGCAGGAGATGCGCTTGTTGGAAAAACGGCGATCACTCAAATGTTTTTGTCAGATGGTGCAAAATTTCCAAAAACTTACAATTTGGTAGGATATAATTTATTTATTCAAATGTAATTTTTCTAAAAAAAATTTTGCAGACAACCAATATAGAATTAAACTCAAAATTGTTCTCAATACCCGGAGAAAGTGCAGACCACAAAGTGCAATTTATTATTTATGACACTTCTGGCCACGATATCTACAACGACATTATAAGAAAATGTGTAAGTTTAAGAAATCTTAAATTCTTTTAATGCAATTAATTTTATTTCTAGTTAAATAAAAAATGCGACGTTGTGCTTTTGGTGTACGACGTCACCTCGACTGCCAGTTTCGAAAATTTAAAGGAATGGATCAAACTGATTTCTGAAGCTGAAACAATCGGGAAAGACAAAATGCCAATTTTCGTTTTGGGCAACAAATCTGATCTGCACAACAGAAGAACGGTTTTTCTTGAAGGAGACAAGTCTGAAGAAATGATGAAGGAGTTTGAAGTTCTGCAAACGGTCGAAGGCTCTGCTGTAAAATAATTATAAATGTTCTTTTTTTTTGGCTGATTGTGTTTTAAAATTTCAGAAAAATTATGAAGGAGTCCATGAAATTTTCACAGCCATGGCGCAGTACCTTGTGGAAAACTCGTAAAGAAGAAAAAACAATTCAAACAGCAAAATTACTCTGTCTTAAAAATTTAATTTTATTATTTTCAATGTAATGCAAGTCAAATCGCCTTTTACAATAAAATAATCAAAGTCAAATGCGACGTGGATCTTTTGCTTGATGTTAATTCACATCTCAATATGATAAATTAAAGAATAAATATACAGCGTTCAGCATCATCGATTGCAATCAACAGCAAGGGCAGGAAAATATAAGTTGAAATAATTTATATTGTATCAAAATAATTAAAAGAACAATTCCTGTTGTAAGCTTGGTGAAGTGCGCAGTGCGACACGGATTTCGTTTAATCAAAATAGCCACTCTAGAAACTAATTAGGAAGCAACAGACCACAAGGAATGAGTAAAACAATTAGATGCCTCATCTCTGTCTCTGCGAAGGCAAGACCATGCCACAGTTGACTGCCATAACCCAACACACAACAGAAGTCTCTCGCTTGCAATTGTTGAAAATAAGCAAGTCGCTCAACTTTTCCATTTACCCACACAATTTTTATTTACAAAATACAACAAGGCATTCATAACTAATGAAATTTTATATGCATGTACGTTGCTTTTTTATAAAAACCATTTAAGACAACCAAAACAAATTTAAAAATCAAATCACGGTTTGCTTGGAAAAGCAATGCAGTTAAAAATAGGAAACCAACATGACTGGCAGGTATTGATTTGTTTTTAGCATGGACTGCTAGAAGATTTTATGTAACCACTGAAGTTTGGGGGGCTTTTCACATGTTCGTAATTCATCCAGGGCAGATATTGGCATGAAATCAGTCACATAGTATTTAATAATTATCATTTCACTTGCAAAGCAATTAGTAAGTTTAGGAAAGATCCATTACAAAGTTTAGAAGTAGTATTGCTATGGCAGCAGAAAGTGAAGAAATAATTCGAAATTAATAAATATATAGATAGAACTTTTGCAGTTATTCATTTTATAAACCAAAATGCCAACCATAACAAGATTAATCGTGTGATTACTTAAATCAGTTTTCATAATTTGGTATTAATTCTTTTCCTACGCTGCTTAAATGTGATGCTCTCTCCAGATGAATTAGTTGTAAATTTTTATAGCTTTCTCCAGCATGGTGTACCTTGACCGTTTCGGAGCCTTGTTGACGTGATCAAGACCAATCCAAGGTCTCGGTGGAGTGTTTACGAGGATAGCTGAAGGCAAATAAAAAGGAGCGTTGATGTGTCGGAAAGGAGGATTCAAAAATGGATTTTACCTTGAGAGAGGCTGCTTTTGAAATCGTTTTGGCTGAATACGTATTCGGTCTCTTCATTGATGTACTGAGCCCTTCCCATCAAGACTAACGCAAATTTGATCTAAACAAAATTAGCAACACTTAGCAAGATTTATTCAACTGAAACACTCGACTTACTCTTTCAAATTCTTTTTCTGGCAGTCCTAATTTCTTCTGTATCCTCTCTTTGACTTTTGAGAATGGATCACCCTGAGAACAATAATAATAATTATTTGATTCGGATTGTTTGAAATTTCTCAATATTACGTATTTGACTTTGACGACAAAGGGTGTTCCAAAAGTGGCGTAAACATCCTTTGAGAAGTGGGCCACTGGAACCAAAATCTCATCTTCAGCCAAATGCAGTTCGTCAGCTGGGATCTCTTCTATTCTGTATGTTTTGTTGGTGGTTTGGTTGAGGTGGTCGAGAGGGACGTCTTCACCAGGGCAATAAGAAATCTTGAAGCAAGACATCTCAAACAGCCGCAGCTGTCCGGTGCCATTGTCCGACATCTCCACCTCCTTTCTAGCCTCTTGCAGCAAATCAAAGACTTTGCCTTTCTTGCAAGGGTAGAGGGTCAATTCCTTCTCCTCCTTCAACTTAGGGCTCACCCAAATGCACTGGAACATTAAAACATTGAAGCAAAGTGCCACTGGAAATAATAAAAAAAAATTCTACCTTAAACTGTTTTTTATTTTCCAGCTCGTTGATTGGAATATTTAGTTGCTGGTAGAAAATTTTCTTGGGTTGCTTGGGCTTTGAATACAGCAAGAGATCCTTGAGGGTTCCATCAAACGAGCAGCGAAGAGGATGGCCAGGACTATCTTTATAGCTGTTGATGTTTTAGAATTTAGCAACTTTAAATCAAGAATTTGGTTTTGAAATACTTTTGAGATTTGAAGAACTGAAGCAGTGAGGGTTCTGTTCCTAGCCTCTGAGCAACACAGTCAGCCAACTGGTCGTAGCTGATGCGATGAGACAAGCCTAATGTGAAACCCGGGTCGTTTGGAATAGCCTTATCACAGAATGTAACTTCAACTCGATAATACAAATCCCTAAAAAACAATTCATCTCGTAAAAATTCCTTTTAGAAATGCAGAATCTATTACCTAAAGTAGTCTTTACAAGTGGGAAGATCCGACGTTTCCTCGTGCTCGTCCTTTTGGAAAACAATGATGTCTCCATCCATCAGCTCATCCAAACCCTGCACATTTCAGGTCTAAGTATTTTGAAACATTAATAAAGCATCAACCATACCTTTTCTAGAGGATCAGTCACGTTCATGATTCTGTCTACTGTGTTGGGTTTTATCTCTTCATAAAGCATAAGCTCTGTGCCTTGAGGAAAGCCAGCTCTCTCATTCAAAATGGGCACAAGGTCAACTAGAGTAAACAAACATTAAAGAAACCAAAATTTTGGTAGCTTCATTTGTAACTCACCAACTTTAGCTGCAACAGGCATGTACTGATGACCACAAAAGCGAATCTGCTTTGTTTTCGGGTCGTACAATTTGAAAAATAGCAACACATCTGAATCTTTGTCAAAGGAGCGCAGAGCCTAAAAAAACCAGTCAACATCCAAACTTAAAATAAGAGTCAAATATTTACTGAGAGATCGGAGTCTGGCTTGAGGGTTTCCAAGAATAAGTTCCATGTTGTGTTGTTTTCTGCTAAATCAATTATTGACTTGTTGGCGTCGCCTTCAAGGTCTATGAATGTTGGCCGGTTGGTTTCGTTTGTCCTGTACCCAAATGGCCAAGGCCTGATTTGCTCTTTTGGGTATTTCTATAGAGAAGAAAAACATGAAACTGAAATGAGTCTAGCAAAGCTAAGAATTAACTAACCAAGCTCTCAGCGAGGTGGTCTACCAACTGCTCCAAAGTCATTTGTTTTTTAACTCTGAATACTTTGAATGGAGCTTTTTCTGGGTCAAACAGGTCATTGCCTTGGTGACCCTCGAAGCAGTCTTCAAGCAACACATGGACGTTCATGTAGAGGTGAGCCTCATTCCGCTCCTTGCGCCTCGCCTGCTCTAACCTTTTCTCCTCTTGAAGCCGATCACAGAGCTACAGCGGAAGAATTTTTTTTATAACAATCCAATAAAAATTTTCATTTCATTACCTCTTGCGGGATGTCATCCTCCCCAACCTTTTGCAGGACGTTCTTGAGCTCTGAATCTCGGATGTACACCAACATGTAAGCATTGGTGCAGTGTTTCACAGTCATGTTCATGTCGTCATCCTGTCCACCGTAGTTATTCTCAATAGCCTCTTGTTTTGTGCACCTCGAAACCACATCATCATCAAACTTGCACCACTAAAATTCACATTAAACATTTAGAGATGACAATAATTTTTTTTCATGGCAAATATACTTTTCCATCTCCCTTGGGGTTGATGAAAACAACGTAATGCCCTCCGTGGTTGTCACCACTGTGGACAAGAACTGCGTGCAGAGTATAAGTTGCAGGGGTCGATTCTGGCTCGTTCAAAAAGGAGTCAAGATTGAGTTTCTCGTAGAACTCAAACCTATCGTTGAACTTGACAGAGCAGTCAGTAACTGGGTCATACTGGAATCGCATGAGGTGCAAATGAAGAACTGGGGGGAAGGAGGCAAAGATGACTCCTTTTTCTGCGTCTTGCAGGCCGTGGTCGCCAGCGTCGTACTTGTTCTCTCCGTCCAGAACCTCGGTTGTGATGTAATCCTTGAATGACTCCTCGACTGCAATTCGCTAATTAGTGGAAATTTTGGAAATCATATAAAAACATACTATTTTTCTTTCCCTTTATATTCAGCTGAATATCGTAGTAGGTCTCATGTCTAGTTGATTTATAATCCACATTTTTGCAGTGGATGTAGGACTGAACAAAAGAATCAAATGAAAGTCGGTTTTAATAATAAAAACACAGCTACATACCACCATTTTGCCCTCAAAAAGCTTAGGGACTGTTCCCTCGACACAAGTTCCTTTCATTTTGCTTTCTAGTTTATCGAGCAGCTAAATAAATGAAATCAGTGTTGGGATTTTCACTTGAAAATTGATAACTCACAACACGAAGGAATTCCTGCACGTCATGCTGCATGAATGAATCCAAAGTTTCCCACCCAAACGACTTGGTAAGTTTCTTGGTTCCTACTGGTTTGTCAGAAAACTGCAGTTCATGGAACACACGTTGAAGAGCAAGCGCTACGCTCTTTGTTGAGTCATCACTCTCTGTTGGCATCTTGTACACAGCCTGTGAAGCGAAATTAATTTTTATTATCGCCACTTAAAGATTAGAGGAAAAAAATAATACCTTTCTAAGCTGATTTGTGAAGTACAGGGTTTGCAAAAGCGAGTTCATGTAGCAAGTGGCGCCTTGATTTTTAAGACCCACGTAGCCTGTGTGTTTCTTAGAATCCCATGACACGCCATGGGGTGCGTCGGCTTGAACGTGAACCTGTCAAATAACATTGAAAATGAAATAAAACAAAATTTAAGAAGTGAAAATTAAATTAGATGTTAATTTTCTATTTTTGATCAAGGCATAAATTCATGTTAATGTTTTGAATAATTGATTCCCGATTAATTTATAACAAACATACCTCCAGGATAATGGCGTCATCTTTTATGTATCCCTTTTCTGGGTCTAAGACGTCGTTCCAGGACATGAAGTGGCTGAAGCCCCAATCATTTTCTTTGCTATAGAAGAGATGCTTGATATCTGCAAAAGACAATTGAGAGTTTTAGTTTTGACTCGAGACAAAAAAGTAGCTCAACCACTTACTTCTACAAAATGCATCTCCACCTTCCCTCTGGCTCAAGAGCTTCAACTCGGCCACTGCGTAGCAATTCCAGGAGGACGACTCTGACTCTCCGTTGCACTGTTCATCATAATTTAGTGCTTGTATGACAGGGCGCTGACAATATTGTACCTGCAGGAAAAAACCAAGACTGCGCTGTTGCTGCCGGTCCTGGGGCGGCCCATACCGCGGCATGACCATTATTTTCCATGGCAGGTTCCTCACGAAGCATGGTGGCGACAGCTGCGAGTCCTTCAGCTTGGAGAAGTTGGTCACCGTGAACCGAAAGGTGGCCTCCGACCTGGCCTCGTCGACTGTGGACAAGTCTGAGTCAGGAAGGGAAATAAGCTACGAGCGAAATGAAACTCACTCTCTTCCATGTCGGCGTCCTGAGGACCTCCCGTGGGGAACTGCAGTTCTCCGTTGACCGACTGGTTGTCAGACTCGATGCCTCCTCCGTCTGCAGGCAAGACTTGCACAGGATCAGCTGAGAAGGTGAATTTCACATTCTAACTATCTGACTTACGGTCTAGTTTGGACGGGGGCAAAGTGGGCTTTTAGCGGAGGAATAGAAAAGATGGAAAAAATGAAGGGTTTGTGCGATATATTGACTTAATGAGATCAGCTCGCTAGCAAGGGGTTGATCGGAAAGTTTCCATCTGAAAAGCAGCAGCAGTTGCTATGAGCGCACCTTATCGCCCGTGCTGGGTTCGCAAGAATTTTGTGGCAAAGATTTGCCGGGCGCAGAGCTAGCCGAGGGAAGATTTCGAGAGAAAATACTGCATGTCATTCAAAGTGTGAGAGTTGCTAAAGGGTTTAGCCAAGACACATCAACGGGTTGCACTGCGCATTCCCGCATGATGCCGAAGCTGCTCAAATACAAAACCCGGCATTCGCTCAAAACACAAAACATGATGCTCGCTGCTTGTCCGATGGCCCTTGAAGGACTAGAAATTCGGCCCGAAATCGAAAATTCGGACCGATATTGATGATAGCAGGGGTTAAAATGCAAATTTTAAGGGATTTTTGACCCCAAAATCGAAAAAACCGGGACCCCTTTCGGCGGATTTGGGCGCCAAAACAGGCCCGAAAAGAAAACTCACCTTCCTGCGTATCCATCGCTTCGACCTCGTCCTTGACCATTTCCTTGTCGTTTGTGTGGTTCATCGTCTCTGTGGAAGCGGTCTCGGTAGGCTTAGCTTTCTTCAGGGTAGCCGAGCAAGTTTTGGCAGTCTGGTTGCCGCTGTGAAGACTGTTTTTACCGGATACAGTCACTTTAACGTGCTTGCTCGCAATGCGCCCAATGTCTGCTGCCTTTTTCCACCCCTGTTTCCAGGGGACTCCACCCGACCATATATTATCCTTGTCTCGCAATTGTGATTTTAATTCGCAACGCACCTACGGCACAATCTAGACACGATTATATTGCTTCTTAAGGAAAATAAACAAAATGGCGACTCCCAATATGAATGACATGTATGGTTCGGGCAGCGCTCACCAGGTTGTGCCACGCGACCATTTTGAATTTGCGCAGCGCTAAATTTGCGAAATAATCCACGGGATCGACGCACATTAAAAATTGACCAACGCTCATGACGCATTGCTTAAATAATTTTACAAGGATTAACTGTTTTAAGTCCCGTATTATATATCTTGGTTGAAATTCTTGTGGAGAAAAAAACCAGAAAAATAACTGTACAATGCAAATATTGCATTTTACTATTTAGTCTATACATTATTCCTTTTGTCTGCTTATTAAATGAAAATAATTTTCTTGTCACAATGACAGGTGAATTTTTGTAGGATTGATGCCAAAGTTGTTAATTAAAACAAGAATCTGCCAATTTTATTGGATCTGCGAGTGATTTACAATTTGACTTTCTCATTCTTCTAGCGTCTGCATAAAAGTCAAATGCCATTTTCTTGCTTCCTGTCCAGGTTTTGCAAAAATAAGTTTTATACGTTCTTGCTTGCTTACTTACCACTTAAAAAGTAATTGACCTGCTATGAACCAAAAATAATAAATCATATGCAGAAAATAATCAGCGCGCATAAAATGCCCCCCGTTAGGGTGTGGAGAACTTTTTTTTCTTATTTTCCTTCTTCAGCGTTTTTTTTTAAACATTTGATTTCGGCCTTGGTGAGAAGGCGTCAATCAAATTAATACTTTTCAAGACTCGGCCCCATTTTTGGTTGCGAGAATTTATACAATTCAGGGTTTTCGGGGGTGGAATCTGGGTAGGGCAAGGTTCAGAGGCGAGGGTAATTCAGCTACTACAGCAACTCGTGTCTCCAAACCCCCGCACAGCAACAGCTGCACAACAGCAACACTGCTTTCTCTGATACACCACCCGCGCCTGTAGTTAAAAAATGAGGGTTAGCACTTCAACGAAGGAGAACATGAACTGCAATTTAGTTTACACAATAAAGTTACGTGAGAGCTACATCGTCTAATGATAAGATTTAGCCAATGATTACTATAGATGCAATGGTTGTACTTTACAAACAAAAAAATAATATCTAAGCCCATCGCGAACAGGACAAGGTCGGTCACATTGGATATTTATAAAGTTTTTGAATTAATTTGTTTGCACACATCTGAACAACATGAGGTCACTCGTAATGAGTGCTTTACACATTTAATTTAAATCTTAAAATAGCAATCGTCAGCATTTAGTATCATTTTATATTTAGAGATGTTGGATTGCATGGCTAAGTGGACTCCCAGGGGAATGATTTGTGTCGATAAGAGTTGAGGAAAGGCTAAGTACCTGGCAGGGAGCACCTACAGCACCTCCTACCGCTTACTTTTTCCTAACCCCTCTTAAGCTCCCCTCTCTTGGAGTGAAGGATCTTCAGCTGCTTCATAATTTTCACGAAGTCCACTTGCAAACCTGGAGATAAGAAAAATCATCAGTAAAAAATACTTATTTGTACTGAATGTCTCAGACTGGATTGAGGTGTGCATTGATTATTAGACAACGAAACCTCACCTAAGTCTGGTTTTTATTTTTCTTCCTCAAAGAAATCTCTTACGTGTTAACAAAGAGGAAACGGAATTTGAGGAAGTTGAAAAAAGTTTGATTTTTCACCTTTTTTTTAAATCAGTGCGATTTGGAACGGGACCTGCTGCGGTCTCGGCTGCCACTCTTCTCCCTCTCCGGAGAACGGCTGCTGGCTTTCCTAGGGCTCTTTCCCCTGGAACTCTTGCTGTCCGACCGGGACCTGGACCTGCTGTAAGACCTACGGCGGCTACGGCTTCTGCTGCGACTCCTACGGGAACGAGACCTTGACCTTGATCTGCTTCGACCACCACCACCACGACGAGACCTGCAGCACACGAAGGAATTAAATTTTTAATTTAAAAGTCGCATGAAATTTTCTTGGACAATTTACCGTCCGTGTCTGCGGTATGGTGAAGATGGTCTTCCATACCTGGCCATTTGAACTCTGAGCTCCCTGCCATCGAGAATCCGTCCATCCATGGCATCAAGTGCGTCCTCGGCATCTCGCTTGTCGTAGAAACTGAAATTCAAAACTCGATACATTACATTGCGGCAGATATGATATGAAGCACCAAAGAATTTAATGAAAATTCTCGGATAAATTGGTAAATCTCAAATTTTTGAAAATTCTTTACCGGACGAAGGCGAATCCACGGCTTTCCCGGGAAAATCTGTCTCGCGGTATGTAAATGTCTCCAACTTCGCCGTATTTTTCAAACACGCGACGCAAATCTTCGGGTGTCGTCCTGTACGTCAGGTTGTCCACCTTCAGGGACACCATGCCCTCTATGCTAGGAGGGGGTCTTCCGTAACTCATTCTGCACCGTCAGTCGGTCCTTCGAGCAGAAAAATTCGCAGAAATTCGCCCGTCAGTATTGATCTGCCGAAGAGAAACAGCGTGAGTGGCGAGCGAACAAACAATATGGCTATGGCGGCACCGGCGTATTCGCTCGGAGAAAAACCGGAAGTAGATGGCGCGAGAGTCGCGCGAGAAAAATTGAACGTCGATCATCATAAATGCGCTCGTTCCTTATTATTTTAATACTTTTGTCCCCAGGCAGGGATTGTAAAATTTTAAAGCAAACGCAATAAATTTTGGAATTTTTGAAAGCACCTTGCGCGCAGTTGCGGCTTCTGACAAAGGCGCCGCGGCGATCACACAAGTTCAAACAGTGGGCGTGACGTCATCAAAGGGGTTTTGGCCTGGCAAAAATCGTCGCTAGGTTTGATGCTGCAAATCAAACTGGGCTGACTTTGCCTATTTTTTCACTGAGAGGTGTCAGGGATGGCGTCGATTGTGCTGAAAAGTTTGTCCATTCTGCTCGGACTTTTCTTCATCTTCGTGGGAATCATGAAGATCACCCCGAAATTGAGCAAAGACCTGCACAAAGACTTGGTAAGCAGCTCGGCGCGCGCTTTGATGTGCTTTTTATTCCTCGATCTTTAACTCTAAAAATAGGTCAATCCAAAACTCCGATGAGGATCTCTGTGTTGTTTATTAAAATTCATTTTTTTTTTTAATTTCCACTTTCCTTCCAAAATGAAAGGGAAAATTATTTCTCATTAATTATCGCGCGCACCCTCAAAATTATTTTTGGCAAGCCAACTTTGCTCAAGACTATTTCTGTTTCGTTTAATGAGTGCCGGCACTTTTAATTTATCTGAATTAATTTTCTGCCTTTCGCTGCGTAGCTTCTCGACTCTGGAAGGAAATTTAAAACGCAATTAATGGAGCGCGCAGCAACTCGTAAATCTCGCCAGAATTCCAAGTTCACTAAATTATGCTTAATTTCTTTGGCTGTCGTTAATGATTATTTCATTGGCACGCTGCCCCAAGTGCGAGAGGTCTATTTTAAAACCTCCTCTCGTGAGTGCTGTTTTTCGGCACCGACTCTTTTATACTGTTATGCAAAAGAATATCGCTTTCCAATTAGAAAGAATCCAGCAGGGAGAAAAGCTTTCAAGAAAAAAATACAGTGGCAGTTTGAAAGAGATTAAATGAGAGGATTATTGTTTATTTTTTCGTGGCTGGATATTGCATTCCAGTGGTTTTCCCGCAGTGATGCGTCCAGACCGAATTAGACGTCTGTGAAGTGGAACATTTTTGTTTATTTTATCTTGTCCGTCGAGACCGATGTATTGGAGAGAGCAGAATATTCCGTGATGCGCTTTTAAACCTCACTATCTCCAAAACTAGGGAAATAATAAAGAATTGACATTTAGAGCCGGTTTGAGTAAATCTACTCAGGCGCGCCTGTCAATCAACAATATGCAACCCGCACATCCCAAGTGCGCAGTAGTTTGCATAATATTGAAACTTGCAGGCGCTATTCATTTCTGTGAAAACTAAATAAATTAATTAAAAATTTCAATCTGTCGAGAAAAAAAAAACTTCTCTAAATCCCCAAATGTCATCATTTTGATAAATTAAAAATAAACAAAATCCTGAAAATTCAATTATAAACTAAAAATGTTCATCGCATCAATCTTTTAACTAGTTATTTTTTTTTATAATTATAAATTAATTTTATTCCGCATTTCTTCCATAGAACAAAGCACTTACTTTCACTGCAATTTTGTTACAGAGAAAGGAGTATGTGAGATATTCTAAAGTGTTCCCGTTGGCTCAAACCCTTGACTTCAAAGTGCCCTCCAAGTGGTACAGGCGCGTTGTTGGCAGCCTGGAGGTGGTTTGTGGTTTGGCCCTCACGTTCGTGCCATTTGGTGAGAGCAAAGAAAGTAGTCTTGAAATTGGCAACTAACGACTAATAAAACATCCGCAGCTCGTGTAAAACAAGGGGCGAACATAATCCTGGTCGTGCTCATGTTAATGGCCGTTTACTCGCACTACATGGTTAACGACAAATTCGAGAGAATAGCGCCAGCGCTTGTGAGAATATTTTTAAAATTCTGAAATCAACGATTTTAATTAATTTCTCTGCAGGTGTTCTTCTTCATGCTTGTGTGTCGACTGGTCGTCGACTGGCAATTAAGACGCAAGGAGCTACTCAAGTTGGAGGCCGCGGCAGCAACAAATGGTGAAGACAAGCAAACCAAGCAGGACTGAACGATTCAAAAACTCTAGAGCTAGATTTTTCTAAAAATTTTCGTCTTGTGAATGTGCACTTGTTCTCTATATATTTATTCAGCAACTTTAAATGTTACTCTTGAAATTTCTTTTGTGATACGTGTATGTAATTTGGTTATTTACGAGACAGACTTTTCATATGTGAGACATTGTTTTTATCTAGTCACTTTTTGTATTTGTAACGGACCCCTTAATATCATTCCCATCTTAACCATTTTAATCATGTATTTAAATTTACAATCTTCCCGAAAACCCTTTGAAAATATTGTTAATAATTTCTCCGTGAGGTCAAGTTGATTAATGTTGCTGCAAGATAAACCATTTTATAATTATTGTGATCAAATATTAAAACGCACAAGAGCGGGATTTTTTATACAATGGATTACTTTACAGTTGTAAACACAGGGGCTGTTATGAATTTTTGTAGTCGTTGTCATTGTTGAGTACTAATTACTACTATTGAACGAAAAACTATTGTTTCCGCATTCAGCTGAATTCATGCGAATCCTTGGTGTATTTATCGATATTTATTATCATAAATGACTAGAAATGTTGAGACATTTTTAGAAAAACTTGTAAATAATTTCTAGAATACCTCTTTGCATGTGTGAATGTGAATTTACTAGGGTAAGAGTGAGTGTGATTTGATGAATGAACTGAGAATTTTGTGATCCCTGATTAGAATTTACACCAAGCACATTAAATTGGCCAATTTTTGCACTTGATGTACCTACAATTCTTTGTAATCCAACAGAGATTCAAAATGAATTTAAGCACGGTGCCAAATCAAAGGCAGGAAATCAGAGTAACTAAAGAGAGCGATTAGCTGAAGACGCAATAAGAAGAAAACTATAGGCCTGCATGATTGGACGTTGTAAAATCCAGGCAGATTTGAGCAGAAAATTAGACATTTTTGATCTCCATTGATTTATGTTGAATATCAGTGTAGATAAAAAAACAGAGTTGTTTTGATACAATTCATGCAGTCCAATAAAGCCAGCCTTGACACCCAAAACCAAAAGTATAATTGAAAAAAAAACCCGATTTAAGTTCATCTGTAAATATTGTAGTTAAAATTTATTCATTGTTGATTCAGGCGCAGAGAATTTACAATATAACGTGCATTTAAGCAAGCTAACTTATGTTCACCGTATATTGTATTGCAAAAATAATTTAAACACACATCTTGTTTTATACTTGCAAGAAGACCAACTGCAAGTGCTGAGATAAAACACCCATTTTTCTGGGATGCAGCAATACGCTTGGCATTCTTACAAGTTTGTTCAAATTTATTATAATTTTCGTCGTAATTAATTGTGCACAAATATCGGATGTCAGCGGAAGAGTTGAGTCCAAGGAGTTTTAGAGTCCAGTTCTGCAAGCTCTTGAGATTAGGAACTGGGTGGTGGTTTAAAGAGACTGGAGGAAGCACGTCGGAGAAGAAATTGCTGCCTATTTGAGGAAATACAGAAATTGCAGAGGCAGCAGTGTTCGAGACCTATTATGAGCTTTGAGAAACAATGTAAATAATTTAAATTTAAATTTTATCATCTCAAAATTTCTTGTTTTAGAAACATCAGTAACCAGATTTAGCTGAGGAGGCTAAAAAGGTGTTGGGAACAGTCCCGAAGGAGTTCCTGGAGTATTCCAAAAAATGATTCCCTCTTTTGTTTGTATCCACACGTGGCTGGCCATTGTACATGTTTGACGGGAGTCAGGAATGAATGATTAATATGGCGAATCTTATGTTTTTCCCTCAAGTAAATTCTTCATGCTGCTTTCCTTAATGAATTATTGTCTTTTAAATAAACAAAGTATTTATTTGACAAATAAATGATTTCATTATTTCAGTTCCAACTTCCAAAAGTTCCTACCAATTAAGTTGTCTCACACTTCTATTTAATTTAGAGTTTTTACAATGTTCAGAACAATAGGTACTTACTTAGAAAGTGAATTATTTTTTTAGCTTGCGGTTAAATCAATATGCTATGATATATATCTCATATTTTAAATGAGTAGTCTTAAAAATAAGTATCACTGTAACTCCTCCACACTTTTTGTTTGAGTTTAAAATGTTTTAGGGAATCTAGATAATAATTTGGAACAATTAATCCAGCGATATAATTACCACTAGTATTTATTTTGTAAACTTTTTATTCATTTCTTATAACATATCAATCAGGGTAGAATCTCAACGTAAAAATGGACTTCTGATGAGCTATTTAAACCCAAGAAAATAAGACATGAATATATATTCCTGTGAAAAAAATACTTAATTTTGTCGTTAATTTAATGCAGCTCTGCAAGCCAAGGTATCAATTAGCACTGTATGTGGATATATTTAGAAATAATCAGAATTATGATGAAACTAATTTAAAATGTTTGAAATTTTGTTCACAGGACACATTTTTTTTCATTTAACATGCATTTTCAAGAGCAAAAATATTTTGAATTATATTATATGAAGTTCAATTCAAGGGTTTCTTTCAAGGCCTGTTTCTCAGCAACGGCTGGATCAAATAAAAAAAAAATTCTATGAAATTGCTCAAAATAAAGTCAATTTTTGTTTTCTTGGATTAAAAACCGATTAACAGCGTGTCGCTTGAATTTTTTAATTATTTTGAAAATGTGTTTTTTAAATCTGGTATTTTGGAAACCAATAAAATTCTTAAATTTCAAACAAATCATTTATTAGAAAAAAAATATTTTTGCGGTCATTTTCATTATCAATTTGTCAAATTCGGACTATTAGTTACCGAGATACAGACCTTTTCGCAATACTCAACATCAACTTACGGCAAAAAAAGTAATTTTGGCCGTGAAAATTAAATTTACATCTTTATAAAAGTTCAAAATCAAATTTTTTCATCCTAAATATTAACAAAGGTATTTTTTTTTTAATTATTTTAAATTTGGAAAATTTTTTTTACCCAAAAAAATATTAGTTTTTCTTCACTTTCATATGATTCAACATAATTAAGTTTAATTTTAATGTCCATTAGTATTAGTAATTTTCCATCAACATTTTTCAATATAGGCAAGCGCCAGACACTCAAAATTAAGTCCTCATCAATTAAGTTTAACATTCAACACAGCATACAAATAATGGAGGAGGAAGAGCAGAGCAAGTTGCCGACCTCGACGGAGCCGGTGGACAATGCGTGGAGTTTGAAACTGCCCGAGTTCAAGGCAGGAGAAATGAAGGCCAGACTGTTGGAGGAAAGTTCGTTTGCCACCCTGTTTCCAAAGTACCTGAAAGAGTGCTGGCCGCTGCTCTTCCTCCTCCATTAGCAGCTCTAGTCTTCCTCCTCGCTACTACCATCGACACCCCACGCCAACTGTTGCTCTTCCGTCAGATTGGCCCAAAGTTCTCCAACTTTTTTCTTGGTAATGGATTTTTTGCCGTCGGCATTCATCTGCTTGAACTTCTTGTAGCATCCAGAGGCGAATGCTTTGTAGGCTTTCCTCTTTGTTGACTGTTGTGCAGAGGTGTTGGGAGAGGTGTCAGTCTTAAAAATTGAATGTGAAAGCAGATCTTCCAACTCTTTTTCCTTCTTTTTTGTGTTGCTCTCAGCAGATTTGAGGCCAGGCAAAGCAGGAGCTTCTTTCTCAGAGGCCTGCCAAAAAAATTTAAATTTTTAAAATTTTTTTCCTTTTACAATATGACTATATTATAATTACTTTTTCCATTAAATTTATCTCTTTTTTACCTGATTGTGAATACTGGCGAAAAATTTTTGCATGCTGGAAAAAACGGCATCTTCAATGGATCCCTGTGTGGCCATGGTCGGCAGCTGATGTGTTGCTGTAATTCTGCTGGTTTGGCACCATCGTACCAGGCATGCTGCTGGTGGTCTGCTGGTTCTGGAACATAGAAATGTATTTCATTACTTATAATAATGTAAAATTGATCAATATGCATCTAATATAAATAAAGTTTTGTATGTATAATTCCTCAAGAGAAATTTTGAAAATCTAACCTGTCCTAACTCCATTGACGGCTCAGATCTGTCGTCATACACCGCGGCGCCTCCGTAACGCCAGTTGAAAGCAGCCAGCTCTCCCTGACTGCTGGTAGGGTAATTTGGTGAATGCAGCTGCTGCGCTCAAGCAGAGCTTGCGTGCTTCTGAGAGCAGGGAATCCTCCAGCACGAGCAGAGTGCTTAAAACATTTGATTTAATCTTAAAATAGCAATCGTCAGCATTTAGTATAATTTTATATATTTCAAGATGTTGGATTGCATGGCTAAGTGGACTCCCAGGGGAATGATTTGTGTCGATAAGAGTTGAGGAAAGGCTAAGTACCTGGCAGGGAGCACCTTAAGCACCTCCTATACCGCTTACTTTGATTTATCAACCGTGCTGCATGCAATTCCTCCGCTCCTCGGGTGCACAGGGTACTGGTTCACACCACTTTCAGGAGTGGCCAACTATAAAAGAAAAGTTTAGTTATTCAATAATTAAAAAGATTTTTAACAAAATACCTCAAGATGTGGCAGGTAGAAATAGCTGCCTGACATTTTTTGTTCGCTGACGCATTTTCCAGCGGGCCGCCGCGCGCAAGCTCCAAAGTTGCATGAGCCGAGCCGGCAATTTGGCCGCTGCTAAACTGTAAAAGATTTTAATAATAATTCTAAATATCAGGCCCTTTTCCAAAAAAGGTACCTGCTGTGGTGAGACAACAGCATCATGATCATGATCAGTTGGTCCATTTTGATCAGGGGCAACTGGTTTTTCGTCGCCGTCAGTTTCTTTGCTTTGTTCGGAGCCCATTCCTGGAACAGTCAATATTTGAAAAGTTTAAATTTATTTAAGTATTAAACAAAATTATTTACGGCTATTTGGGAATTAATTTTAATTTTATAGTTTTGCAGTCTATCTTTAGCAGTGGCATTTGGTGTATTGTTTAAATTTTATTGTTGCATTAATCACCACACATTAAAGTTTTTTGATAAATGCCACGAATTGTCTAGTGGCCTCCGATGTTTTTTTTTTATTTGATTGGTCTGCATGGCCAGTCTTTTCTGCTATACACACAGACAGTCAATTTCTTCTTTTTTATCTTTTCATTTTTCCAATTCAGTTTGATTAATTGATAGTATTAATAGCATCATTATATTATTTTTAAATCATTTTGCACATTCCATCAATGCTACGCACTACTAAAAAATTTAATTAATAAGAAAAAAAAACGCATAATCTTAAGTGAAAAAAAATCCTCATTATTTTTCTTTATTGCACTTTCTGTATCATGCACGTGTGTATATTTTGCTATCAGCCCCTATGCAAATAAAAAAAAATTTATTGGAGTCTCATCGATTCTCACTTCATAAATTTATCAAATGACTTTTCTGATTTTTCGAATATTTGGCTCCCCTGCGCGCTGCAAATGAGGCGACAGAAGAATAGAGCGCGGTTTGCATTACATATCTTGAAGGAGTCCCGCAATAGGGCCGAAAAGAACAAGGCCGAAAACGGCTGAGCGGAACAAGGCCGAAAAGGAATAGGGCCGAAAAGGAACAAGGCCGAAAGCTGAAAAATAACCGATAACCGCGAGCGCGTTCATCTCAGCGAACATTCAATCCTTTGCGCGTCAATACCAAAATTTGTCATGCGGCCGTTTCGCATTGGAAAATAGATGAAAAGACTTCGCAAAAAATTCTTCATTTTGGGCGAGACACATAATCACAAAATCACATAAATTTAGGGGACAACAAGATGAAGATAAATTGATCTCTTGTACAGCTTCTCAACCTTTTCCTAATATCATTGTAAATTTTTGATGTCGACTGACCTATTGATTTGAATTTGGGTGGTATGATAACGTGATTTGTTGAAATTTTATCAATTTTGGTCAAGCTAATTTTGAGAAAAAATAAATAAACTCTAGGAAATTCTCATAACAATGCTAAATTTAAATTTCAAAAATTTAGGTCTCCTAACAAATTCATTTTGTCTTAACTATGTCTCCTTGGAACTTGACATAAAAAATCCGATGCTAATTAATGTTGTGGAGCAAAATTAATTGGGTCATTTTTTTTTTTTTGCAAAAAGCTCTCCTTAATATTGAGTTTCCAAGTCTGCTGGTCAGTTTTCTCTTGAATATATCTTGATCAAATTAAACCTCTCTAAATACGATTTTAGCCTTCAAAAATTATTTGGCCTTATTCTTTGCACATATAACAAAACGCAACTATGCCACTCGCGCGGCTACATCAACACGACTCATGTATCGCTGCTCCTCGCTTGTCATCCGACACCCTGTCTCTCTCTCTTCCACGGCCACGAATGGTGCAGCAAGCACCATCGGTGGCCGCTCGAGGAAGTGCCGAGTTTACCCCGACAAGCTTTTGCATAATATCATATGAACCGCGCGCGGTGACTGGCGCTTGGCTTCCTCCTCTCAAAAGCACCCGCCAAACCAATTATTTATATCTTTGGTTGAAATGAAAGAAAATTTATGCTATCAGATGATCAATTTAAAAAGGATGGTTGTTCGGGGCGGCCGGCTCAGGGGTCTCCGCAGTAGGAAAACACCAAACCAGGCAAGCTCAGAACGATCGCCGCAGTTAGGGGCAAAAGGCCGAAAAATCGTGTTATAACACGTTTGATACAAACCAAGCTGCATATTGTTTTTCACTTGTTCGCTTGCATGACACATTACGTACGCAACACACTCTTTCTTCCTCCTGCTGGCTGTCGGCCGCTGCTGCTCCATCCTCGACGAGAGCAAACAAGTCTGGACGGCGGCGAGAGGAAGGAAGGAAAATTACACAGCGCAAGCTCGCTCAGTTTTATGGGCGCCAACTATAACTGTATTATGTATGAAAAATTCATATTTTCAGCATCGATAGCTGATGAATCGGCGATAAAATGTCGGCGAAATAACCTTTTTTAAAGCTGAGTAGGCAAAACCGCCGAATTAAACATTTTATTTTTTTATTCATATCGCATAATTATACCCCTTTTTTACTAAATGACTGAATAAAAATTTCGTCGATTTCCTATGAAATGTTTGACGTTTTTATAGTATTTTAAATTAATATTTAATTGATTATTGTGAGTAAAAAAAAAACTTAAATTTTAGCCACTGATTTCAAGAACGCCAGTTCCTTTTATTATTACTCAACGAATTTAAAAGCCGGCGAATTCTTGAGCCTGCCGCACCAAACCGCCAGCCGAATCTTTTTGAAATTTTCGATGGTCCAAACGTAAAAATTCGGCGGCTGCGATGGCTAAATAGCCAGCCGCCGAATATCGTGACGGTTGAGACGGCGAATTCGTGAGCCATGAACCACGCCAAACTTTTCGAAATTATCTATAAAATAACTTACAAAAAACCGGCGGCTGATGGCTAATTAGCCAGCCGCTGAATATTTCGTTGGTTAAGAAATGGAGAAAATGAATCTATATTTTACCGTAAAACGATGGACGAGCAGACGCCGAAGGGAGACAGACGCACTAGAGACAATACCAAGACGACTTGACTGTGCAGTGCTCAGGGAGCAACAGAGCCGATTCGCACGTCACAACTCGGTTCCGATTTCGGGGTCGACCAATCAGAACGCTGCTTAGACGATGAGCGGGAAGAGGCGCTCAAGGGGACTCGCGCCTTTTTTGCTATGAATTTAGTTTTATATGTAATTTTTATGAAATAAATTCGCTTTTTCGCGGAAAAAACGTTGAATTAGATTAAATTTGTCATAACAATAGAAAATTCAACATTTTCTTTGATAAAAAATGTAAAATTTTTTATAAATTTTTTTATATTTATGCCATTAATTGCGCTTTGAAAATTTTTACATAAATGTTACATAAATCGAATTATTAAAATTTCACGTTCTCAATGAAATTAAATCTGGAAACAAGGTGAAACTCATCTATGACCCTTGTGATATTATCTACATTTTGTTTGAAGGCTTAAAGCCAAGAAAAAAAGTTTTATGCATAATTGTTTTCTATCAGCATAAAATATTGTTAATAAAATTAATTTTAACCATATGATTTTACTATTTATCAGAACTCTGCTTAGACGAAGAGGCGCGTAAAGGGCAAAGGAGTGAAACTCACGCCTTTTGTTGCAAAGAAATTTTTATTTTATGTATGTTTTATGAAATAAAAACCAATTTTTTGAATAAAGGAGTTGATTAATCGGAATAAAACTCGGGAAATAAAAAAATTGACATTTTCTTTATTAAAAAATGGAAAATATTTTTGGAAATTGTGTATAAATTTTACTGTTAATTAAGCTTTGAAAAAATTTACTTTAATAATACATTCCTCCTGCATACCTCATATTTTAAAAATTCATTTTTGCTTAATCTAATCACATAAAATCGGGAATTGATAATAATAATTTTCTGCAATAAAAAATCGAAAAAATCTATAAGATTTCAAGACTGGAGCATTCAATTTGTTTAGAAAAAGGCGATTTTTGGTATTGCTATTTCCTATAGGTCCACAAAAAAAAATCATTTCAAATATGAAAATACTGCAAAAGTATAGCTATATAATAATTATGTATTGGAATTCATTCAAAATATTAGTTGAGATTGATTGAAATATAAACATAGCTATATTACATGAATTCAAAACACGTTGGTTTAATCTTGAAAATAGAGTGGTTAATAATTTTCTCTAAATTATTCATATGAATGAAATATATTCTGATTTTTATTATTGTAACAACGATCCTCCAAATGAAAAAAAAATAGACATGAATTAACAATGATTTAAGTTTTAAGTGTGTATATTTGAAAAATTGAAGTCTGAAAGTCTTAAGCGTCTAAAGCATGGGAAATACAAATTCCCCTGCTTCTTTACATAAAATCTGACTGGATTAAAATTTGAAGATTTTGCAAGATATAATAAAAGACACAATGTGCGTTTATGAAGCTTTTCAATTAAAGTATACCCAACCAGCAATTTTTATTTTTACTTCCATTGAATAATCTAAATATATGCTCAAAAATATTTCAAAATATATCCCACATTATTCAAAATAAGAAAATGTAATGGTTTTTCATTATTTTAGATTATTGTGTACAAATAATTAATGAAAATATTCAATTTAATATGGAGCCATTTATTCCTTGATAGCTTTACACTGGTATTAATTATTACAAGATTATCTCCAAGGGTTTTGACTCAAGTCTCGCACCAAAAAGCTCGAAGGATTTAGCAAACGTCACAAAGGGCAGCGCAACCTCCATTTTTTACTTAGACTGAAACATACAAGCAAAATGATAATAAAAAATGTTTCCAATAAATTACTTTAGAGCAATACCTTACCTGACCAGGTTCTCCACTCACCGGCCGACTCATCCGCATACTTAATTTGAACTGCTCCTCTCCTGGGGGTTGACTCTAGTCTCACACTAAAAATCCAAGGTTTAAGCAAAAGTCACAACGAGTCAGACATCCTCCATTTTTGAATTTGACTGAAACATAAAATATTTGTGCACAATTAATTACAATAAAAATTATAATGAAAGTTTAACAAACTTGTGAGAATGTCAAGCTGTTTGCTGCATCCCAGAAAAAGGGTGTTTTATCACAGCACTTGCAGTTGGTCTTCTATTTGGATCGATTGTGATCATGGTCTCGGCAAGGTGTTAAATGCATTAGAAAATTCTTTGTCTTCCAGTACCTCCAATCTATAAATTGAGAGTCAAAATTTTATACAATTTAATATATTATGTGGTATGTACTTTGCTTCTACACACAAAACGTTTGCTTGTCGGTGCAAAGTATCACCAAAGGGATGTTTGCCTTTTGACAAGGACACAATAAAAGACACATCCCATAGCGAAAATGTCAACCGAGCAAGTCTGAAAATATTAAACATTCAAATTTTTTTGCTTCTGTTCATCTCTAATTATTGTTTCCTACCGCTGACTTTTCTGGATTTATCATTTTGGGCGCTATCCGCACCCGTCAGTACCCGCTATCCCCGACCTGTGCGAAAAGGAATGTCGGCCCCTCTGCAGCTTTTTGCAAAGACCAAAGTCTGATATCATAGCTTTAACATCTCCCTTTGCGTTTGGATAAGACAAAAGGACGGTGTGTGGCTTGATGTCTCTATGAACTGTGTATAAAAATTAGAAAAAAGTAAAAGAATAAATTCCTAATCATGGTACCTATATCTAAGGAATGTAAGTGAATTCAATAAAATTTTCATGATGGGTGCCAATATCTGGCTCGATTTAATCCTTCCAATAATTTCCTTCGGAAAACAAATGTCGTATATTTTATTTTAGCAAAGTGTTTCATGCGCTCTACTTTTGTTATGGCGTGTACGCTTTTAGCCTTTGAAAATATAAAACGTGGGTTTTTACCATTTTCTACTTAAGATGAGAGTGCATGAGCATAAAAAATAACATTTTTTAAATGTATTATTTTATCTTCCTTTAATTACTAAAATTAATTGGAATATACCTGAGCTGCATGTCTTGTAAGCAAGAGGCTGCTGCTCCGATGATGCAGCTGGTGACATAAATCCTGCATTCTGCTGGGTTTGGACGTTTGGAGAGACGTAGACGCCGCTGACGGCATTGCAGACTCCAGTCTCCTGATCAGCAGTGTACCTCGGTGCAGTTGAAGATTGGTCCTGCAGCAAGAGTTTGTAGCTGGTAATCCATGATGGGGCTCTCATGTCCTTGTCGCAAGCCTGGTGCATACAGAAATGTTAACGATTTATTTTAACGAGATGAGCAAAAAAGTAATAATATATAAATGCTTTCATATTCCCCATCATTGCAATTTTAATTATTTCGAATTAATACTTGTGCCAATTGCAGCGAAAGCTCGTCAGTTTGGAAGCTGGTCATCGGGCCGCCGCGCCTGGTGACCTAGAGTGTGGTAGGAAACCGGCGACCAGAGACTCCAGGCTGTCATAAGACCCTCTGACTGCATATTTATTGGCAAAACCCACATTGGGTGGAAGGCGCTGTTGACTTAAGACTTGCAGTTGGTATTCAAGAGATCCAATGTCAGAGGTAGACGCAGCGGCTGAGGGCATTGCAGACGCAGATGAGTGTAATTTGTTGCAGTTGGGGACTGGCTTTGAAGCTCTGGCTGGTTTGTGGTCCAAGATGCTGGCGCTTTTGCATGTCATGTCACAGTTCGCCTGGCAAATACAAAAATTTTAATGATGAGAGCAACAAAGTATTAATGCTTCATATATCCTCCACTATTGCAATTTAATTATTTCGAATCTATATATATGTACCAGTTTTTGTGTCAATTTCAGCGCAAGCTCGTCTGATGAAAAGCCGCTGAAGGGGCGCTGACTCTGACCAAAATCATGGGCACCGCCAGCAGGTGTGATCCAAACTTTATTGACAGAGTCTTCTTGTCTGAACACGTATGACGTACGCACAAGTGCACATACGATTATGTGTGAACTCTTTGGCCGCTCTTGCACTTTGCAGCGCAGGGGGAACGAATCGAGGAAAAGTCAATAACTCGTAATGCATGATGAGATTGAGAATTTTGCGAATTTTAAAAAATGCGAGGCTTTTAAAGTTCAAAAATAAAATTATTGCTTAATTATTTGGAATTAATATGATGGCAGAATTATAAACGAAATGCAAATAAAAAATAACGAACAAAAGAAAATTAATCTTTTTGACGGAAGAACAGCGAGAAAGAAGATTTTTATCAATGAAACGTTTGCCATAATGAGAAATCAATTTGGATCAAAAACAGAAAAAGAATTGTGAGACTTGCATAAATAATTATGAATTAATGCAGAGAAAATAACAAAATACATAAATACAGCTACAAATGTGTCTAAAAACAAAAACACATGTATTCGGCGGCTGGCTTATTAGCGCCAAATAAGACAGGTCTCGATCCAATATATATGATGTGTTAATAAATAGTATCCATCCTGGAGGTTAAATAAAGCCCATGGTAGACTGAGCAGGAAACTCAGCACAAAAGAAATTTGCAAAAAAGACAACCTGTAAGTAATATTGTTCAAATTTTATTTATCATTATTTCAGGCGCAGAGAATTTACAATAAAATGCGCAGTCAAGCAGATTAACTTATTTTCCCTGCTGGTTATTGCAGAAATAATTTAAGCACACTTGTTGCTGTATACTTACACCTAGTTTGGATCTTGACCAGTTTTCAGCAGAACGAGTCCCTTCTCCAGATTTGAAATCGCAGTTGGAATGTCATCATAGTTGAGGGCACTTGCAGCCCACTTGCAGTATTTCTGGGCTTTCGTAATTTGATCCGGGTTCAAAGAAGCACCACTAGCTGAGATAGCACTTGAGGGAGCTGCTTGATAATGCATTTCATGAGATTTTTTTTTAAGCTTCGTAATGAATTTTTACCAGCAGGCTGCTGCGGCACCTGAGGTGTTGGTGTCGGGTACGAGGGTGAAGATGGGTAGTTGCTCGGAGGCACAGACGGAAAGTTCATCCCAGGTACGGACGGCAAATCTTGAGGGTCAAATCCACTCGGAGGCACCGCAGGCAGATTGAAATTAGAATAATTGTCCGGATGCCCGCCACTATGACCAGAAACCCCAGGGTTCAGGTTGTTGGTGGGATCAGGAGCATATGCTCCTGGAGGTTGAACAAAGCCCATAGTAGGCTGACCTGGAAACTCAGCACCTCCGGCAGCACCTTCCTCGCTGAAGGGAAAATATCAATTAATAAATTAAAAGGCTCTTTAAATTTATTTGTACTCTTCCAGTTCGCCCTGAGGTCCAGGAATGGGCATTTCCCCGTTTTTCAAACAGTTGTGGATGTACGAAGCCTTCCACTTTGCATATTTTCTGCTCTGGGCCACACTCTCGGTGAGCTCGCCGTAGGTTTCCATCACATCAAACAACATTCCAGCTGTGTAGAACGACTTGACAACATTCCTGAAAATTTAATAGCGATATTATAAAACTTTAGGGATGTTTATAACCAATAAAATCTGCGGTTTAATTTACTTGTTGAAAATGCCAGCTCGATCTTGCCCATCAGCCCACATGAAAATTTTCAATGCGTGATTTTCCATGTAAGCCTGAGCAGCTATTTCATTAGTGATGGAATCGTTGTCAGCGTGTTCTTTCTTCTTCTTTTCAAGCCAATCCATCAAACTCATCAGCAGCTTGAGAGCTTCAGGCGATTTTTTGTCAATCTTCAAACCCATCTGGAGGGCGTAGACACGACCTAATAGTAGAAGAAATTATATTTATTTTAACAAACAGATTTTTTAGTAAAAACTTACACCAGTAGCTGATGATAGGGTCTCTTTGATCATGTTCTGCAGCAATTTTCAGATAATGCTGCAGTGGCTTGAATTGCGGTGGGCAAGGCGGAAATTCTGACATTTTTTCAGGTCGATACTGAGAGGACTCAAAATCGGCTTCTTTCTTGACTGAATTGTGGATAAATATTTAAAACTTGATACTTGATGAGTCAAATCCTATTTCCAAATCCTTTTGAATTTCATCACTTTCGTTGGACAAAACAAAATAATAATTGTCAATTAAGCCGCGCCCTCTTTTCGCTGTGGCTGCGCCAGCTGGGGTTTGTTTTGATAAACAATGATCGATGATTTTATCGTAAATATCAATCATTTAATAAAATTATTTACATTTTTATCAAAGAAAATGTTGATTTTTCAATTTTTATGAAAAAATTTCATTTAATTCAACTTCGTTTACGCGAAAAAGCGAATTTATTCCACAAAAATTACATAAAACTAAATTCATAGCAAAAAAGGCGGGAGACGCCATGAGCGCCTCTTCCCGCTCATCGTCTAAGCAGCGTTCTGATTGGTCGACCCCGAATTCCGAACCGAGTTGGTGAGTTTGAGACCAATCTTATTGGTTTGAGACGTTTGAGTGAACGTGTTCGTACTGCTCGTCGCTCTGCGGCTCTGCGCTCAGTGCGCTCTGTCGCTTCCTGAACTCTGCAGCGTCGGGTCACGTCAGGTCCTCTAGTGCGTTGTCTGTCTCACTTCGGCGTGTGCTTTTATGTCGTTTAAGCGGTAAAGTATAGATTAATTTTCCCTGAATTATAGTTATCTGCACATGTAGAAGACATATTTAGGCTCAACCGTCGAAATATTCGGCTGCTGCGGCATCAGCCGCCGAATTTATCCGTCAGTTAGAGAATTTGTAAAAAAATTCGGCTGGCGGTTTGGCTCAGCCGGCTCTCATGAAATCGCCGGCTCAATAACCACGCAAATATTCGGCTGCTGGCATCATCCGCCGAATTTTACCGTCGCAGATGAGAGAATTTATAAAAAGTTTCGGCTGGTGGTTTGGCGCGGCCGGCTCATGAATATTCGCCGGCTCAATAACCATGCAAATATTCGGCGGCTAACCATCTCATTTTTCGGCACCCATTTTTCCGGCAGTTGAGAGAATTTATAAAAAGTTCGGCGCGGCCGGCTCAGAGGTATTCGCCGGCTTTGGCGATCATCGCCCCTGTGCGCTCTCCTTATTTGTCTGTTTTGTGCCGTCTGATTCCAAAACAATTGCAAAATTTCTAATATTTTATCCCCTTTTTTGAGAAATTGACGGATAATTAATACTCGTCAAACGTCAAACAAATTTTGAATCGTAAAAAGGTGGGCCGCCCGCTCTTGATTATTGTTATAATTTCTTTTTTCCACAGCACTGTCATTTTGTTTGTGGATATATCTGGCCTCTCTATTACATACGCATGCTAGATTTTTATTTAATCTCATAATAATCTGTATGAAATATAAATTACATATACTCAATACAAGTTTAGGAAATGAGCGAGACCGCCACCAAATATTAAGGATGGGACACCATCCATTCAACTAGACGTTAAAATTTTATACGCAGCAGTTGAAACGTTCTGTTATGCAAATTATAATTAAAACTTCGTCTCAAATTTCAGAAAATGGGAAATGAACTAGATAGGCAAGAAAAGGACAATAAGGACGAGCCCGAGGAGGATAATGTCTCGTACTCTGATCAGATGGGAGTTTTTGTTGAAGAGGCTTTGGCCGCTTACCATAACCATCTGAAATCCCAAAGGGTAAAAATTTTGTTGCGTTTGTGTAAGATTAAAGGTTTTAATTTTAAAATTTTTTGTCAACAATCAGGAAAACAAGGACGCTCAGCAACCTGTTCCCAACGTTGACGAAACCGTTGGACATCAGGTTGGCATTGAGCCTCCGTCGAGAGCAGTCATATCAAAATACTGCAGCCATAGCAGCAGGTATCATTCTGTTTTAAATTTAAAAACTTAAATTCTTAATTTAATTAAATCAAGAATTTTTCGTCTTGGCTTTTTGTGTCCCGTTGTCTGTCAAGGTTAGGTTTTAGTTTAATTAATTTTTTTATTTATAGTGAGCTGCCTTATCAAAAATGAATCTACTGCCAAATGAGATCATTGGTATTGGCGAGTCTGCAGCTGCGGGCCCTCAATCAAGGCCAGGTTAGCCCGCCGGCAAGCCTGAGGAAGAGAATAAGGTGACGCCAGTCATGCTTGAGAAGGCGATATCTTTTTATTTGCAGCAGCGCAACCAGGTATAATTCATAAATAGAGTTTACACAAAAGACGAATAAAATTTTTTTTCATAAATTTTGACTCATAGCCTGCTGCTGCTGTTGTGAAGAAGATTGAGCCTGAAGGTGCCAAAAGTGAAGGCCCAGAAAAGGTGGAACAAAAAGCACCTCCTGCCACTGATGACATTAAGGAGATGTCATTGCTCCAGCTGGAATTCTCACCTCAGCACCTACCTTCGCAGGTATAAATTCATATTTTTTGTGTTTCGTAAATTGAGTGTGAGATAGATTTTACTTTCATAAATTTTGATTCATAGCCTGCTGCTGCTGTCGACAAGAAGATTGAGGAGCCACAGGATCAGTCTGAAGGTGCCAAAAGTGAAGGCCCGGAAGAGGTGGAACAAAAAGCATCTCCTGCCACTGTCTCCACTGATGACATTAAGGAGATGTCTTTGCTCCAGCTGGAATTCTCACCTCAGCACCTACCTTCGCAGGTATAAATTCATATATATTATTTTGTCTTCACTATATAATGAAAGGTTAATTCAAATATTAGTAGAGAACATTTGAAATTAAAGAGCTAGAGTGATAGAGATCAACTTAATTACTTTGTTTCCTTATTATATTCATTGCAATTTTTAATCCGCCTAATCATTATTTGTCTGCTGCAGCTCTCTGTGGAACCTGTCAACCAGCAGGCCATTATTTCAAAGCCAGGCGTGACTCCTGAGATCCTAAATCTTGCTCTTCAAAACTCTTACAACACATTACAAAATAAGGTATAATCCCTGAATAATTTTAATTTACAATTGCTCATATGTTTATGTTCACAGAATGCAGGCCCAACCGGTGCCTTGACGCTGGCCAAAAGATCTGACTGTCACAAGGAGGACAAAGAAGAGAAAATGGCCAAACTGCTTCGGGAACACGGATTCGTGGAGGCTGCTGAAGCAAGTGGTCCAGCAAATTTTAAGATGTTCTTGCTCCATTGCTTTTTAGGTGAAGTGTACTGTGAACTTAATAAATGACAAGAAAAAAGTCCCACATTATAATAAAATAATTATATTATTTATTTCAAAATTCTTCCAAATCGTGCATAAACCAACGCAATAAAATAACTTTTTTCACCAACTAAAATTGACTTCCATGAATTTTATTGTCTTCTACATCAACAAATCAATAGAGGCCTCACTTAGGAGGTCCATTTTATTCAAGGACACACTATGAATCAAAATTAAACATCTCACAAACAACGCGACACAAAAAGCCAAGACGAGAAAATACTTGATTCTATTTTTAATTTGAAAACAGAATAATCTTATTGTTAGACGATTAGCGGGAAAAAGCGCACAAGGTGGAAAATGGTGATCGCGACTATTATGGACATTAGAAGCTTCTAATGTCCATAGCGCCTATTTGCCAAGAGAAATTTTATATTATCAGAGATTTATGAATTAAGATCAGATCTTTTAAATAAATACGAAAAAAAAGTAGTTTTGTGAAAATAATACAATTTGGCATTATCTTCATTAAAAAATGTATAAATTTTAAGAAACTGTGTAGAAGTTTAACTGTTAATAAGGCTTTGACAAAATTTACATATATATTTTTAAAATTCTTTGCTTCTAATTACTTAATAATAGTAGTTAATAATTTGCTCTAAATTATTTACAAGCACGATTGAAGAAAATTTTGATTTTTATTATTGCAGCAGCAACGACCCTCTAATTAAGAATGTATTTTCAAATAAATTAAGTCTGAAGCATGGGAAAATATCAATATACTTATTCTCCTTCTTTACATAAATAAATAAGAATTTGAAGTATTTCTTGTACGATTGCTTTGTAGGTCACGCATACTTGATAAAAGAAAGAAATTAGTCCCACATCAGAATAAAGTTTATGATTTAATTATTTTACCATTCTTTTAAATCACGCAGAACATCGGCAAGAAAACATATTGTTTTGATTGATGTTCATTAAATTTATATATTTTATTCAGGAGACGTTATTCAAAATTCACCCAGAAAATTTCCTACTCTAATTGTTGACCAACATAATCTGCATAATTTGCTTCTCGAATTTTATTTCTTTTTCGACAAATAATAATGTCATTTTAAAGCCACGCCCACTTTTCACTGTGGGTGCGCCAGCTGGGGTTTGTTTTGGTAAACAATGATCGATGATGATTTTCTGATTGTTTTTGGTTTTTTGTTTCGTCAGCCCGCAGAATAATAAGCCGTGGTTTTTATCAATTCTGTCGCACGTTTCAGAGAACGACCGTCGTCAGTAATGCATTTACACCCCCGTCGAAGGGACACCTTTGCTAGTAGAAAAAGAAAAGAGCCAAGTCAACAAGCACGGGAAAAGATCAACAAATTACGGCATGTCGAAGTCGAGACGGAAATTGTTTTTCGTTTTTAACTCCTTCGCTGCCTTCCTCGTCCTACAATTCTGTTGGGCAATTTGCGTCGCACCGGCTAATGCACACAACGTCGTCAGCAAGGTGTGAAAAAAAGTTTGATCAATTTTTTTATAAAAGTTGTACAAAAATTCAGCGAATTATTATTTAAATATTTGTGCTTTTTGAACTGATGGTGATTTTATTTTTTTTTTCAGATCGGATCAACGGAACTCTTGCATGACAACCCATTAATTTTTGTGTCTACCCTTGGTGGATCATTAATTGCTGTCGAGCAAAAGACCGGTGATGTGCGGTGGAAAATTTTAAACGGTTTGTTATAACAGCTTAAAAACATCATATATACCCTCTGATAATTTTTAATTACGTAATTTAAATAAGAATCAAAACATTGATTTATATTGATAAGATATCTTTCTTATTCAATTGGGATTTTCTTATTTTAAGATCCTGCAGTGAAAGTTCCTGTGGATAAGGAAAAAGCAATAGCTTCGTAAGTAATATTTCATTTATTTCCTCGTTGACCTTCTTCACCTACGTTATCAACTGACCTTTGATGTTTTAAATTTTTAAGGCCATTGTTTCTGCCTGATCCTAAGGATGGCTCTTTGTACATGCTGGGAACCGGAATTGGTGGCTACGAGTCAGCATTGAAGAAGTTACCATTTACGATTCCTCAACTTGTTGCTTCTTCGCCCTGCAGAAGCACAGATGGCATTCTTTATACGGGTATATTAACAATATTCAAAGATTACAATGATTGTTTTATTTTGTCGAATTTAAAAGGACGCAAAGTGGCCTCTTGGATGGCTGTCGATGCTGACACCGGTCGAAAGCACCAAGTCATCGGTCACGGCCAAGATAGCATCGACGTCTGTCCCGCTGATGGCGCCAGGACTATCTACATTGGAAGAACTGAATACAGCATTGCCATGTTTGACAGCATCAAGAAGGAAAAAAGGTGGAATGTGACCTTTTTTGACTACACAGCTGGAAATCTTGATGCAGCTGATCTTGAAAATTACGGTAATTTCAGAGTGAAGCAAGATTTACTGTAAATCATAAATTAATTTTCACTTTTGACCTTTGCAGAATTTGCTCATTTTGCCACAAACTCCGGGGGAAGAGTCGTGACCCTTGAAAGGGACTCTGGTCGAACTCTTTGGGAAAATGAATTTGAATCTCCTGTGATTGCAATGTACTTACTTCAGGACGACTCTTTGTTCACAATTCCGTTTACAACTGTCGGTGTTGATACGTTGAAAACTCTTCAGTCTGGACTTACTGGGACTGACACAAAATTACTGTATGCTCGAGTCAATTTAAAATAAATTTAATTTTAATAATCATCTTTTTAGGCCATCCCTGTATGTAGGACAGTTTCCGTACGGCTTGTATGCCCTGCCTTCTCTCATTGACAATTCAAGAACTCCAACCTTGGCCGCACCTCCGAAAATTCTTTTAATCGAGGGTCCCAAACATAATTCTAGCTACGAGCCGGACGTAAATGACTACAGAAGTGACGAGGGTGAACGTCCACCAAGTGGAAAAACTCCCAACTCCAACCCATTTGAGATTTTGTTGGGTAAAATTTCAGTCTCTTCAAAAGACCATTAAAAATTACTCTTTAATTTAGGCCACTATCAACTTCCAGAATACAGCAAAACACAATTGCAAATCACTGGAAAAAGCAAGGATCCTGTTTTAAGTCACCCTGACGACTTCATCATTAGGCCGAACGGGCCTCAAGCTGCTGAACGGGTTTCAATTTCGATACAAACCGATTCTGATGATGCCCTGCGCTTACTGACTGAGCTGAAAATGATCTGGGGCAACATCACAAACGGAAACATTTCCGCCAACATAATCTCCAGAATTGTTAATCTTAGCTCAACAACCGCTTCACAATTTGTGCAACGACAGGGGTTTATGACTTTCATCATATTAGTTTTGTCTGTATTCGTCATTATTATACTTTTCATGGTTTGGTCACTTTATAAAAGAGTAAGTTGATGACTTAAATTTTAAAAATCTTTACCCATTTTATAAATAACACCAGATGAGAGACATCCAAGAACAGCAGCTGTCCAATCAACAGTTTTCGACTGGGAGCAGAGGAAGTAAAACGTCCCAAGAGTCTGAGTCAGACCCTCTCCTTGATGAGCAGGATGGTTCTATTGTCAGGATTGGCAAAATTGAGCTGATCCCAAATCAGGTTCTTGGTAGAGGTTGTGAGGGAACTTTTGTCTTTCACGGCAGATTTGAAGGCCGACCTGTTGCTGTGAAACGATTATTGCCCGAGTGTTTCACAGTTGCGGATCGGGAGGTTGATCTTTTAAGAGAATCGGACGAGCACCCTAATGTGATAAGGTTAATAAAAAATATAAATGTATATAAGAAAATTGCTAATAATCTTTGCATGCTTAGGTATTTCTGCACGGAGAAAGACCGACAGTTTAGATATATTGCTTTGGAGCTTTGCAAAGCCACACTTGAAGATTTTGTTTTGGGAAAGTTTAATTATGGAGTGAAAATTTCCGAAGCTGATGTGCTGCTTCAAGCAACTTCCGGCCTAGCTCACTTACATTCCTTAGATATAGGTACGTTTCGGTATTTATTCTTTTACTTTTTATAATTTTTAAAACTCAGTTCACAGAGACATCAAGCCACACAACGTCCTTTTGTCATATCCAAATGCAAAGGGAGAAATCAAAGCTATGATATCAGACTTTGGTCTTTGCAAAAAGCTGCAGAGGGGCCGACATTCCTTTTCGCACAGGTCGGGGATAGCGGGTACTGACGGGTGGATTGCGCCCGAAATGATAAATCCAGAAAAGTCAGCGGTAGGAAACAATAATTAGAGATGAACAGAAGCATAAAAATTTGAATATTTAATATTTTCAGACTTGCTCGGTTGACATTTTCTCTATGGGATGTGTATTTTATTATGTCCTGTCAAAAGGCAAACATCCCTTTGGTGATACTTTGCGCCGACAAGCAAACATTTTATGTGGAGAAGCAAAGTATGTATCACATAATATATTAAATTGTATAAAATATTGACTCTCAATTTATAGACTGGAGGTGCTGGAAGACAAAGAATTTTCTATTGCATTTAACCTTGTTGAGGCCATGATCGCAATCGATCCGACGAGAAGACCAACTGCAAGTGCTGTGATAAAACACCCATTTTTCTGGGATGCAGCAAAACGCTTGACATTCTTACAAGTTTGTTTGAATTTTATTATAATTTTCATCGTAATTAATTGTGCACAAATATAGGATGTCAGCGATAGAGTTGAGTCTGACGAATTTGAGAGTCCAGTTCTGCAAGCTCTGGAGACTAAGAATTGGGTGGTGGTTCAAAGAGACTGGAGGAAGCACGTCGGAGAAGAAATTGCTGCTGATTTGAGGAAATACAGAAATTACAGAGGCAGCAGTGTTCGAGACCTGTTACGAGCTTTGAGAAACAAAGTGAATAATTTAAATTGCTTATTTTATCATTTAAAAATTTCTTGTTGCAGAAACATCACTATCGAGATTTAGCTGAGGAAGCTAAAAAGGTGTTAGGAACAGTTCCGAAGGAGTTCCTGGAGTATTTTACAAAGAGATTCCCTCTTTTGTTTATCCACACATGGCTGGCCATGGAATGTGTTCGACAGGAGCCAGGAATGCATGATTACTACGACGAATCTTACGTTTTTCCTCAAGTAGATTTTCTTTAATTTTCAGTGCACCTTTTCTTAATCAATGATTATTTTTAGAATATTTCGGCATTAGTGAGTGCTGTGGACGAGCCTGCCGACAGACACGACAATGCAAGTATGACAAACTCTCCCAAAGATTGGAACTCTGCGTGGGCCACTCCTGTCAAGAAAAACAACAAGAAGAGATCATCACCACATCCAGCCTGGAGTCTGAATTGGCGTCAAACGCAACAGAATAATGATGGAAACAACAAAGAAAATTTAGAAGCTTCCACGGATGCAGCAGAAGCATAAATTTTAGCAATATTGAAAACAAGTATTTTTGTAAATATCTTTATTCCTCATAATTGTAATGAAAAATTTTGTGATGTGATTTACACTTTATTTCTGTTAAAATTCCACTCTTCACCTTTGAATTTGTTATGAATTGACTTAAAAAAAATAAACAAAGTTTTTCTTAGCACAAAATACTATTTTCATTTATTAATTCAGCTAAAATTATGAAGTTTACAAAATAAATTCTTATCGATCAAGGATCAAATAATCTGAAACACTTTTCAAAGCTACAAACATGCTTAGAGCAGTAATCTTTTTTAACACTAGAAGGTAAATTATATGTCGTTTCATTTCACTGTTAAATCAATGCTAAAATAGTCACACCTGAGCTTGAGTAATATTAAAACTTGGAACAGCCACTCATGACATCTCCATTACTTCTCCACACTTGTTGTTCAAGTCATTGAATTGCTTGAGCGGAGACCTTGGGGCTTTGCTTGGACTTTTGTGGTAGCAACTTCTGCAAACTGCCATGTACTTGTCTGCACCGCCAATCACTTCAACCTGCAGAGTTATATTGTGTTAGCAAATAATTTCTTTGAAAAATATCAAACTTGATGCTGACCTCCTGCTCGTTGCCAATTCTCTTTGTGTAAGAGGCGTTTCCAAAACACATCATGCACACTGCAGTCAACTTCTCGACACTCTCAGCCAGAGGCACCAAATGCAAGATGTTTCCAAACCCCTGTCTTTGGTAAGTTCCATCGAGGGCAGCCACAACCACCATCTTGCCACAGTCAGCTAACTTCTCGCAGAACTCAACAGTACCAGAAAACTGAGGATTAAAATTTATTAGCATAAAATTAATATATAAGATGGGGAAATTACGAATTGGCCTTCGTCAATACCAACGACGTCGTACATCATTGCTATGTCCATGTGCTCCAGCAAATTGGATGCAGAGATTGCAGGCAGCTTTTGTTGGTCATGTGTTGAGAGGCTGACATTGTCATATCGGGTGTCTCCAGAGTACTTGAACACAAGGCACTTCTTGTTGGCCACTTGGTACCGCTTCATTCGACGGATCAGCTCAGTTGTTTTTCCAGAAAACATCGGTCCAAAGATCACCTAAAATTATAACCATTACTCATCAAGTCCAATTTGACTTAATCGGGAAGGTTTGTTGCAGGAGGAAAATAATAAAGATTAAAATATCAATAATAAATTTATTATTTATTTATTTGACTGGTCATGGTCATTCACACAAAAGGCATTGTAATTTTATTTAGTGAATCATATCCCAAAATAAATAAATAAATAAAATAAATAAATAAATATTGTGTTCAAAATTTGGCACATTATTTTATAATTAGATGTAGGATGTAAATGCTACAAAATACTGACACAAGTAACAATAAGATCTCATCTTTAAGTTTTCACATCAATTGAATTAAGTGACAAACTCCATTAAATTGAAAAGTTTTGAAACAACGTACACCACAAGTTGTAAATTTTCTTCCAAATACTATATTCTGATATTCCAAAAGAGACTAGATGTTCAAAATGAGCATTCTTTTCCAAAAAGGCACTTCTTGCTTCCAGTTTTATCAAAGGCCAATATAATGTCATTAAATAATTACATGATTAAGTATTGCACCTCTACCAAGGCATTGCAGAAAATGCATGAAAATTAAACTAGCTTGAAAAAAGCTCTCCTTTCAGGAGCTGGACCACTCTCAGGGCCATCTTTTCCTCAGCCTCGTCCAGCGCCGTTTTGCCCTCGCTGTTTTTCATTTGCAGATTCGGCATTCTGGCCAGCAGAAGTTCCGACAAAGGGGCACTGCCTTGAATGGCGGCGTAGTGCAGCGGCGTGTTGCCCCTCGAGTCCTGCACATTGACGTTGCAAGTCGGAATGTCGAGCAGGGCCGACACCGCCGCCGTTTTCTTGGCGAGACAGGCCAAGTGCAAAGGGGTCGACCCGCGACCCAGCGTCCTGACGTTGACGCTCGCCCCTGCGCAGATCAGCAGTGGAATGAGGTCGGCGCACCCGGCGCTTGCCGCTGCATGCAAGGGCGTGACGCCCTCTGAGTTGCAGACGTTCGGGTCGAGCAGATCTTCGCTGACGTCACGATGCTCCACCAACTCCCAGTCAGCCAAAGAAGAGGAGCGGTTTCGCATCTTGCACTTGTCGCATGCGCACAGGGGGTGGCAAGGGGTGTGCATGGACATGGTGGAGGTGTTGAAGGCACCCTCAATTCCAAGGTGGTAACAGGCTAAGCGCACGTCGCCCACCGAGATAGCTCGCAACAGCTTTTCCACCTGAAAGTAAAAAGTTTTCCTGAAATTTCAGTCAGACAACATATTTCAAATAAGGTGCATTGAAAATATTTCATTTTGATTTTAAAATTAATAAAAAAAATTGCGAGTTTCTTTTCAACTGAAATTTTTGCTAATACAACTTTTCAATTACGGAACAGATCCATTTGGATAAAGATTTACCTTTTTGCTTTGCTGAACTGAAGTTGGTTTGGTGCCGTACTCCAGTAAATTCTCCCTAGACCTGCTAGGGCTGGAAAGAGAGCTTCCGCTTGGTGACAAGTCCATCAGGTCCAACCGCAACTTAGACGCAGCAGCGATCTTCATTTTGATGAAGCTCAGTCTCTTCCTAAATCCGCCTCCAGTTGGTTTGTTGACCGTGGACAGCAGTTTGGAAATGTGGACGCTGTGCGCCAGATCCATCGGCGAGACTTTGCGGTTGTTCTTGAGATCAGGTCTCGATCCGGCTTCGAGAAGAATCTGTGCGATGCCCTCGTAGCCCCACTTGGCTGCGTGGTGCAGGGGGATGTCTCCGTTCGAATTGGGCCAGTTGACGTTGATAGGGCGGCCAACGTGTTCGCAAAAATAGATCAAAGCCTTCAAGCAGGTTTCGTGGCCGTTTTGAGCGGCAAAGTGCAGAGGAGTATTTCCATTGTTGTTCATGCTGTTGGGGCTCGCTTTGGAATTCAAGAGAAGGAGCAGCAGGTGTTGGTGACCTCCGATGGCCGCATAGTGGAGGGGAGTGTTGCCCTGGAGGTCCTTGGCTGTGACCTGGGCGCCGATTTCAAGCAAAAATTCAGCAATTTCCAAACGGCCGTGTCTGCAGGCGACGTGAAGGGCCGTCAGTCCTTTCTCATTGGTCGAGGACAGACCGACCGAGAGACTGCTTTTCTGTCTGGAGAGCTCGCACTCGCATTTCTCACAAGTGCACAGTGGGTGGCACATGTCCTCGGTGGTGAATTCGTCCAGAAGGGAGGAAGGGGCGAGCAGGTCTTGAACCTTGGCCATGTTGTCCACCTGGATATTTCGGAACAAGTATTCGGTCACGTTCTTTTCCAAATTCTCCATCTCCAGCTTCACCTTTTCCTCGCCCTGCGCCTCAGGGTAAAGTGGTTCAAAAAGCCGACCTGAGCGGACATGTTCGATCGCAGCTTCCAGAGAAGTGACCAGAAACGAATTGAGATTTTCGTCTAGATCGGAAAAGTTGAAGTCCCTCATCATGGTGAGGTGGGCCAGCCAATTTGGCAGAGAGACCTTCACCACCAGGAAGATCAAAATGGGCAGGAAATCATCGGCGCTGACAGCTTGGTTGGCTGGGTTTCCTGAGAGAATGCCAAGAGCTTTTTGAATGCAGCCAATTTTGCCGAGAACGGTGCTGAAGCCATCAATTTTTGCGACTTCCTGCTTTGCTGCAGGTATTTTCTCAAACAACTCGCTCCGAACGTCAAGATCTTTCAGCTGGAGTTCCACCGAATTGCGAATCACTTTGTTCAATTTGGCATCTTCACTTGCAGTGGCAGCAACGATTCCTAAAAATGATATAAATATATTAATTCCTGAAGAGCGGTGAACATTTTGAAAAATGTAAAGATAATTCTTGACAATAAAAGCAATATTAAAATATATTTAAATAAAAAAAGTCACATTAAAGATTTAAAAACTATTAGAAGAAAAATTTCATTAAAAAAGTAGAGAAAATTAAAATAAAAAACCAGGCTTTGGTATTTTTTTTTGTTTTTAATTATAAGGCATGAAAAATTACTCTTGTTTTACTCTATTTTTAGTATTTTAAAAACCTATTGAAAAACCGGAAATGATAAAAATTGATAAAACTCTTCAGTTGATAATCACCTTTGATAAGAATCTTGTAGATTCCATGCTGCACGTAAGTCTCCACCGCGATTCGGACGTTCTGCATCAAATGCCGGTTGTTTCTGACCTGCTCCTGCAGTCTTTGGTCCTTCAGGGTGTTTCTCAGACAATGCTCGTACAGGCCTTTGGCCAGGTCGATCTGCGTCTGCAGCGGTTCCTCCTCCAGGTCGGGTTGGCTGGTCAGGAAGCCCTCGATGGACTCGTCGAGCTTCTCTAAAACCGGCTGTCCACTGCTCTCCGTCCACAGAAAATCAATGCAGTCGCGCAGACTGCCGAGGGAGATCAAAGGGTTCGAGATGGCGTGTCCGGAGCACGAATGCTGCTCGAGCAGACTCTCCAGACAGAGGACCTTGTACTTGTACAGCTCGTCCGTGTAGCACGTCTCCTCGAAGAGGATGTTGGTGCTGAAGGTGCGGCCGTCGTCGCCCTCGGCCGTGATCATCCTGTCCAGGACCTTCACCTGCCTGTCCAGCAGCGAGCAGAAGTGGCTCTCGGGCAGTTCGTCACTGGGAATGAGGATGTGCGAGAGAAAGTCCTCGTCGGTGAGCGGGTATTTGGGCAGCGCGCCCGACCGCGGCACGCAGATGACCCAACCCTCGAGCGTTGCCTTCTGGAAGAGTTCCTGGTGATCGGCCTGCAGCACTTGGAAGAAGGCATTTTCGTTGAGGTCCTCGTCGTAGGCGCACTCCATCACCTACTCGGGCCGGACGCCCAAATCATGTGCAGAGGTTGCTGTGGGCAAATGTTGTTGTCAGACGCGGAGAAGAAGGGAATTTAATCGTATTACCTCTACCGAGTCTGTCACGTGAGAGAGTTACGCAAGGTCGACGAGTCCCGTGTTAGCTCTTCATGTCCGCTTCTCCTCCAAAACCAGTTTGTAATTGGACACGTTTGATTCCTTTTTTACTAAAAAACGTTCCAGCTCAAGAACGCAAAGATCTTGACACGAATGAATGGAATCTCTATTTCAACCAAATACGCTCTTGCGAATTCACAACTCACATTCTCAGATGAAAAATAAGGAAAATAAATAAATGCGACGAAAAAGGGAGGCGGAGCAACAATGTAAACATTTCCCCACCCATTTTTACAACACGAAGCGCGCGCATTGAGCCCGGAAATGCGACAGAAAAAAATAATTATAATAATTTCATAATTTCTGAGATTTTAAAAAGTTTTGAATTATTTATTAAATGGAAAAAATGCTCTTAATTTCCATTTCATATTCAAAATTCACAAAATTATTTAAACAAATCTCAGTAATTATTTGCTTATTTATTCTTTTTGTCCGCTTTTTTTTTGTATTTTTCCCCTATTTCATAAATAATTTTAACAAAATCCTCAGTTAAATTTTTTGATTGTATTAATGAAATATGGAAAAAAATTACAAAACATTGCTCTTAGCTTCTCCTTAAAGATAAAAATATAGTTTTCCTCTATGTATTCAAATTTGTTAAATGTACCTGAATCTGTCCACCCTGCTGTCGTCTGCAGGGACTTCGTTGTGGAGCATGAACGTTGTTTTCATTCGAAACTGTTTTAGACATTTTCGATGGGTTGTTTTAGAGAAATTTACAAAAAATGGAAAAGCCCAAGTCCTTCTTAAGCGGTCAATGCCTTGTCCGACCAAGGTTCAAGTGGAAATTCTCCGAAAAAGTGAGCAAAATCTTCTGTCGTCAGCCAAAAGTTGCCTCCTCTGTTTGTTTTAGCAAAAAGCCGGGAAAAGCAAAGGGTTTCGGTGGCGGGCTTTTGAGGTTGGATTCAAAAGTTGGAATTCGCACAGCTGAGAAAATCGCAACACGAAAGGAAAGGGAATTTACACGGTTGCCTTTTATGGTGAAAAATTCAAAAAAATTTATTTTAATTTGTTCAAGCATCAAATATTCAGAATCTAATTGACTTGGTTTGACTGAACAAGCGAAATGCGAGAGAAACGAAGCAATCGGCTCTCCGCGAATGGCATTTCGCGGCGAGGAATTCAGAGGGGCGGCAACATTGTCAGCCGGACCGGAAGGAAAATGGCGGCGACCTAGAGCGAGGTGTTTTGGTGCGAGGGTGTCGTCTGCGTTGATTTTGCCCGTTTTCCTTGGTTTGCGGCGCCCCGCCGATGGCGCAGCTGAAAGAGGAGTCTTCCTTCGTCGAGGAGATCGACTTCGCCGAGGTGACCACGGTCGAGGTACGAGAATTATAAACACGAAAACGTCCACCCTCGCAATCTTCTCTTTCATTTCGCTGCTTATTCCCACAGGTCGTCGGCCGGGGCTCTTTCGGCGTTGTGTGGCGAGCCGAGTGGCGACAGCGACCCGTCGCAGTCAAGATCATCGAGTCCGACTCGGAAAAACGGGCGTTCGCCGTCGAGAAAAAGCAGCTGTCGCGCGTCCGGCACGACAACATCATTCGTCTGTACGGCGCCAGCACTGTCCGGCCCGTTTGTCTTGTGATGGAATTTGCAGAGGGTGGCTCTCTTTACAATTGTGAGCAAGTTTTAAATTTTATAATTATTAATTCTGAAATAATTAAAAGAATACCACAAGTGACAAATCCTATCAAAGAGCTTTTGGATTTGAAACTTAATTTTGAAAATGTTAAATACTGATTTCTTTTCATTTTAATTTTCCTGAATGGAAAGACTTATCAAATACTTTTATCTTTGGAAAAATTGGACTTACAAGACAAGACAATCAAATCCTCAAGCTATTTTTGTCTATTATTAAATCGATTTTTAATTCTTTACCTTTGAAATTTGAACTAATATTTATTTTACATGATTGCAGTATTACACAGTCGGCCTCATCGGCAATACTCGGCAGGGCACGCCATTAGCTGGGCTTTGCAGTGCGCCCGAGGAGTTGCCTATTTGCACAGCCTGCAGCCGAAAGTGATACACCGAGACCTTAAGCCGCCAAATTTGCTCCTTGTTGATCGAGGAGGCACCAGACTCAAAATATGCGACTTCGGAACCGCCAGGGATCTGACCACCTGCGGCCATCTCACAAACAACCAGGGCTCGGCCGCCTGGATGGCCCCGGAGGTCTTCGAAGGCTCAAGTTACACGGAGAAGTGCGATGTGTTCAGTTGGGGAATTATTCTTTGGGAGGTTCGTATTAGTTTCCAATTTTTGAAACTTCGCTAAAATTCTTAACCATTCAGGTATTGACTCGGAGACGGCCCTTTGACAACATCAAAGGCACAACCGTTGCCATTTTGTGGGCCGTCCACACGGGACAGCGGCCGCCGCTAATCTCAAATTGTCCGCCACCTTTGGAGGCTCTAATGACAGGGTGCTGGGAAAAAGAATCGTCAGAAAGACCTTCCATGCAGGATGTTGTTGACAAGATGGAAAAATTGGCCGTTCATTTTCCTGGGGGTGACGTGCCAATCACTGAGTACGAAGATCAAAGCAGTGAGGTCGAAGAGGAGGATGAAGAGGACGAAGAAGACGAGGGCACCATTGAGACCTTCGGACCTCAAACAAGTAAGGCCAAATTCCGTGCATGAATTTTGAAACATTTTGTAATTTTCAGAAATTCCTTCTTACGTAAAATTCTGGCCAGGTATAATTTAAATTTTCAAATCTATTTTAAAAACCGTTCCAGTAACATTTGTGTAACGAGGGCAGACAAACAGAAAATCATTATTTTTGCGTCTGCTCTTTCCTGCTGCCCAGTGGTGTCTATTTTTTGCTCAAAACGCTCGCCTTGTGGGCCATACATCACGTCCCGTGGGGAAAACCCACACTCAGCTCCTTGCCAACTATTCGGGGAAGCTTATTATAATAATTCTTCTATCCCCGCCATCCGATTTCAATGCGTGTTTTTTTTTTGTATTCCCATCTGTTAAACAAGACCAGGAAAAGTTAAGGAAATTGAGTTTGGCACTTTGCCAAGCGAACTTGTTTGCTTTTGTTTAAAACAAGCGGCCCGTTCTTTTACTAGGAAGTGTAACATTAGCCCAACATCAAGGCACAGATAATTAAGTTTTCGCCCGATAGCTGTATTTACAATGTTGCTATTTTTTAATCCGCAGCCACTTCTCTTAACGGAACAATTAGTTCGGTGCTTTCGACGCAAATGGCCGCCCTCTCAGTGGAGGTGACCGAGCCGGAGCCCACTCCAGAATCAAAGCCGCACCCCTTTGCCCGTCTCGAAGCTCTCACCGCCAGTCGGCCCACCACCCTCCTGACACCGCCCAAGAGGCCGCAGGTGCGCCAGTCCAACATCAACAACGACCAGTGGGAGGTGGGCGACGAGATCAGTCCTGTCGAGGAGGTCAAGAGTATTCCTGGTGAGGATTTCAAATCCTTTAATTATATTTACATATTTTAATTATCTCAAGAGATGTTTGTGCAAATATTTAGATCTAATCTCATTGTCAATCTGTGAAATTCAGTATTTTCGTTAAGGAAATTTTTGAATACTCATAATTAGCTCTGTTTAGTCAAGAAATATATTTTTTTTTTAATCATTGATGAAATTAATTAATTTTTTTTTTTTTTAAATTTTGATTTATTTTGCTTTCATATTTCTGCATTTCATCTCATTCATTTCCGGACTTATCTTGCCCTGTAATTGCTAAAACTAATGCCTGAGCCATCCCATTCAACTCAATATCAAAATATTACTAACAAAATTTGAATTTAAAGTTGGCTTTTCCTTGACGGGTTTTGTGAGTTGTTTATTAGAAAAAGTCCGATATCGTCATTTCTGGTCATTTCCATGATCATCTCCTCAAGTGTCATCTTCTTCAAACGAGTGTTTATTATTAAGAAAAACAAATCCTGTTCTCTCTGTTTCGGCTGACATAATTTATGAGCTTGAAATCATTTTGACAAGAATTAATGGAAAAATCAATATTTAAAAAAAAAAATCTTTTAAAGCAACAATTTTTTCAATTTTCCTTGAAAATTTATTTAAATTTAAAAATATTTCTCGAGGAAAAGCCGACTAAATTCAAATCACCATGAAGCAACCCTTGATCGTGAAATTCTACTAAAAGTAAATAATTGTTTGTTGGATTTTATTTTTTTATACAGTTTTTCACTCCTTTTTTTTTGTAAAAGCGATAAAAAATATTAACTTGAAATAAAAATAATACAATTTTTTCGCTCTGAATCTTAAGTGTTTTGAAGACCTTGATCCAAATGAGTCACACTAGTAAACGTTCAGTCACTCTTTGGCGCCGGCTCAATCAAAAGCGCTCTTTGCGCCAAATATGGCATTTTTCCAATCCTAAGAAGTTTGCGTCTCTCTGTTTTTCAGCAGCGGTGGCGAGTCTTCCGCCGGCGGCGCCGCGCGCCAAGGAGCAACAGCCCAGCGGCTCCGAGTCTGGTGAGTGGCACCCTCTCTTGTCCTGCGCGAAACCGCCCTCCTCCCTGTCCCACCGTGTCTCCCTCGAATCGCGTGAATCAGTCAGTCACCCGAATGCCGCGCAATTAGCACCATGACTGCCGCCTCCGGTGAGTGCCGCCCCCGAAACCAAAACAAATTTAGAAAAGCACATGGCTCTCGATGAAAAAGAAAAATATTTGTATAGAAATTTTTTGCCCTTGAACGATTTTTGTTTACTTAATTTTTTTCCTGGGGTTTCCCTTTTTTTTTGGAAAACAGCTAGAAAGGGATAGATTTTGTTTGTAAATTGAAGTGCAAATTAACTGGAACTGGTTGAAGTTGAAAAACTAATTAAAGATAATTTATATGATTGATTTTACTTAAAAATATCTTAATTTGCTAAACAAAATCATGATAGAACTATATGTTTATGGATATTTTCTTTTAATGTCCCGCGATTTAATTAAATAATAATTGAGGGGTTCCTTCCAAAATATATAAATTAGGCCAGCAAAGTCAAGATCTATCATTGAAATTGAATTCTAATATTCCTCCTTCTGGAGATTTAATTATCTGGAAGGAATTATCCAGTTGATTTTATAAATTATTTAATCAAATCTGTTAATATTATATAAAGATTTTGCTACCTAAATCTAGCTGTAAATGGAATCAAAATCTTAAAAATAATTATAATAATTAAATAAAAATTAAGAATGAGGCAAATAATATAAGTATCCATATAAAACTGTTGGATTTTTAATATGTAAATAAAATTAAAACCAAACAAGGCATCAATACTTCCAAAAAATGAACTAAAAATTAAATTTTTGAGTCTGTAAAGTCAGTTTTATTGCGTTTGAATGGTTAATCCAAAAGCCATTAAAGAAAAATTAAAAACAAATAATAGAGTATTGATCCTTTATCTATAATTTAATGTTTAGTTCAAAGTTCTAATATTTTTTCCGTTCTTGATTTTAGTGGCTGTATTTTGATATAATATGAAAATAAATTAAATTTTTAATTAAATGCTGCGATGATTAACAGCCTTTTAAATTTTGTTTTGCAATCACAAATTTGCAATTAAGATAATTTTATATAAAATTTTATCTTGATTTTATACATTTATAAAATTCAAGTCCACCACTTTTTTACTTGCTCTGCTTCTATAAAATGAGTTTTGACTAAATTATAAGATTGATGTTGTTTTTCGACGACAAATTAAATCATCCTTTTTAAATAAAACTAGCATAAAATCTCCAAGTCATCTCAATTTAGCAGCATCAAACGCATTAGATTTGGGATTGCGAAAGTGCATTTCGCATTTTGCAACTGGTGCTGCGAGTCGCGCGCGACCACGTGTGCGTGCCGATTCACGTTATTATTTTTATTCGCGGCCTCTCGGTACTTTGAAAATTCTCGCGATTAATCATCGGCCGCAATTAATCACGGGTCCCAAGTTAGTTCGGCCGGGTCGGAAGGGAGGGAGTGCAGCGGCGGTGGCGAACGGCAGTCTCGAAAGTGCATCTCGGTCAAATCGGGATCGCCTTGACCAGGTGACTCACCCGAAGAAAGAAGGACCGCCCTCGGACGACTCACTCGGGGGTCGGCGCGGCGGGCGAGGGGGCACTTTTGATTATCGGGCTGATTGGCAGGCCGGCCTGGCCTCTTTATTTACGACGCGCACTCGCCGCGCGCGCTCCGAGGAGAAAACTCAAACCCGCGGTCCTCGCTTGAATTAATTTTGTAATTAATTAAAAATTTGATTTTTTTTTTTACAGTTATTTAATAATTTTAATTTCTTTGGAAAGCTAAATTTCAATCATTAAAATGCAAATTACAGACAAAAGATTTTGACATTCAAATTTTATTATTAAGTGATTTAAGCTTAAAATTGTTCCTGTCAAGAGGATTAAAAATAAATTATTAGACTTAACTTTTGCATGAAGAACAGTGCAGGATTATTTTTATAGCAATTTTGTAGTATTAAAAATTAAATGGTTTTACCGGTTTCGGTCATGGTAGGCAACCATATTTTATGGAGTTTAAGGAAAATTGTAAAAAATTGACTCTGTATTTTATATTCCGTGCCCATAATTATGACCAAAATGGTTCAGCACTTTTTTTAATAGAACATAAAAGAGTCGTTTGTCCTAATTTCAGAGTTTTAAGTGGAATAATTAGTTTTTTGGAAACAGAAATCGGAACCTGTTTTGAAAAAAAGTTTAATTAAAAGTTGAAATTTTGACATTTTTATTCATTTTCCGAGCATTGGTTTTCTCGCTCAGTATCTGAATCCACGCTGAGATTTCTTTCGAAAATAAATTTTTTATTAACTTTTGTTTTTTTGAAAGGTTTGAAAGAACTGCCAAAAACGTTTAAAATTTCAATTTGTTGCTAGCTTTGTTTGTTTCAACGCAAGAAATTCTCAACTAGTGTGCTTTTTATATGCAAACACGTCAATCAGAATTTGCTTTTTTTTTCTGGCTGCAGAATCTCTAAATATCAGTAAATATCAGTTTCGGTTTCTCTAATAAACTGAGAAACGTTGCAAGCATTTTTTAACCCAGGCTCACTTAATTTTGAACCGATATTTATTAAAACTACATATTCCAACAGTAAAACCACGAATTTTTTCTTAGATATAAGATTGAATTAATTAAAAACGTGTAAATAAAATAGATCAACTTGTTGCCCAAATGATGAAAAGCTCGAATTAAAATATTTTCTGATTTTTTTTTATTTTCAACGTTTTTTCTAAAATTTAGTTTTTTTTTTTAAATATTGTTTATTTAATCTTTTTCTTGAAATTTCAAACGGAGTTTTTATAAATATGTTTTCATAAATATTTTCTAAAATTTAAATTTTTCAAACATGCAAAAGCGTTTGAATTGTTGAAAGCAAATTAATTTGATGGTTGCAAAAATAATCGCAAGTCGGGCATTGATTTTTGTCAACATGTGGTGTTGGGTCGAGCCCACGGAGTAGAGGGCCGCGTTGAGTGGCTGGCACGCGCGCTCCCCATTTAGCGCGGGTGAGTCAGCGCGCGCTGCTCCTCCGGATTTAGACGCTCGCTCACTCACTCGCCGCTCTTTTCATTCGGTTACAGAGGAGCTGGACAACGTGTACCAGATGCTGGACCCCAAGCTGCAGCCGCTGCCGCCCGACCCGGACAACCCGGACTCGCTGCGGGTGTTCAACGAGCACAAGCAGCTGGCGCAGGAGTACTTCAGGGTGCAGACCGAGATGGCGTACACGCGGCAGTACAGGGACCACCTCGCCGAGAAGTTGTCCGAGGAGCAGCTGCAGCAACCCTCGCAGCAACTCGAGGAACTCGCTAAGCTCGAGAGCGAAAAGGTTCCGGCTTTAATTTTTTAATATTAATTAATCAAAATTCTCCGATCGCCGGTCGTGTTTATTTTGGTTTCCGTGTTCTGTTGTCAAGTAAAGATTCTGTTGATTTTCGCCTCGGATGAGTCACGCAGCTTCTGGTGTTTTTATTAGAATCTGCTGCCGCATCTTGAGTCATGTTGCCTCAAATTTTTTTATTATAAAAAAAAAGTAAATTAGATTGGCTTTGAAACTCATTTGAATTTTAAATATATTTTTTGCTAGTCTTTTTAATTGTTTGCAATTTATTTATTTAAAAATTTCAAATTTTTTTACAATTTGATTTTTTTGCAGGAAAACTTGGAACAATTGCAGCGGAACCTACGACGGCAGCTTGAGCTGATCCGGAGGGCGCGGGGGGCGCCACCTGACTGGGTGGTGGTCCCGAGGACGTAGGTGGCCGGAGGAATTTCGGCTGCCCCCTGACTGTGATACTGCGACTAGTCCTCGGCCCCGTTAGTCATTCCCGGCCGGCGGCCTCCCAGCCGACTCTCGTATTTATTTTCTCAACCAAGCAAAACAATGTAACTGTTTAAGTAAAAAAGTGAGATGCTATGAAGAAATTTAATGCTACTAATGCTCGCCTCTGGTACTTCCCCCGGGGAAGCGAAATTTGTTAAATGACTGTCAGGTTTTATCCAGAGATTAATAAATTTTGATAAGTAAATTTACTTAAAATTTTGTGTGATTTTTCTGAAAGAAAAGACCAATTTTTACACATTTACGTCAATACATATGTCAGTTTATTTTAAAGCACAAATAAAAATCATTAAATATATATTATAGAAGGTGTCACAAATACATAAACGGGGACAGGAATGTTCAGTTTCAGTTATAAAATTAGCTCTGCCTATTCGAGTCAAATCACTTCCGTCAAATCAAGCAGCTGGAGGATGAGAAATATTATTGGTGGCGAATCAGTCAGTCTTGGTTCACAACTTGAGCAGCTCCTCGTCACTGTCCCACTCAAGTTCCTGGTGGTTTTGCAGGACGGCGTTGGCCTCGGCCACCGACAGCGCCTGCAAAGCTGCCTCGTCTCAATACGTACTCAGCGTCTCCTGAAGCAGCGACACGGAGACAAGACGCAAAACACAATAATTAGACAACTGACAATACAAAGCATGCGGTTCATTTTAAATTACTACAATTAATTGCAAACTCAATTTCCATTGACTTGAATTAAGGTAAATTTGAATGACATGATTTTCATTTAAAAAAAGGAAATGATGTATAATGTATTTAAAAAAAAAAAAAAATATTTGGTTTTTCTATTTAAAAGGATCCAAAGATATAAGAGAATTTAAATAATTAGCAAAAATCAGCCAAAAAAAATCACAAAACTTCATTGAAGTATGGCTGAAACGTTTATTAATTAATGCAACTTGATCTCATTTGATTTAATTTCATTTGACATTTAAAAAAAAAATGATTTTATGATTATTATTTTACAAATTTTAAGTCTAATACGTACTAAATTGAAAAAAATTTTGGTTGGAAAAAATAAACTTGAAAAAAGCACAAATCAGCAAAAAATTCACAAAACGTCATTGAGCGATGCCTGAACAAAAAGATACTCACCCTTGAATAGTGGACCTGCGTGTGCGAGGCCGAGGACGGCCACGGGAGCCGCCACGAGAGACACAGAAGGGGGTAGCGGCGCCGAACAACCACCACGGCGCCGACGCCCAAGCTCAGAAGACTTGCGGTCACCACCAGCGCGACTGAAATCATTTCGCGAATCGCTTTTTAATGCAACTGACTGGCAAAAATATGACGTCTATTTTTTTTTAGATAAGATTGCAGCAAATCGAGATGATAACAGAGTTAAATGACATAGATAAGCCCATTCAAGGAACACGCAGACAAGCCTAGGATCTTTCTTTTTCATTTCAATGAAAAATTGTAAAAAATTGAAAAAATTAATACATGATAAGAACTGTTTAAGTGAAATTCATGAAATTTGTTGTAATTTTTTTAAACCTGTTTTGTTTTTTATTGCATGATTAAATTTTAAATGCAATAAGTTAACATTTTGTAGGATTAATTCAACAATTTAAAAAAATATATATTTATAAATTTATAAAGCAAAGATGCCTTCAATTTACTTAGAAACTTTGAAAGTTATATACCGAATTTTTAAGTCCAATAATAATTTGCTCAAAAACGTTCAAATCGTGAATAAAAATACTTCATAAAATTTTGATTTTTTTCTTTAAATTCACAACTACTTTGACGTGAATCTCACCTATGGCGGTGGTGGCATGGCCGGTCTGCACTTCTTGGTTCTCCGAGTCGGCCGCTTCGGGCTGCAAAGTGGGCCCGACCGTCCGCTGAAGACACACAGCGTCCGTTCGCCACTCAAAGATGGCGTAGCACGAATGATCCTGCAAACAGACGTCGACGGGACCTTTAATGCTGCAGTTTTAATATGAAAAAATGAGAAAGCGAATCTTGCAAGAAATAGTCTATGGAATTCCCAGTAATGACATTGTTTGTTTCTATTATGTAATTGAGAAGTCTTTTTCTAGTGCAACCAACCGCTAATGCGCTTTGCTAAATTATAGATAAAGTTTGGTAAAATAAAATGACCTAAACCTTAAAAAAAAAATAATAATAATAGAAAAATGTTGTAGGAATAAATGGAATAATAAAGAAATTCATAAGAATCTGTCTTTGAGATCGGCGAATTTTATTCAGGGTATTCATTTAAATTAAATGTATTTATTAAAAAAAGAAATGCAGCAGATTCTCGATTTTGGAAAAGAAATTCATGGAGTATGGATTTTCTATAATTTTGATAGGAGACATGTACATATTGTAAAAGGAACAAAATATGCGACCCATTAATTTGGGAACACTCAATTTTTTCATTAAGAGTAAAATTAAAATAATAAAATTTTCTGTTACCGATGATTTGATATTTATATGTTTATTAGAATCAAATTATCATAAAAAAACACTTTAATTTAAGCTTATAAACGTCTGAAGTAAAATTTGCTTAAATTTGTATATTATGTCTAGTCAAGCTGTCAAGGTTAAAACTAATGGCAATTCCAGCAACTCTCGCTAATTTTGTGTGAATTTTTTAGACCTATAAAGAACAGCTGAGTGACTCATTTGCTTAATTAATATTTTAGGTTCCTAAATTTTAATACTCTAATGTTTTTTTTTCAGATTCCTAATCAAATTTTGCGTTTGCTACCAGTCTTTTTAAAAAATGTCAAAAAAAAAATGTTTTTCCAGGCTTCAAAGAGCACGGCGCAGAGGAAGTAAATAATTACAGCGTGCGTTAAGGTGCGTGAAAAAAATTAGGCACTCTTTTCTTGAACATTATTTTTCACATGCTAAATTTTCCCTCGACATGCGGAGAGGAATTCGCGTTCAGCTTCGCTCAAAACGCTCATTAATTCTCGTTTAAAGAGTCGCGCTTTTTATTTCATTTAAAATTTTTTGCTCATCCTAATGACGTCTCGAGAGAATCCTCCTCGGCGATTAAAATTTCATTTCGCTCGTAGGTGCGCACTCGAGCTATGGAATAATAATAAATATGTACATGAGAACGGGAGTGAACGACCGGGCTGTGGTCGGCGCGGCGCGGCGCAACCGAAAGGACCTCGCACTTTCACCAGGATCTGCCGCCGCCGCACGTTTATTATTACAGCGGGCCCTTTTTGAATATATCACTTTCTCCGCAGCCATCGCGCGACACTCATCGCCGCACGGTCAACGATATTACGCAAAACATTATTATTTGCTGTGCGATTAACGCAGAATTCATGCACGTTCGTCTCGTCAATTGCAAGAACCGGTCGCGCAGATCGCGATGATAAAAAAATTTACACGTAAATCCTCTTTACTCGACTTGGAGGATTTCGTAATTTTGCAGTCGAACATTAATTTTAATAATCTTTCAAGAACGATTTTTACTGAAAACAAACGGGAGAAGCAAATAAAGCTTTTTTTCCATCTGGAATTGCAATTAAAAATGAACTGCAAAAATGTTCAAACTATGAACATTTTACTAAAATTAAATCTAACAATTTAATTTGGATAATTACAAAATAGAATTTCAGAAAACGGAAGTTGGTTCAAGTTCAATGGTACAAAAAAATTACAAAAAATTCAGAGTGAAAATCAACCAAAAATTTAATTACTCCTCCCCAGATTTTTTAAATCTTTACTCTTACAATTAAAGCAAAATTGTTGTTATTGATTTAATAGGCCGTTTGATCCATCAATTAATAAAAAAAAACTAATATTGTGCACATTCGTCAACAAAAATTTGTGATTGTAAGAATAATTGGAAAGTTCATAGCAAAATTGGTAATAAAAAAAATTATTTTATAGTCAATAATAAATTTAAACCAATTTTTCTTTTAAAAAGTGGCATGAAGATTTGTTTTTTAATTCAGTTCATTGCAACAATGTTGCTCACAAGCTCATTGTTGTGATCTTTTGTAAAAAATGCTCCTTTACGAGGTTGCAAAGTTCCAATGGATTAATAAAAATAGAAAACGAACAAGAAATTTGTATTGTCTAACCCATAATTTTCTTAATTTTTTAATTGATCTTAATCGTCTTTTTTTAGGACTCTCCGTAATTTTGAGGTATACAAACTTTAAATTTTTATCTATGGACGTCAATTAATTTCCGTTGTAGCCCCTCCAGAAAAAAGAAACAAGTTTTTCAACTTTTGAGGCCTTGAAATTATTGTACGGCCCATTTTACTTCACTGATTCACGAGCGTCTCAAATTTGAATAAAAACATCCATTCCAATGTTTTCCCTCACTTATTTGCCAAGAAACATTGATTTATTATTGTTATTTTGTTTAAAAATAAGGAAAGGTTATTATTATTATTATTTTTTTAATAATTCTTCATGAAATCCAATTACAATTAAATATAAAGAAAACAGATTTGTAGTGCAAAAGCAATTAAAAAAAATTCCACACCTGCTTTGAAAGATTATAAATTTAATATCAGATTTTGTTCTGCATTTTCAATGAAATGAAAACATCATGAAACTTTTGTTTTTTCCTTTACTTTGGAAAGAAAAAAAGGAAATTGCTATATTTAAATAGAAGTATGACATTGGTTTTGTTTGTCACTCTGCGATGTTCATTTTTCACTGAACAATAATGATAATCATCGCATTTGGCGAGGAAAACCGCAAACATAAATAATAAAGCGCGCAGTAAAGTGACTTCTGTGGCTTTCGCGCCGGCGAAGAAGAGCGATTTGACGAGTGTCGCGCGTTTCTATAACTTTGTCCTCCACTATAACTAAATGTACAGTTACGAGACACGACCTGCACACCCATGAGTGAATTATTTTTAAATCCTGCACCCGTCGTTTGTCACAGCGAGCGATCCATTAGACTGCAATGTTCAAAAACGTTTAGAATTTTACAAAAACAAGAAAGTACTTTTCGAAACGCACTCTCAATGCCTTTTCAATTAGCTGCCCGTTTATTATCATAATTGGACTCCAAATGGACGAAGCAAACTCACTTTGCGTGTAACAAACGCCAGCGTGATTTGCAACATGATAAACCGGATTTTCGCTACGTTTGGGGTCAACGCAATATTCCTAATTTGTATTTCTTGCCAAGCGTGACTTTGAAAATAATGTAAAATTGACCAAACTTTCTATATTAATTTTCCTGGTTGGGTGATTTTGCAATTGACGTAAATTGTGTGATTTAATTTGTGTTGGAGAAAATCTGATCAAATATGGAAGTGCCATCAAAACAATGATTATTAGAATTTCTGCAACAACAAAAAATGCTGTTGGTCAGCAAATTAAAGATAATTAATATTTTTTAATAATCATGTTGAAAAATACTTATTCCTATCAACAATAGTTTGATTAGAAGGATTTAAAATGGTGTTTTTTTATGGTGTGTAAAATGAGTTAAAATTTTCTCATTTTTTAGAGCACAATTTAAATTGTTCTAATAATTGTAGAGTTTTTTAAGTAATGTATGACTTTAAAATTCACAGTTTTAACTTTGTGGTCATTTTAAATCTGAATTAAGCAATAAATTTGTGCTTCGATCACATTCCTAATATCATAAATTCTTTTAATTAATTAAATTTCAAATTGTTAAAATAAAATATTTAAAAATAAATATATTTTGCACTTTTAATCATAGAAATGTCTGTTTATGAAAAACATTATTATATTTTTCAAGTTACTAAAAACTGAAAAATGTTAAATTATTCTTCCTTGCGGCAAGTTGCCAATTAATTTTATGAATCAGATCTTTTATTACGCTGCTCACATTGTCTGGACGATCCGAAACAATTTCCTCAAATATTCGCCTTGAAGCGTTTCGCCCGCCGTCACTTTTCACTACTCGTGTTGAATATTAAATAAATAGTTTGCGTTTGTGTGCGTGCAAACTATAAAAAAACTGGTGACTCTTTGGAAATCCCCCCGGTCCAAGTCCATCATCCATCCTGCGGCAATTGGGATTAAAATGTGTTTGCGGCCGCAAAACGAGTGCTCTCGACTAAATTTATAAGTGTTTATATATATATTTTTGTTGAAAAATTGTGGCGCGCGAGAGAAGTGACAAGACGAGCTTTTTCAAGGGCACATTATGCCCCGAGTTAAGTGACCCGCCTGGCAACAACACACACACGTAGTCAGGTGCGGCGCCCAAATCGTGCTGTTGATTTTGCTGATCATCCCGGCACAAAGAGCGCGCTTTCTGCCGCTAAATCCAAATGAGAATAAAAGAGATATATGGAAATCCCGTGCAAATTGATTTCGCACCCCATCCGAGTCGCGGAAATTTCCGTAAAAAAGCGGAATTTTTGTTATTCTAGTTTTGTTTATGGAAGATTGGAGCGTGATCGGCAGCGGTTTAATGGAAGAAAGGTTGGATTTTCCTTCACGCACACTCCGTCAGCGAGTGAGTGAGTCTTCCACTTCTTATTAGTTCGATAGAGGACTGCAGAGTCGCTGGAGAAATCGAACTTGTTTTTAATGCGTAATAAAATCAACGTTGTCTGGTGTGATTTTTTAAATGTAAAAATGAAGTCAATTGTGGGGTGATTTAATATTTTTTTTTCTACAAGAATAAATTTGTTGATTTAAGGCCTTGTCAAATTTGAATTTATAAAAAATTGGAGTGAAAATTTTGATACATTATTCTTTGCTATTTTATTTATTAATACTCAATTTATTTACGGTTTTGATGGGAAACCCTCGATTCTACCTAAGAAATATGTAAGAGTTAGTAATTAAACGCCTTGGGAAATTATTATTAATAGTTATTACTATTAATGTGTGTCAAAATTTATGTAATTTCCAGCTGGGATTCATTTTTTCTGTAAATCTATTGAATTTTGAGACGCTTTTAAATAAAAATAGATTTATGAATATATAAAAAAATAATCATAATTTAAAAAAAAGTGATATGGATTTCGTGAACAAAAAAACAGGGTTTATTCGCTCTCCAGCTTATAAATATTCAAATTTAACTCCTGCAGGAAGCTGATCACCACAGATAGAATAAACCTCAAACCCGGCCATTATTTCCTGTTATCAAAATTTTGGATGGCTGGAGAAGAAATCACACTTATATGCATGTGTTAAAAAAATGAAATAAAAACTTAAAAATCGTACCAAACTAAAGCATTTAAATAACTCTAGCTGGAAATTACATACATTTTGACACACAGAGACAATAGTGACTATCAATTTGTTAATAATAATTGACAAGAATAAATAAAAATAATAACTTAAATAAATCCCAATCCTCACAATTTCTTTAACCATTCAACAAAAGCGAAAGTGCGATGGAGGTCAAGAGAAACAAGTGCGGCTATTTACTTTAACTAGATAAAATCGATCGGATTCTCTCTCGGGATCTGCAATTTGTTCTTTTCTTTGAAGGTGAATTGTTTCCACTGCAGGTCTCTCGCTCACCACCTCCTTCCTTCTGCAGTGACGTCACTGCGGTGCCTGCGTCACTCGGTCGCAAGGTACTGCCGGAGAGCTCGGCTTAGTCGGCCGCAAGCACTGCGCCATTTCACACTCGTCCTTTTCCTGGTGCGCCCGTCCGAACTTTCGCGTCGCCATGCCGTGATGTTTGGCCCTTCGTGGGTGCTGTTGGTGCCCGTGGTGGTCGCGGCGGCCGTCGCCGCCGCCACCACTCAGTGTCCCTCCAAGTGCAAGTGTTTGCAGTTGTCCAGCGGCGGCCGAGAGATATATTGCGGTGACCTTCTCAAGGCCACCGAGCAACCACCTGAGCTCAGGGTGCAGTGCGAGTCCGACGATGTTAGTGCTGAAGACTTGGCGCCGCTCAGGTCGATGGGCGCCGCACGCAAGATGTCGTTTTCCTACTGCTTGTTGCCAAAACTTTCTACCCTGGTGAACACGTCGGCCGTCGAGACCCTGGTGGTGGAGAACGCCAAGGGCACGCAACCGTTATCGCTCGGACACCTGGACGGTTTTGACCACCTGCAGAGGCTGCAATTATCTTCTGATAACATTCGCGAGCTCCCTGAAGGTATTTTCAGACCTTTGATAGCCCTGAAAAAACTAGACCTTCGAGATAATTTGCTCAAGACGCTGCCTACCCTGCCGAGTACCCTGATTGAGCTTGAGCTGGGACAAAATTCTCTGACGCAACCACCCAGTAATTTGAGTAATTTGAGGTTATTGAACCTATGGAGGAACAAAGTCGACGTTCTGGCACCTTTGGAAGGCTTGCAGAAATTGACCTCGCTCGACCTGAGTGTTAATAAAATGACTGGAATCGCTCAAGACGCGTTTGCGGAACTGCCAGAGCTCCAGGAGCTGAACCTGAGTAAGAATAATTTCAAGGCGCTGCCTCCTGGTGTTCTGGCGTCTGTTGTAACGTTGAAGAAGTTGCGGCTGAACGACAACAACGCCACCAGGCTGAGTTTGCCACGAGGCTTCCTGGCCGATTTGCAGCAATTAGAGGAGGTCTCGATTGAACGTTCAAGACTCGCTGCAATTCCAGAGGCCTTCCTCAGTGGCACGAGTAAATTAAAAACCTTAAGTTTGGCAATCAACAGACTCGAATCTTTGCCGGAAGGAATGTTCACTGACTGCTCCTCGTTGGAGAAACTGGATCTCAGCGGCAACAAACTGGCCGTCTCGCCAGACTTTACTGGACTGGTGGCGTTGAAGACGCTTCTGATTAGCAAAAACCAACTGACTTCCATAAGTTCCAACATTATGCAGCCCTTGAAAGCACTTCAAAAGTTGGATATGAGCTCTAACTTGCTCGACGACATCCACACGTTGGCATTCGCGGCTAACAGAGAATTGCAAGACGTCAACATGGATAACAACAACCTCAGCCTTGAAAATGTATTGCGCGATGACTTCTTGGGTGCCTATTCGCCCTTACAGTATTGCACAAAATTGGAAACTCTATCTCTGCGCAACAATTCTATCACAGAGATCTTCGCTGATTGGCGCATTACTCTCCTCTTTCTTCACAAGTTAGACCTGCGAGAAAATGAAATAACATTCGTCTCCGCCGAAGAATTGAACTTCCTGTCTGACAACGTGGTCGTTGACCTTCGCAAGAACAATTTGACATGTGTCAACCTGATGAACGTGGAGAACCATTTCAGCGATGATGACAAACATAATCATCCTGCAAAAGGCAGGAACGTATTGATAAAAATGGACGGTGCCGCGATTGCCTGCGACCAATGCGAGACCTACGGTCTCTTGACCTACCTCGAGAAAAAGTACTCTGAGAAAGTGTACAATTTGTTTAAAATTGAAATGAACACTGAAAACTCGTGCGTCGTTGGTCTAACGTCCGAGGACTTCTTATGTCCCATTTCAGCCATACCAAATGTCAAGAGCCTTGAAAACTGCACCGTCGCCTATCGCCGAGCTTACAAAGGTGTACAACTGACCTGCAATCAGCATGTGTATCCTCAACCAAGTGAACTAAAAAACCTCCAAAAGATACCAATTCTTCAAATCGCCTTCCAAAACCTATCAGGAAACTTCTCACTGCACGAAGTGAACCCCTCTTGGCTACATTTGGGCAACAACAACCTGACTGCCGTTGAAGCACTTCCACCTAACCTGACTGAATTGGAGCTGCACGGCAACTCTTTGCGCCGCTTGTCGCAAGAAATTCTTGAAAAAATCAACAAAACACAGCGGCTGACGCTGGGCAACAACCCTTGGAAGTGCGACTGCGAGGCCGTTGAATTCATGACCTTTGTGCAGCGCCGCTTCGCCGCGGTCTCCGACCTGGCCAACGTCACGTGTGATGACGGACGCTCAATCACCAAAATCAGCTCTGACGATTTATGCAACACTTCGCAGATTGCAGTGGCCGCAAGTGCAGTCATTGCGACGACAGCCATCATTTTAGGCATTTTTGCCGCTCTCTACTACAAATTCCAACATCAAATCAAGGTGTGTAGGATTAAGAATTGTAATTTTTGTGCACGTCACAGAGATGGCTCAGAGTTGATTTGCAAACCAAATCAAATTTACATCAACACGAAAACTTTCTTTTAATGATACTTGCAATAGTAAATTTTACTTTTTTACTTTTAAAAGTTACTTACTATGGAAAAAATTAAAATTTTTGAGCCAAAAAGCAAAAATTATTTAAATATTTACTCACTGATTCTTTGCTTTCATTGTTAAAATTCCAGTGAAATTTTTTAATAAAAATTTACTTATCAAAAAAGCCCACGAAAAAACACAGCGCCACTTCCTGCCATGTCGTGCTCAAGGCAAAGGTTAAAAGCGAGTGTCTATCTCTTCCGTTTCCATCAGTTTCTATCTCTCTGCACCGCAAAACTCCCCACGCGAATGTTGTAAAAACAATTCCCCATTAGCTTTACAAATTTCCCTGCAAAACCACCCTGATTTTAATACCATTTGGTTCCAGGTGTGGCTCTACGCGCACAACCTTTTGATGTGGTTTGTCACCGAGGAGGAGGTGGATAAGGACAAAAAGTACGACGGATTTATCTCGTACTCCCACAAAGATGAGAACTTCGTAGCGCACACGCTGGTACCTGGACTAGAGCCGCCCTTCAAATTGTGCATCCACGCCAGAGACTGGAACGCAGGGGATTGGATTCCCGAGCAAATCGCCCGCTCGGTCGAAGAGTCGCGACGCACGCTTATAATTCTCTCTCCGAATTATCTGGAGAGCGTTTGGGGCCGAATGGAATTCAGAGCGGCTCACCAGCAGGTCAGTTTGTTGTTAATAAATATATCTGCAGAAATATATAATTAACTAATTATTAAAAATTGATCGATCGTTTTTTTCAGGCGATGAGTGAAGGTCGGGCTCGCGTTTTGCTGGTTTTGCTGCAGGACGTGGGTCCTCTGGACAAGCTGGACCCCGAGTTGCGCGCCTACCTCTCTATGAACACTTACGTGAAGTGGGGAGACCCGTGGTTCTGGGACAAATTGAAATACGCGATGCCCCATCGAAAACTGAAGGGCGAAGGACGCAAGGGTCCTCGACCGCTCGCCATAAAGATCAACGATAAACTGGAGCAGTTGCAGAATGGCGTTTCAAGCGTTTAATCAACTTTTCCAAGTTTTGGTTTGCTCAAATTTAGTATTAGGGAGGAATGAAAGAGAATTAGCCTCTAGGATGAATAATTGCGGTGATTGTTACACGTGCTACACAAACGAATCAAAAGTTTTCAATAAACAAGTTGTATAAACTATAAAAAAAAATACCTTTATCAATGATTTCCCCTAGATTCTATATCAAATAAAGTGTCAAGTTTATAGACTAATAAGTCAATTTTGTAAAGAGATAAAACAAATTAAAAGAGTACTCACCAGAACCACTCTAGGTGTTCCAGTTCCGTTATTCAAGTCGCATTTGAGCCAAACTTCAGCGCCGTAGGTGTCTGTTGTAGAGTAAAAAAGTTATAAAAACTCAACAAGCAATACAAAAAAAGCTCATACCATTTCGCAGACAAGAAGCTCCGCCTCCAAAGTGCAGCTTGAGATAATCTGCATGTAGCACTGCTTTCTGCAGCACTCCGTAGGATGACCAGTTGCCGTCCTCTGAGCGTTGGCAAACAGCGTTGCCACTGCAGTCGGTGCCACGGCCACAGAGGTCGACTGTGAATTTGCCGATCCTCACCTGCTGGCCTAGGTTGTCAAGACTTATGAAACGCTTCAGCTGGCTGCTGTAGACTTTGCAGTCGCCCACTTTTTCCTCCACAGGACCGCAGACAAGACTCGTTGGCCAGGAGAAATAAAATTGGCAATCAGGGGTCTCCTTTTCGAATTTTGGGGCGCCCTAAAAACAATAAATAGAATGATATTGAGTTAAAACATTATATTTAACTTACATTTCCAGCCAGAGGATCACATTTAAATGAAATCCTTGTTGTCGCATTGACCGACGGTCTTCTCGGGCAGGAACCTCCTCCCGAATAGATGAGAAGGGCACCGTCTGCTGTCAAAGTGGGCCCTGTCGTCGCGTGTCCGATGTTCAACTCCTCAACCAAGGTGCCTCCCGATCTTCGAGCCACACACGCTGCAGCGCCAGCGCCACAGTTAAGGCCCAATTTTGGAAGAAGCGGTCGGCATATGTTGAGGAAGAAGATTCTTCCATCTTGCAGTTCGGCTCGGTAATTTTGAGTAACTCGCACCAGTGAGGAGAGGTCCGTTGAGTGTCCTAAGAGAGACGTCGCGCAGGGAATTGGATTTTCACAGGCAAACCTGGTGTGCCAGTGCACAATAGTGATGCAGCCCTAATATTTAAAAAATTAATAAAACTTGCAGGGAAAAAATTAATTTTGACGCATACCTGCAGCGTTTCAACAACTCGAGGGCCTTCGGGACTTCCTTCGGCTCCACAAAAGAACTCAATAATAGTTTCTCTTCTTCGTCCAACTCCACAAGCATCGCCGCCCTGGTATCTCAGCTCCAAAGTTCCACCAGGCAAGTATTTGAGGTCTGAAGAATTGGCGCCAGTTGAGAGTCCACCTGATGCAGTCAATTGACAGGCGCCAATTCCCTTAGGGCAAGATGGGTCGGACACGGATGAGCAGACAGACAGTACCATGTGCTGGCCAAACTCATCAGTGGCCGGATGATCCTGTCCGGCGAGTGGACTCAGGTCGAACCTGAACTTTGAATAAGGGCTCAGCACAGAGCAGTTGTAGCCCGAGGGTGGTCTTTGAGGACAGGCAGCAGCCGTCCGCCAAAACAGGGCATGGTCGCATTGAAACTCTCCAAGGTATTCAGGTTGTGACTCCAGGGCGTCAGGGTCACACATGAAGGTGACCGTGGCGGACACGTGGACAGGCCCTCGAGGAGCGTGGCAAAGGGCGCCTTCTTCGTAACGCAGCTTCAGCACCTTCGAGTCAAGGAAAGGCCCAGATTGCACGTTGCCCAGGTTTATGAATCTAAAAAAAGAATTAAATTTAGTAAAAAACGGAAATTTAAGGGTAAAAATTTTCCTACTTGTCTCCCTGACGCAGACAAGCCCCCGAAGTGGCTTCACAGGCTGCGTCTCTGTTGAAAACGACAGATCTGCAGACGTTTATAAGAACACCTGAGGACTGTCCCGATCGACTGCGGGCAATGTGATTGGCTGAACGTCTCGAGAGGGGACTCAAGTCATACAGGGTGCCATCTTCCATGCGAACAGTGCAGGGGACTTCAGTATAGGGTGGACATGCCTTGGGGTGGTTCCATACCAAAAAGTAACGACAGTCATTCACCCCTGGATAGAAAAATTTTCAAATAATACATCAGGCCAGGTTGCAAATTTTAAATTTTTACCTGAGGGGAATATCTGTGGTTGAGTGGCAGGTCCATCAGGATCGAGGTGCTCGCAGGCCAGAATCACGGTCACACTGCTGGTGACGCCGGGCAGACACTCCTCGCCAGTGAGGTGGAGACTGAGGCGACCATCCATGTACTCGAGTTTGTCGTTTCGAAGACCAATCGCCGTTTCACTTCCATTTCGTGCGAGACACACATTCACATTCTTGGTGCCGTTGCATGGGGTATGCAGAGGTCCGCACAAGTTGACTCTGAACAAGCTGCCGTCAACACGCACCTCGTAGTCCTCCATGTCGTTGTACAAGGAGCGCAGGTCGAATGAGTAGAACATACGAGAGTCCAGAACTTGGCAGTTATCGCCTCGATTTGGCTAAAAATTAATAGTAAAATTTATAAAATAAAAAAATGAAAAATTAATAAAATATTATGCATACCTTGGCTTCACATGCTGTTGGAGTTTTCCATAAAAATGTGTAAACACAATCGCCACTGACGACTACAAATTCTGGTCCGCGCTCCTGCTCACTGCATTCAAAAGATATGTGAACTTTGCGTTTATTCCTGCCATCAGGACAATCCGCTCCATCTGTTAAAGTGGTTTAAAAATTTATTCAACTAGCTTCAAATCAAATTACCTCGATATGTTAAAAGCAAGTCTCCGTCTTTGGTGAATCGAGGCGGATGTTCGACGACCCCCAAGGGAATGGATGGCACATTTGGTTTGGAGCTTGAAATGCACGCACCAATGTTACCAGCTGAAAATTTTAACTATAAATCACTGTTGATTTGAACAAAAAACTAATTACCATGACATGGAGACGGAAGGTTTCTGGCCAGAGGACCACAGACGTTGATGTAGTACAAAAGGTGAGTGTAATTCACCCGTGGATCTCGAACAATCCAGTAGCTATTCGCCTTTCTCAGTGGGCTGATGTCAACCTTCACACCTTGTCTAGTATAAGCCTAAGAACAAAATAAGACAAAGTTATTATATCTAATAATATAAAAATAGAAAATATAATTTTTTTTTTAAATTCCATGGATTTTTAATATATTTTTGTTTAAAAAAACTAACCACGCAGTCAACTGGTATCGCTGGGCAGGCGTAGGGAGTCTCGACCCTGAACACAGCGTGGCCATTGCTGGCGCTCAAAAACTCAGGCTTCGGCACCAACGGCGCTCTCTGGTTGCACAAAAAGTGCACCTCAACCATGGTGTCATTTTCACCGCGTTGTCTCGAGACGAGGCCGTCGGCCGCCAGTTGCAGGCCGCTGTTCTCAGCAAACCTGCCTAAGGACACAGTTTTGTTGGCCTCGCAGGCGACGGCCTTTTCCCCCGGACACAAACCTCCAGCGACCGGAGCGCACAGGTTGAGGTAAAAGACGCGTCCGTCAGGTGCGGAAACCTGGTAGGCCTTTTCGGCCACCAGCGGGTAGAGATCGAACCAGTGGCCTCCGGAAGAGGGCAGCGAACAGGCGCGTGTTGCTTCGGCCGAGGGACAGGCGGCCGCGGTGAACCAGGCCAGCTGGATCTCGCAACCGGTGAGGCCGACAAAGAACGGAGCCGCCACGCTGTCCTTATTGCACACCAAATGTACATGTACCTGAAAAAATAGAGAAAAATTAATTATGTTAATTGACTTTTGAAAAAAAAAATCCAATTTATTTGGGAAAATATACAATTTTTAATCAATAAAAAAAAAACAATTAAAAAAAATTTTGATTTCATTCACTATATTTTTAAATAATCAATAAACATTTTTCATCTTACTAGCTCAACAGTAAGCCACATTGATATTAAATTTAGCAATAAAATTTACAATGATTTTGACAGAGATAAAGCAAAAAAAAATAATTCATTTAAAAGATAATTAATATAATTCTTTACAGATTATTTGTAAAGAATATTTATTGGATTTAAAATATAAATTTACAATAATTATTATAAAAATAGAAAGTCTCAGGCAGGGTTAGGAATTTTTTTTATTTCAATGTGCCAGGAAGTTCATTGAACTAGATTGTGACTTATTGTCGGTTTGAAATTGCTTTCATGTGATACTGCGCTGGGGACAGAGGGAAATGAGAAATGAGCTGTGCTACATTATCAACCATCCAGTTGATTCTGCCTTTGGAATGCACAAAGTTTCAGAGAAATTTGATAACTTCCGAAAACAAATTGGACTGAGCCAGTTATAGATAAGAATCGATTAAGAACAAAAACAAAGAGCTCTGGCGAAACTGATTCTATTATCGTATTTTCCTAAATCCAACTTATTTAAGAATTAAACAAAGGCCCTGATTAGAAAGTCCTCACAAATGATAAATATTGAAAGTTGAAACAAGACAAATTTCAAGAAATAAATCATGACAGTGAAAATACTGAAAAATTGTTCCTAAATGTAAAAACTAAGATTTAAAGTATTTAATCTTTAGAGCAGCCAAAAGAAAAAAAGCATTAGAATTAACAAAATTATCAAAACTAATAGTTATTTTTGAAATATTTTTATACATTTGAATCTTTTAATTACATAATTTATTGCATGGATTAGAAGAAAATAATTATATTTATAATATTCTATAATTATTCTTTCCTAGTATATCATTTAATCGTTTGGTTTAATTAAAGAGACAAACCAACCGAGTAATTCTGTCCTGCACCACAAGGAGTGTGTCCAGGCAGGATGAGCGTCAGACGAGTGCCTGTGTAGACAAGACTGGCGTTCGCAGTGGCCGCCGCTGCGGAGGCCACAATCGTCCGCCACTGGCCACCCTCCTGACGGGCGAGACAGGCGGACGCGTCCACGTCGGGACACTGGGCTTTGGTGAGGCCCTTGAGGGGTCCGCACACCGACAGGAACAAAACGCCGGGTTTGCTCTTCGAGTCGGACACATCGGGCACCTGCCAGGGATCGCTCGTGGCCAGACTGAAAACCAGTTAATCGATTAATGGGGGTTGGAATCACCACGAGAGGGTTCAATCACCTCGAAAAGTCGTAGAGCTCCGGGTCGCCGTGGGGGTTGATCACCGAAAACAAACAGTGCGAGGTCGAGTCGGCCTCGGCGAAGGCGGCCAGTACCGTGGCCAAGGCGGCCAACAGCAATGTTCGAGGACACATTTGATCACCGGCCGGCCATGTACGTGCAACCCTTTTAATTAAATTAAGGACTTGGCGAAAATCGAAGTTTCGCCTGTCCGAAGATGAGGTGAGGCAAGGGTTGCCGAGGAGGCCAAGAGCAGCGGCGGTTATTGAAGAATCATTTCGGTAAAATTTTTATCAAGTACCGGTTAATTGGAAAACTAATTTTCTTATTGTCTTGATTTAATCACATAAATTCAACTTTAACTGTGTTACTGGTGTAAATTCTAATTAATTTTTCTTGTTTGAAATCATTTAAAATGTTCCTAGTGCAAGAAATTTTATCGGTATAAAATATACTTTGGAAAAACCGGTGTAATTAAAATTTTATGATGCTTCAGATCTTTCCAACAGATGGTGTAGTGGTACAGACTTCAGCTTGAAGTTGTGCATGTAGGAGTTAATAAATGTTTGAAAAGTTTTGTGAAATTTTTTAAAACAAAATCTTTTTATGCATATCTTATTTAATCAATTAACTAATCTCAATTAAAATAAGTTTTTATCTATACAACTGACTTTAATTTCTCTACATTTTCCACTAATATTCTCACATTTTCCTCTCCTGATTGTACACCTCACTTGATCATTTAAATGCCCGTCCAGCTCATTGTTATCTCAGCTGACACGGGCAGCAACTAAATTCAGCCTTCATTCCAAGTGTGATTTTCCCAGTTTTTATCAATTTTGGACGGCCGGCCGACGTGAGAGGGCCACGTCATGGACGGCAAGTACAACGCCAAAAGCCCTGGTAATTTCCGTTTAAAATTTCCGTCACTAATTATAAGAACAAAACCTACAATTTTCAGCCGTGAAGCGCATTATGCGCGAGGCCTGCGAGTTGCAGGCGGCCACGGACCACTACTGGGCGAGGCCGCTCGAAGACAACTTGTTCGAGTGGCATTTCACGGTCCGAGGGCCTTCGGGCACGGACTTCGAGGGCGGCCTTTACCACGGGCGCATCCTTCTGCCTCCAGAGTACCCAATGAAGCCGCCAAACATCATCTTGTTAACGGTGTGATTTTTATTTCTGTATTTTATGATCAGACTCAGATCATTTCAACTTACTTTTCATATTAAATAATAAGATGATGGACATATTATTTTTTCAATTGACATTCAAAACATTTATTTTTGTGTAATGTCAACGTCATTTGTCACTGCTTTGTGACCTACTAAAATGTTAATTTGATGCACTTTGTTGGTCGCGCTTTTATTAAAATGTGCTTCCTGGATGATGAAACTTCAGTTTTTTTACAATGTTAACACAAATAATAATATGTCATTTTTTTTATTTGTCTTAAGTAAAAAATTAGGTTATTCTTGAATATAAATTGTATTATTAATTTCAGCCCAGTGGTCGTTTTGAAGTCAACAAAAAGATTTGCCTGAGCATCTCAGGGCACCACCCTGAGACCTGGCAGCCATCGTGGTCCATCCGCACCGCCCTGCTGGCGCTGGTGGCCTTCATGCCCTCGGACGGCCAGGGTACAATAGGCGCCCTGGACTACACGCCCGAGGAACGCCGCGTCTTGGCCAAGAAGTCGGCCAACTGGAGCTGCAGCCAGTGCGGCCACATTGCGGGGCATTTGGCCTCCGAGGAAGAGGCCCAGCCGCTCTCAAGCGAGGAGAGTGAGCTCGTCGGACAAATCACCTTCAAGGAGGAGGACCCAGCACAAAATTCTTCAGCTCAGAATTGGTAAATTTGAAATTTAAAGTAAATTTTATATTTTTTCCCATTTTTTTCAATCAATATCAATTATTTAATAAAAAAGGTTATTTAATTGAGCAAAAAAAAAACCCTTAAGTATCACTTGGGGTGAATGCAATGAACGTGCCAGAGAGAAAGTCGTTTTGGACTTTGGCTTTTTGATAGAAGGTGCTATTGTTGTTTGATCGACATGATATTTTGATAAATCATTTTTATAATTACGGCGGTGACCTTGTCCATTGAGATTTTAAGATTTTAAGAATGTTTAGATGGTTTCAAAAATTGGCTTATAATTTTATTTTATCTAAAAATGTTAACTTGGTCCAAAATTATTGTAGTTAATGAAAATGAGAACATATAATTAAGATCGAACTTTCAAATATCTTCCCCTGCTTTTACCCAACGCACACAAAATGATGGTTTACCCTGTAATTTATTTAATTATTTTTTTTTAGAAGTTCTGAAAACTCACTTAACTCACAAAAACCATCGACGAAAAGCTTAATCTAAATTCAAATCACCATGAATCAACCCTCGATCGTGAACTTCTACTCTAAAATTATGAAAACTATAGTTTAAATTTTATTAAATAACAAATGAAAAATTTAAATCATTTTCATTTTTGTTGAGAGGAATTGGAATCGTTTTATTTTTGGTGTCTTGATTAGTTAAAAAAAAATTTAGAACAACCAGACAATTTAAATTTATAAAAATGATAAATTTGAAAATATTCATTTATTTTTTTGTTATTTTAGTCTTATTTATTTTATAAATGGTTAAAATGATACAATTTAAAGTTCCATGTTTTTGAAACTTGATCGGTTTATAAATTTTTTCAGTCAAATTGGTCCTGCCATGGAGCCGGAAGCGCTGCAGCAGCAAACGGAGCAAGCGGCCGCCGACAGTAGTGTCGCTGGAAGCCAGGCCGTGATTCTGGGCCTGCTGGTGGCCATCGCCCTCCTCCTCTACCGGAGGATGTTCCTGCTCGAGTGAGCCCTTAACCTTTTCATTATTGTGAGAGCAGAGACCAAAGATTCGCTGCCAACCAATAATTGATTCCACTTATTGATTATTTGCAGCCAGTGAAATGATTACTCGATTCAAGCACACATGTGATTATTCAATAGTTAAGAAATGTATAACTTTACAAATTATAGAGGTGAATAAAAACAAACAAAAATGGCATTTAGAGTGAGGACCACAATCAAAGCCATTCATTTCCGAATGCCCTGGAATCGTTGGTAATAAATAAAATGTTTCCTCGTTCTATAAATTAATGTATTTATTTAATAAAAATTACTAAAATTACATTGGGAGTAAACAAGGGAGTAGAAAATCTTCAATGCTTAGGGTCTGAGGCTCAAAGGAAATTTGCATAAAAATATCTTCTTTTTTTAATTTGCAAAATTTTAAAAGATGCTGTCCAGCTCAGACCATCCGGCATTTCACAATAAATTGTAGCAGCGTCTAAAAGTAATAAAACTGCTGCGTGATCGCTTAATTTGTACATGGAATTTTTTTCACAAAGTCAGTCAACTAACAAAATCAAAACGCCTCGAATCGAGAGGCGCCGTCCCGCAAAAAAATAGAACCATTCGAAAGAGTACTTTTCCTGGAGGTAGGACAGTCCGTCGTAGCTCTTAAAATCTAAAAATATACGTACCGAAGACTCTCCTGAAGTAGTAATTAAAATGCATTTTACACAAATTGATAATAGACGCCTTTCCAGGTAAATGCAAAACAAACAAAAAATGAGGAATGAGGGCTAAAAACTATTTTCAGCAATCAACCGTCGACATGAGTATATTTGGCATTAATTGCTCTGTAATTTTTAATTGTCTGGGGAAAAATGAAGTAAAAATTGTGACAATTATGGAGAATGAAAATGTATGATCAGAGTTTGGCATCAAGTAACCTGAAATGGCTAATTCTTCTCTTCTATTTTTTTCAATTACTTTGATTTATATAATTAAATTACTCGTCGGACGATTTTGAAGAATTCGCTGTCGAAAAGAGGTCGGCGATGTGATAGACCTCGGTGCGGTAGTCGACGTTGCTGCTCTCCTGCGCCTCCTCCTGGTCCGCGTCCGTCTTGATCCAGTAGCCCGGCCACAGCCTGATCTCCTCCTCGTTGGTCTCCTCGGCGGCCAGCGTCGTGGCCGCCTGTTCGTACTCGGGCCAGGCCGTCGAGGTGGACATTTGGGAAGTGCCGGTGGATTCTTGCGTGGTCGGAGCGGTGGTCGAGAGGGTGGTGGTTGTGGTTTGCAAAGTGGAAGAAGTGGTGGAAGAAGAGGAAGAAGTGTTGCTGGACGCCAAAGGGGCGGCACTCGTCAGAGCGAACAGCAGCGGCACAAGGCACAAAAGTGGCGAACACCTCGCGCAGGTCATCGACATTTTGGCTGCTTTTTGCTGCTCTTGTCTCGGGACAACTTGATTACAATGCTTTCCCTGTCAACAGATTGTTAATGGCAATTAATATTCGTACGGGGAACTTGCAGGTGGTAAAAAAATAAAAACGTGTTGTTTGTGTTGCCGATGCTTATGAAATATTTTAGGTTAAAATTTCAAAGATATGAAAATTTGGCAAAAAAATGATAGTTTAACTAAAATATGAAATGAATTGAATCAATTGAAATGCAGATTTTGAATAAATTAAGACGAAATACCCTTAATAAAGTAACATAGTAAAAAATTTTAAGAATAAAATTATAGTAATATCAAAATTTTAAAAGAAATTAAAACTTTTCTAAAATTCAAATATACTCAGCTATTATATGGTTTATTTAAAATTCACTTCATTTGCAATCTTTAAAAAAATTCACTCTTAACTTATAAAAAAATAAAAATGAATAAAAATAAGAGATTTTTGTTGAACATTTTGGGAAGCGTTACAAATAAATAACTAATTAATAATTAAATTTGTAATAATTAACATTAAAACTGAGTTAAAAGTCAAAATAAATATTTACAATTTTTTGTTTTGGCATTTTAAATTGCTCTTACATAACAATGAGCCGCTCGGAATAAGAATTTGAAGCATTCATTTGATGAGATAATTGCTGGGGGATTCCTTATACGGAAAGCAATGAAACCAACAGAGCCCGGATTGAATGGAAATTTTTAAGATTCTCGCCGTAAAACGCAAAGTCTGCTTCTCTTTTATTCGGTGGCAAAAACGCGCGGCGGCGGAGCGACGAAAATTTCCACCAGGCAGAGCAAGAGCGGTTTTTTTTCACCTGCTTAGTCGGAATCAATAATAAAAATGATCGAGACCGGCCGGCTCCTTTTATTGCCATCGAAAAATCGAATAATTGTGCAGGCCGACGAGCTGCATGCGAGAGAAAGAACTGAAGGGTTCATATTGGTTCGTCTCTTCTCGTATACGTGGAAAATCGGCGCAAAAAAGCCGCAATTAACAATGCGAGCAGGGCCGGGGTCATCGAATTTCGTTCAGCGAAAAGTGAACGCGCTGCTCGTTGACGCCGAGTCGCCGAATTAATTGACAACAAGAAGTAGAAAATAAATGTATATATATATGAAGTGGGGACGACAATATATAATGAAATATAAAACGCGCGGTGGGCACGAAAGTGAGAAAGTGACCGGAGAAAAACACTCGGCCCCGGAATGGAAAACGCGTCCGCGCGAGAGAGCAAACATGACGAGAATGCGAATTAGAATATAAAAGAGCAAAAAAGAAAACCAGCTCCCGCACGCGCAACGAAAGAAAAATCAGCAAACGCAAAAACACGTCCTCAATTTCTTCGCTATGAGTAGAAAAAGCAGCTTTGGCCAAAAATAGGAATCTGCAGAAACTGTTTTGGCGCATAATTCGCGGCAGCCGCCGGGGTCGCAACAGCAAAATTAAGAACCTTTGTTTGTGACGCAAAACGGAGCGCGCGATTTTTATTTTATATATATGATTTATTAATAAGTTGCGCGCGGCACAAACACACTCACGCGCGCTTACTGCAATCTGAATCAGCTCGCAGCAATTTCCTTTGTGAATAAATGTTTAGCCAGGCATGTGCGCTCGGCCAGCGAGCAATGAATGAGGAAAATTCCTTCGTGTGCCCTCGATTGACTGAGAAAGAAAGATTCATCTCGCGCTGTAAATTACTTTTCTCCGGCAAATAAAAGTTTATGAGATCCACGAACAGAAAAATCAAAGAAGAAAAGCAAATTGGACAAAAACCCAAAATGCAATTAATTTGGTTTTTTATTTTTTCGTCAAAAAAGATTAACAATTAATTAAAAAAATTCATTTGCGGGAATCAGGGAAGTTTAACTGAATAATTAAAGTATAAAAATTCAATTTTATAGAGAATTTAATCAGGAATCGATGAACTTTATAAAAATTTGAATGCTTGCAATTGCACCTGAAATAAGGGTGGTGAAAATGAAATTGGTCTCACTTGGCTGCTGCGGATTGTGGTCACAGGAAGGGTATCCCTTGTTGGAGGTGCTTGCAGGTCGAGTCCTGGCCGCGGAATAGAGAAGAGAAAGACGACCGGCCGGACAAACGCGAGGCTCGCGGCAGGGTCTGTTGGTGGTGGGGGGTCGCCCGCTTTCACCCTCACCGCCCTTTCGCTGGTCACTCACCCTCAAGTTCATTCAAAGAGGTGCAAAAAAGTTACTCAAACTAATCAATTTCTTCAAAAAATAAATTTCCAACAAAATGAATATTAAAATTTTATATATTTTACTTTTGAAATACAATTTTTCGCAAAATTTGGTGGGAAATCTTATGTTTTTTTTTATAAGGCCGTAGCTCCGTAAACACCCAGGTCGCGATAAGACGAGGACCACTCGGGGCGGCTCGCCTGTCTTTTGAGAGTTTTCAGCCGAAAAAATATACACTACCGTATGTGTTAAATTTTTTTACTCGTTTTTCTTTCAGTAAAAATATAATGTATGGCTGTGGGGGTCGGTGGGCTGATTTTCGGGCGCAATTATGCGCGGCATGCGCGCCATAAAAATTCCTTCGCACGAAACGGAGCCGCTTTTCTGTGAAACTGCATCCTTTGGTCGTGACGGCGCCGGCGGCGGCCGCGATGAATTTGCATTTGTTGAGCGGCGATCGCGAGCGAGGCATTATGGCGGCCGGCAGCAAGTTCGAGCGGCTCGTGGCCCACCACCCCTGCGGCGACCTGGTGCACCCCTGGCCCGGGGCCACCTGCCGCTCCGAGTTCCTCCTCATGGGCCGCGACGGCGCCCTCGGCACCACCCCCTACATGCTCATCTTCTTCCTGGTCAGTTTTTTTCCATTAGACTTTTATATATAACAAAAAAAAACTTGCTAAAATTAGAAACTTTTAACCCTTTTTTCCAAATTCAGGCCAAATTGGTCGTCGGCGGCGCCAAAGGGAAGGCCCTGAGGGAGGAAATCAATCGGCTGCCGCTCAAAATAGTCAGGGTCAGTTTGCTGGGGGCCACCCTGGCGTCAGGAATCGTCGGTTCGATTTGCGGTTTCAGGTGAGATTTTTTTCTTATTTATAACTTTTAATTCTTTCAAATTTCAAACCATTCTTGGAGACTTTTCTGTTCCGATTGTGAAATCTTTTGGTCTTTTTTTCCTCAATTTTTTTTAGCGCTTTTGCGTAGTGATTATTACGTGTGTTTTGAAAATGAGGTAGGCTCCGCGTAAGCCGCGGCCTCCAAGGATAATGTTGCATTGGGCGAAAACGCCGCGCTCTCGTTTGATGAGACTGCAACTTTGTTTCCTGTCCGTCACCTCGCGCGCTCTGTGTGCATTACTTATGAATTATTTCTGCTGCTCTCTCCATACGTGATGCATCAATAATAACATTTCGCATTTATATGACTTCTTGATCTATAAAAAGCTCATTACCCATTATAATCGTTTATGCTAATGAAACGTTTTATTATGATATTCTCCTTCCTGCGTGCGTTTAATTAGGAAGGATTGTATTCATGCGGGGACGACAAGCATTAAATTTGAAAGAAAAAGACAAGTTCAAAAATTTTAATTACAAAATTAATGAGTAAGTGAAATGAGAACAAATAATGCAAGCGTTAAAAATATAAGTCTCTCGTGATCTTCGAAAATTTCTTATTCAATTATTTTTAATATCAGTGAAAAATAATTATTTCTAACAATTTCAATGAAATTCTGCAGATGGATTGCATACATGATCTTTAATAATATTTTTTAACAAAATATACATAAATCTACAATTAATGTTCCATTTTTACTTATGATTATTATTTATGGTTTTTTTAAATTATCAATTACGCTCCAATTAAACTTATATAATATTATGCCATAAATACATAAATTAATGAAACAATCAACGCAATCACCATTGATAAAAAAATAATAACATGAGCAAATTTAATCAAGCATTGTTAATTTTAATAAAAATTTATAATTTTTTTATTTTTAATTATTTATTTTAGTCACATTTTAATTAATAATTTTTAATATATTTTAGTTAAAATTTATTAAGTTATGAATGAAAAAAAAAATAAAAAACAGAGTTATTTGGAAATTATTAATTTCAATTGTTAGCCAAAGTGATAAATTCAGTAAAAGATGAATATTAAAAATGTCTCACTCGATGACTTTGAGTCTGAAGTATTCTTATGATGTCTTGAGTGCCCCAGGAGGTTCAAAAATTGTCCACCTAATTTCGCCGGCTTCAATTTTTCCATTGACATTCTAAGTAATGTTAATTCTATTAGACACAGTCTCTGCAGGGAGATTGTAAAGTAATAGGCAAATATTATTTACACGGAGAGGATACATTGTTGCGTAATTTCCGTTGCGCTTTTTGTGAATCTCAAAACGGGTTTGTTGAAACGTTAAATGATTAAATCGATTGAATAAAAAATAGAACAATGAAACAAATATTTTTATTAAAAAAACTTGTTTTCTTATAAAAATAAAATAAGGCCGTTTGCTATTTTCTACATTTTTTAATATAGATAATTAAAATTATATTTGAGACCGAACCACTATAAAGAACCGGCTGAGATAGTTTTGGGAGGCGCCGAATCCAGTAGCTAAAGATAGCCGCGATGGATTGATTTATGGCCGAGATGAGAGGTGTGTGTGTGCCATTAGAATACAAAGGCGCATCTGCGCGCAAGAATTTCTCCTTTGATGAAAATGATTGCCTGTTAAACGATAAAAGAGTTGTTGGCAATTGTGATCCTCGGCGTCTATTTACGATCACAGAGGACCCCCTAATTCGTCGGAATGCGGAACAGAATTTTTCCAAAATCGGTCTGCTTTAATTGAATGGCATCGAACGTACAAAAGATAACAGTCGGTCTCTCGAGCGCATTATGTCAGTCACAGAGAGAGGCTCTTCAACAAAAACAGTTCCTTTTGAAAGAAAAATTCTTCGCGAAAATTTATTTAGGTAATTTAAATAATCAAATTAATATACACAAAGTAGAAAAATAAAAATTGTCTCTAAAGTTACTAAGAAAAAAACTCTAACGCTGCTCCATTTTTTCCATTGATTGCTTTATTTTTTACCAAAAGGTTTTATTAATGTTTTATTAATCGAGGAAAATATTTTCAATGTTTTATCATTCCTCACCAAAATAGAAGAAATGTAATTGAAATTAAGGCAAATGCAACGTGTCTTTCAAAATTAGTTTTTTTTTATTTGATTCTATTAATGCGCGTAAATGGTAACATAATTTTTTTTACTAAACTGTAATTTTAATTTAGAAAATATGAAGAATAAATCAACAAAATTAAAAAAAGGAAACTTTGCACAATGTAAACAAATTTGTAAATTTAAATAAAAGTATTTTTTTTATCAATTTATATTTTTAAAAATGAAGGAAATCCCCAATGAATCACCTGATTGCATACTCCACAAATCTCCTTGACTGGCATCGTGCGTTTTCCCATGGAAAATCGAGGAGAATCTCATATTCGGCGGGATTCCCGGTTTTCGCGACTTCTTTCGGAATTTCCGCTCGACACGATCGATTTGCGCGCAAAAGAATAACCGAGGATTTTTTTACCACCGCCTCTGAACAATGAGAGCCAAATGATGTAGCGGCGGCCGCGGCCAATTTGCTTCGCGGGGGAAAACGCGTGGGCGGGGTAATCTGGGGGCACAATGGCCCTGGGTGATTCATGGGCCAGGTGCTCCGGTTTGACTTTTATAATAGCTCGCTTGCGCGCGGCGGCGGCGGCGGCGGCTCGCGGTTTGTGTTGTTTTTCAATTTCACGCCACTCACTGGAGGCCGAAAAATTCCTCGCATCGCTCGCATTCCTCGCATCCCACGAGAGAGTGGTCCAGAATCGACGGCTATTATATCGAGCAACACACACACTCAACAGTCCGGCTCCGCGAGAGATGGCTGATTTACAACTAATGAGCAAACGCATGGAATGCCTCGTTTTTATTTAAATGTCGTGCCAGGTTCGTCTCTTGAATGGGCCGTGACATCTATTTAGTTGCAAAAATACAAATATGCTATGAAAAGATTTAAATTTTATCCTAACTTACGCTTTATTTGTGTTAATTTAAAAAAAAAATTAAAAATAGAAATTTAGGCAGACATGAATTCCACCCACAACAAAGTTGTAAATTTTTGGAGATTTCAATGAACGAAATTAATGAAAATAAAACTGAATTTGTATATGATCATTAAAATTTAAAGAAATTGCCAAAGTCAGTATTTTTTGTTAAAATATCAATTTTTAATGAATTCTATTGAGTGAGGATGACAAAAGCCATATTTTATTTGTTTCCAATTTAAATGCATTAAAAATAAATATTTCTTCAATAATCATAAAGACCTTTAAAGATCTTTGTTTAAAGCAACTGGTTTCTCGGGAATAATTATTATTATCGCAGCAGCCTGCAATCAAGGCAGTCTCGTTCGTGCACATACCGACCGAGAGCGAGTTGTGATTCAGCGCCGTCTCGTTTAGATCTCTTTCCATTTATTTTGCTGCTTGGCTCGTTTTTAATTTCGCCAGCATCCGGATCCAAATTCCGAACAAATGCGATTTATATTTGGCCAAATCGCGCTCTCTATCAAAACACACTCGATTTATATTTGTTGCGCGAAAAAAGCGCCAAGTCCGGGTTCGGCGCGGAGGAAAAAATATATAAGCCAGCGGACGCGCGGCTCGCCGAAATAATGATATTCCGGCTGATGTAATAATATATCAAGCCGGCGCTAACTGTATTTGCACAATTCCTCTGCAGCTTTTATTGGCAAAAAGAGAAGTAATTTGCGATTCGCACGCAACCCGCGTGCCTGATGTTTTTAATAAATTACATCTTCCAAGAGCATGAATATTTCTTTGAATGCAAAAGAGAGAAGAGATTGATGATATTCTTTGTTTTTAATATTTATTTTTTTATTTCAAATCTTCTAGTCTCCTTCAAATAGTTTAAAAAAAGAGCCTGATTGAATTCAAAAATTAGCACAAGAAAAAATGTATAAGTTAAACAAAATATATTACCATCGTCAGTTTATAAATTATTCTTGATTATAAATAAATTTAATTTTTCTAGAAAGAAATTTTTAACGGTACTAAACTTTAACTTCTTTTATCAATTTTAAAAAAGGAAAAAATTATTATTATTATAATTGAAGAGTTCAATACCTTGTTCTGCAGGTGGTTGTTTGGCCGATTCCGCTGGTGGTTTGTGGGTCTCGGTCCTGGATCTGTGGCTGGTCTTTTGTCTATCCTGACGCAAGATATTTCCGAAGTTCGCACATTCGCCTCCTACTTTTATGTTGCTGTAAGGACTTTTAATTTTTTTTCTTACATGTTACAATGGAAAAACCCGAAATTTAGAGGGTTTGTAGGCAAAATAGTTGCATACTTTTACACGTCGGCTTTGGACATAAAATAACGGATTTTTTTTTTAATGTTTTATACAATTTTATAATACAAATTTGAAATTTATCTTAAATCGATTGCATTTAAAAGAACAATAATTTATGTAAATCAAAATTAATGAAAATTACAAAAAGTCATTGATTTATATTATTTGCAACATTTTTAATAAAAATAAATGTAAAAAAATCACTCAGAAACTTGTGCGATTTCAGGTCTTTTAAAATTTTTGCTAGTTTTCAATGCTAATTCGGGTGTCGATATTTTTAAAATTTTATAATTCCAGCAGATTGGAAGCTCAGAAACCATTTTCAATAATCAACTTAATTGCACAGCCGGTCGTGTAAACGTTTTTGGTGGTTTTATTTTTTATTTCTAAAATTGCTGAAGTTTTATTTTTAATTTCAATATTAAGTGTATCTCTTGAAAAATTGTACGTTTTAATATCAAAATTAATTGCAATTCAGGCGGTGGAATATGGAGTTCGGAAGGTGATTTGGCGGCGGAAGAGGATGCTGGTGCTGGAAACGGCGCTTTTCAGCGCTTTGAGCGCGGCCTTGGTGCGGCTGCAGCACCTGAGCAAACCGACCTCCCTGCCGTGGTTTTTCTACCCGGAAAAGTGTCCAGCGCAGTCCGAGAAGGAGCATTCGGTGGCCTGCGTGGACCACGGGGTGCGCGGCGCCGCCCGGCTCGCGACTTTCGGCGCCATTCTGGGCGGCCTGCGCGTCGTCGTTCCTCTGGCCCGCGACCTGCTAAACCGGAGGCCCGTCGGCGGCGGCGCCCGATCGGCGGCCGCCTCCGCCTGGAGCTTCCCGGCCTTCCTGGCCGCCTACGTGGCCCTGCAGCGCTGGACGCGGTGCCTGGTGGCGCAGAACAGGGGCCGCGACGATGGAACGGCCGCGGCCGTTTCAGGGGCCGTCGCCGGCCTCTCGTACCTGCTGCACCCCTCTCTCTCCATTTTGGCGGCCGCCCTCGCCTCCATCGGCCAGCTGGCGGTGCAGGACAAGGTGTCCGGCCGGTGGTGGCCGCACTTGGTGTTCGGCCTGTCCACAGGGTGGATGCTGCACGCAAGACTCAACGAGCCGGACCACATCTGCCCTCCGTTTGCCAGAATTATTTTCACCGAGTGTACCAGGGCCAGGTAAGTTTTTGAAATTCTTAAATAAATTGAGGAAAATTCAGCACAAATTAAGTCAAACATAAAGAAACATTTGAATTTTTGGTTCATATTTTCTCTTTAAAAGAGTTGTTAAAAAATCATAGAGCTCTCTGCAATATTAGTCGTTCAGGGCAAAAAATAAAAATTTAAAACGTTTTTCATTATAACTGGCAAAATCCAGCATTATATTTCGTATAATTGCATTGACACTGCACAAGATTTTCTCAGCAAACTTGATAATTATCCATTCAGGTACCCAAACATTTTCATTTTTTTAAATAATTCACATTTATCATCTCTGAATTCAAGCAACGGTTTACTATTTACAACAGAACCTTGATAACAAGATTTTATATAAATCATTCATTTTCTCATCAATAAAAGTGATCTTTTAATATAGAACTTCACAGCCTTCAAGATTGCCTGTTTCTTCGATCTAATGACAAAATAAATTTTCTGTTTCCAGAGCCGACAGAATCATCGACGACTACAAAAACATTCTGCAACTGAACAAGTAGTTTTGAAGGCAGAGCTGCACTAATTCACATTGCGATTATTGCTCATAAGAAAGGCCAGTTCACTGGGAAAAAATATCAACATTTAGACACAAATTTCAACAGCATCTGCCTCTCTTGGGAGCAACGTTAAACAAGCAAACCTTAATCAGAAGTGAGAAGCACATCGGCGGCGGAGATTGAAACGACACAATTTGCATGGCAAATAAAATTGCAAAGGTTCATAGACGTTTTATTCGACAAAAATCATCGAGAATCACAGAAGTGGGGGCGTGGCCCAGAGTCCGGACGGAGTATCACGGCGCAGCGGCGGCGGCAGACTAGTCGTGGGCAGGGCTGGCGGGGGCCGCGAGGCCCCCGCCCGACCGTCACACGTAGACAGGACCCTGCGCTGTGCTAGGGTCGTGCTCGGCATCAGGCGGCATGACTGGCAATCGAGGGTACGGAGGTCCGCCGCCGCCGTCGTCGAAGAAGCGCCGGAAGGTGAACTCGAAGAAGCCGTGGAAGGGCCGGTTGAAGTCCTGGTCGGAGTCGCTCGAACCGCCGCCGCAGCTGCTGCGCACCTTGTCGGCGTCGATGTCGTCAAAGTTGGACGTGTCGGTCGGGTTGTCCAGGTGAGGCACAAACGGCGCCTTCTGCGAGCGCAGACCCTTGTCGAAGTCGATCTCGCGGAAGAAGCCGTGCGCCTTGACCTCGCACGCGTTCTTGCCCAGCCGCTGCTCTGGAGAGGTGCACAGTTTCAGGATCAGGTCACTCGCCTCTGGAGACAACTGGGCCTGCTCCGGTATGTGCAGCGTGTCCTGCCAGTGGATCACCTGTGGATTCCCAATGATTTTTGTTTAAACATCTGTTAATTGTCAATTTGAATTTGTATCGATTTCTGAATTAAATTTCTCTTTAAGTAATATTTATGTTTTTAGTCCGCTGATAATAAAATGCAATGGACATTTAAACCCAATAATGCGGAATACAAAGTGAATGATTCAGTCGATAAAGTTTTAAATACACACCTTGTATTGTGTATGTTCAGGTGTGTTGGCAAGGAATGGTGGCTGCCCGACGAGCATTTCGTAGAGAATGACGCCGACACTCCACCAATCGCACAGCTGCGTGTAGCCCTGTCTCAAGAGGACCTCTGGTGCGATGTAATTTGGCGTGCCCACGAGCGAATGGGCCAGGCAGCGCTGGTGTTCACGTTTGCGCCGCCTCTCGAGCGGTTTCATGGGGTTGTTGCATCGGCACTCATTGCTCCAACCTTCCGCGTGGTCCATCGAGTCTTGCCGGCCGTGTTCACCTTTAAAATTGACATGAGTTTTTTTTTAATGGTTGGTTATAAATTCTCACCATTCCGCTGGTAATATTTGGAGTTGTGCGTCCAACGGAATCCGGTGCAGAGACCAAAGTCGGTCAGTTTGATGTGGCCGTCCTTGTCAATGAGGATGTTGTCAGGTTTGATATCACGGTGTATGAAGCCCATCTTGTGCACGCTTTCAACAGCGCAAGTTAACTCGGCAATGTAAAACCTGCAAAAAATGATTCTCGATCAGATTTGCACTCTGGGGCTTCTGAGCAAAGTCAATGACAAGGTGAATTTTCGCAATCCAGACAAATCCAATTTACTCAAGTTCGTCTGGTATCTTATAACATCCAATTGAAAGAAGCAAATAAATCCGTGCATTTAAATTATGGCAAATAATAATACTAATATATCTTGAATTGTAATATATAAATGGATCCATACAATTTTTGATTCATCATACCTTGCGAGTAGCTCATCAAAAATTCCCTTTTTGATGAGAAGAGACATGAGGTCGCCGCCAGGAATGTAGTCCATCACAAAGTAGAGGTTGTCCCTGTCCTGGAAGCTGTAGTACAGCTTGACGACCCACTCGTTATCAGCTTCGGCCAATATGTCGCGCTCGGCCTTGACATGGGCCACCTGGTTGCGCTCGAGCACCACTGCCTTGCGCAGGGTCTTCATAGCGTAAAGATGCTTGGCGTCGATCTTGCGCACGAGCGCCACTTCTCCAAAGGCGCCGCGTCCGATCACCTTGATCTTGGTGAACATGGACTTGTCCATCTTGGCGCGCTTCAGTCGGATGTAGTTGGACTCTTTCTGGTACAGCAGCTTGCGCATCAGGTTCTGGTCTTCCGGTTTCAGACCAACTTTGCTCATTTCGTTCTCGAGCTGCCGACGGCGCATCAGCCGCTCGTGGTAAGACTTCATCACATTTTCTATGTGCTGCTCCATGTAAAACTTGAACGCTTGTGGAGAATAATACCTGGAAAAAAATTAAAAATTTCAATTAAAATTTGTTGAATAAAAAAATATTAGATAGATTTTTTTAAAAAAGGTAAGTTCATGTCGGGCAATAATGGGAAATATTTCATCACATTGAGTTAAAATCACGCGTCAATTTCATCACAAAGTTTCCAAGAACAAGTAAAGCTAGAATGATTCATGCCCCGTGCCATTTATTGAAAGGTCGTTCAACGCAATACGCTTGCATGTCAATAAACAGCTCAGTCGCCGCACGCTACGAACGAAACCCAAACTAACACAAATTAAAATCCTTTCCTTCCTCAACCATAGTTTATAACTATGATGACTAATAATTTCTGTATGTTCAAAAGAACAAAAAATTGTAACAAGAGAATTTTTCATAGAAATTAAAATGAAAAATATTGTTTTTACTCACTTGACTTTACTGGTTCGTCTCTCCTCCTCCTTTTCCTTGCTCATCCGCTTCCGCTCTGGTATAGGAGATTCATGGTCATACTTTTCTCTGGACGTCTCTCTTGAAACGTTCTCCCTTGGGGGTGGCACAATGGTGGGGGGCTCTCGACTTGAGGACATTTCCCGGGGACTCGGCCTGGGGGCGGCAACCGAGTCGGTCGTACTGGCAGTCGGAGGCTGCCTCTGAGCGGCCAGGGCCTGCATGGTGATGGCGTAGCTGGGGGGCTCCGTCGTGGGCGTTTTGGGGTACGGGGGCGGCGTGGGCGGTTGAGGCCTCATCGCGTACGATGGGGGAGGAGGGGCAGTGGCGGTTTGCAGGACGGGCTTTTGCACTTGGGTGGACTTGACCGACTGCATGATTATGGGCGTGGTGGCCTGTCTGGCCGCACCCCAGGCGGCCATCGGCCGAGCCACCTGGCCAGTGGGGCTGCACCGGACGGAGGCCTGGTACGACGGGGGCGGCTTGGGGGTGGGCGAGCCATTCAGCTGCATCCCATACGCCATCTGTTGCGCCAAGGCCACCGGACTGGTGCCTCTCGGCGACGTCCTTTTCATGTGCAGCTGGCTGCGGTAGTCGGGCGGAGGCGGCACTGGGGGCGGCGGACTCGACGAAACGCATCTCGGAGGTGGCACGGGCGCTGTTTCAATGGGCGAGTACTGCCGCCCTAGAGGAGAGTGGTGCCCTCCTTGCTCGGAAAAGGGCGGTGCTAGTCGGGGACTGTCCGAACGAGAGCTGCCGGCCCCACTGTCCACAGCAGGACTGCCACGGTGACTCTCGATGCTTGGCTTCCGGATGAGCCTCAACCGCGTGTCCTGCAGCAATTCCAAGGCACTCTCCAGCCGCCCACCTGTCTGTTTCAGTGCTCGCTGTGCAATATCCTACAACATTAAAAAATTCATTAAAGGATAATTTATTATTTCAATTATTTAAACAGTGAATTATAAATTAATAGCAGGATTTGCACCTGAAAAATATATTCTCTCAAATTAAAAAGTCATCTATGTATGATATTCACCCTTTTATCTTTAAATTACTATTAAAAAAAATTAATATTTTTTATGCTTCATTACATAGCAATTGAAAATTTAACGTTATAAATCTGTTGATTTCCACTCTTGAGGTCACTGGGAAATATCAACAGGTGTTGCACAACTACCCGTTGAGGTCACCAGTGGAATTTCAACATTTACGACTCCTTGGATTGAAAAAAATGAAATTGAATTGTCCAAGTCACCTCATGGTATCCAAGGTTGAGGAGCTGAGTGACGTAGTCGTTGTTCGAGCTGGCGGACGAGACGCCCGACGTACTGGACAGCAGGCTGATGGTGGAGGCGGCGCTGGAGGCGGTCTCGCTGTTGGCGAAGGGCAACAGCGAGTTGCGGATCTCGGCCAGCGCCTTCTGGTTGTACGCTCTCGACTTGTTAGGCATCGCCGGACGTGCGGCGGTCGGCGGCGGCGGCTGCATGCGCGCCGCATCTGCTCCTCCGCGGACCAACACGGCTGCTGCTCACCAAACAACCTGCGAACCACAACTGTGTCACTACCATTGCTCAATCGAAACAGCCTCTGCCGCCCTCGAGTTGCTCTCGGAGGCGGCGGGGGCGGTACTGGAGGCCAGTCAGCCGACTGACAAAAGTGCCGGGGGACCCGAAGGCCCACCAACGGCCCAAAATGTGCCTTCGGCGGGCTCGGCCGCCATCTTGAAGTGCCACACTCAAGAGGCGGAGGACGGTTTGGAGGCTGTGCCGCCTCCGAGCCGCCCCCGAATCATTTACTTTGAATACTCACGTGAAGTGAAGACGAGGGGCTTCGCTTTGGAACGAAGTTCGGCCCGAAAACGGGCATTTTCGGGGCGCAGGCCACTAAGGGAAACGCGAGCGAGCGCTCCGACCAACGGGACAGCGAGCTCAGGAATGCGAGCCAAGGGGGCTCAACAGAGGACTTTTTCCCAAGGGCCAAAGTCGGCGGAGAGAGCCTTCGGAAATGTCCCGAATCACTCACACGCTTGTCGGAGGTGTCGATTTATCATGAGAAGTGAACAGCTTGCAAAGGACTCCGATTTTGGGCGAAAACATTGAAATTCCAAAGTGTGTAATATTTAAACAGGAGCCGCCATTGTTAGTTTCACTAATTTGCATATTTCCCTGCAGATGGCGTTCTAGTCAGCCCAACTGCCCGTGGACAAAAAATTCCAGTTTTTTTAATGAAGTAATCGGTAATCGCCAAGAAAAATTGACCAGAAATTTTCAAGATACCGGTAACCGACGTGTTTTTAACCGGTTTCTTTTCGCAAAATCCAATTCGTCCTTAGTGCGCCGGCGCATAGGCCGATCCCACACCACAACACGGGGCCACGGGCAAAATAGAAAAACAGATTTGCAGGCAGACTGAAGGGTGAGTATAAATATGCAAAAATTATATAAGCCGAAAAAAATTGAAATTAATTTAATTTGGGCCTACAGAAGCTTGAATCGCAAAAAAATTCAAATCCGAAGTCATGGGGAATGCCGCAAGTCGAGTCTTCAACACGGCCACCAAAGGTTTACGAGATTTCAATGTTGAAAATCGAGCTCATCGAGTTATTTCGCGTGACAAACCAAAACCCGCACCACGATACCCGGCAGACGAAAGAGAATTGGAGAGAATCGTCAAAGGTGAATTTACTGGATCAAAAACATTTGGCAAAAAAGTAAAATGATTTCTTTGTAGAACACCCGGAGGTCTTGTTAGAGCAAACAAAAAAACTGACTGACTTGGACAAAAGACTGAAAACAGTTTTCGTCGTTTCCCACGACCCAGAGCATGACGTTAAGCAGCAACCTTCCTCAAATCGACCTTTACCTGTGGCCAGGAACTCTCCTCAACGACCAGAATTTGGCTTCGAGGAGCCGGCTGAAGTTGCTCCAGGAAAAGTTACGTTGAAAAACGTTCTCCAATTCATCTACGATCACCAGACTGATCCACTCAAGTGGAGTAAAGAGAACATTGCAAAGCAATATAAGCTTGAAGCAGAGTGTGTTGGTGGGTTCTGTTTTTTTTTACATCATAAATAATTTGATTACATTTGCATAAACATGCAATTCAAATTTTAAAACCTTGGATTACATAACTGAAATAACTATTAACTCACTACTATTTCATCAATTATATAACATATTATAAGAAAAGATAAATCAAAAAGTCTGGTGAAATACAATAATTTTTTTTTGTTTATTGATTATCAAAAATTTATATTACAAACATAAATACTCTAAACTAATTCTTAAAATGCTACCAAATGCTAATGAAATAATTAATGCTTGATTGATCCACAGAAAACATTTTGGCAAACTTTCGTCCCCTGCTAGTACTGGTGCCCGAAGGGAAAAAGGGCAAGAAGCAGCAGACGCTGTCTGTCTCGCAGAGGATACAGAAGCTGTCCTCTTAGGAGGCGTTGCCGCTGCACCTGTCCCAGCGCCAAACAGAGCCATCGTCGCACACGCACACCAGCACTTGGCCGTCACGACTCAAACTTGTTTGCCGAATGGCAGTTGTGCACTTCGGGTGCTGCAGCTGGTGGCATCGAGCTTGTCCTGGCTCGTCCGCTTGGTCGAACTGCCACACATAAGTGCGGCCCACTTGATTGCCCAACGCCAGAGTTGTCTGTCGTTGGTCCATAGCAAAGCGGACAAACCTTTAAATAGTCAGTTAGAAATTAAAAAAAAAAAACTTAAAAAATTTAAAATTGTTTTTTAGATTAATTTTAAAGTAAAAAATTTTGTTTACCAAATTTCGCATTCTTTGTAGTCGAAGCGGTGGAGCACAGTGACTGCCGAGTCGTTCAACTTCAAAGGCTTGCCCAAACGCCCCGGCTGCCAGCAGACGATGCAGTTTTCGCAAGACTTGGAGAGAACAAAGTCTCCAAGCCAGCGGACACAGTCGACGTAGTTGCGGTGAATATCTCGAGTGGAAAAATCGGGGAAGTGCTCCTTCAACGAATTAAACGGTCGGGCGCCAGATCGGAAAGAGTACGACTCCTTGATGGCATCCTTGATGTGCGGCTTGTCCAGGCTCCACAACTTCAACGAGTGGTCCATTCCACAGGACATGATGCGATCGCCCCGCAAATCAAAATCCTGCAAAAAAATACAAGTTTGGGTCAAACGACTAGGGACTGGTGTGCAATTGTGATCAGAGTTAGTTCCTCGAGTAAATAAAGAATCGATAGAAAGTGAATAATTTTTAATTTACCGCACTCAAAACTTCATCTCGGTGGCCCTCGACGCCACCGAAAATTGCAAGGCATATGTCCGTCTTGATGTTCCACAGCCGGAGAGCGTGGTCCTTGGACACTGAGAGGAGCAAATTTGGGTCCTGAGGGTGGAACTTGAGCTCGTTGACTGCATGTCCATGACCGATGTAGTGTTTGATGCATACAGACTGCGAAGGACTGAAAAGTCTGATGATTCCTCGGGAACCAGCTACAGCCAGCAGAGGTCGGCCACTGTCCTCATCCACGGTCCATGCACAAGTGTAATAATTTTCATATGCCTGTAAATTGATCAAATTTATTTCCAATTGCATTTAATAAAATAAAACTGACGTCAGTGTCGGCGTAACATTGGAGCAGTTTGATGCCACCCTCTTCAGGACACTCGTAGATGGACACTCTGTTGGCGCCGACGCAGGCAAACACCACTGGCTGTCCGTCCTTGAGGTGGTGGTTGAACTGAACGCCAAAGAGGGGCTGGCCGTGGTCTTCCTTGGCGTAGCACGTGAACTTGTAAAGGGGCTTCCCGATTGTTTTTGCCGCCTTTCGCCGGTTGCTGAAACGACCTTTGCGTTTGGCGCCCCGCTGAACTGGTGTAGCGCTGCGGGAAGAAGTGTTGTCCGTGGTAGACGCACTTCCAATGCTCGAGGTTTCGTCCTATGGGAAAGAAATAATCATTTTCCAAATTGTTATTTTAAAAATTAAATTTTTCGTGCCAAAAAAAATTAAAATATTTTGCATATGTAAACAAATTTGTTTTACCGCCTCGTTGGTGTTTTCGTCGCCCGATTCTTCGGTGTTGGTCTCGGACGGCTCCTTTCCGTTTTTATTCTTGTTTGTCCATAGCGTGCCGGGAGACATGGTTGATATTTAAATTAATTCAACTCAACAAACGCAAACAGTTTTAACAGTTTATGTACTCGGAAAAAATGGAGATTGAGGAAGGACGAAATATTTCGGGCGGCTGGAGAAGCTTTGTTTTGATGAATTTCGGCTAAGCAGTGCTACCAATTGTAGTATTGAAAAAATTAACAAGAATACCTATAAACTTATTAAAATTTCTTTCAATAATTTTATACCAATATTATTTTAGATGTTTTACACTAAATTTAAACTTTTACTGAAAATATGGTCTTCCATATGGTACAAACATAAAAATTACCGTAACCTAATGTTTTTTGTAAGTTGGTAATTTGCACGTATTTTTATTTTTGTTCTTGGGACACATGCGGACGCGGACACATGTCAGGACCTAAACACGATTTTCTTCTTGATAAGGTTTAATTTTTGAAAACCGTCAGATATTAAATGGAGTCACGTGAAGACGTTGGCCAGATCGTCCCGTGGTTTTCAAGGCAAGGCACTATGAATTACAATTTTCAAGTTAATTTTTATGTGATATTCCTCAGCGATGAGTGGAGAATCGCAGCCAAGCTTATTGCCGGTGAAGATGCCGATCACTCAAAAGCCCTCAGTTTGATGCGGTTGTGGAAAGCTAGGTTTATATAAATAATTTCTATAAATTTCTATAAATTCTTAAATGATGTTGTTTACGAAGGTGTGACACTCTTCCGGTTGGAGTTGAAACTTCAATGGTTCTTCTTTGCGCACTAGAACGAGCGTCGGAAAATTCTGCAATTTTAGATGACCTAGGACAACGATTAGCCCTGAGTGCTGCTCTGACTCGTTTCCTGAACCACGCTCTTACGGCCAGCAAAGACAGTTTCAATCAGTCCATGTTTGAGAAAGCCAAGAGCGCAGACATTCCAGGCTGGATTGTTAAACTGAGACACGAGGCTGCCCACGGAAAATCCGTTCCTGCCCTCGAGCCGTTGTTGAAAGCTGCAAATTTTGCTCTCGACTGGCTACGATGGCACTATTGGAATGAGGAACCACTTGACTGGAGCCCATCTGTACCTCAGATAGCGGAAATTGTAGGAAAATTAATTTTCGACTGCTAAAATTTATCGCAATTAAATTTACAGGTTGACGAGTGGGAAGCTTTATGTGCCTGTCAACATGTTGGCTACAAGAAAATTTCCTCCCTTCCAGACGAGAACTTGAGACTGGCCAACGCTGGAGTCCGTTCTGTGGCTGAAGCTGCTAAAAATGCAGAACAACAAATTTTAGATGCCACCGTCGCCTCACCGGAAAATTTGCTCTCAGCAATTTTGTCCAGTCAAACTTTCCTGACGCCTCCCCCTGGTCTCTACGGCAAGGAGGAATTGCCCGAGTTGTTGATTGCCCAGTGGAGACCCTTGCTAGGCGCCCTGCATGCTGCTCGCTTTTTGCCGCAGCTCATTTTAAAATTGCACGAGAAAAATTCCAGACTGGCTGCCTTATGGAATTTGTATTTATTGGAACGAGTGCAAAAGCTGCGGGCGGCACAGAAGAAGTTGTACTTGTCAGGAGTGGTGGTCAAAGAAACGTCCAGCCTTGCAAGGTTTTTGCAGAAAAAAAGGGAGGAGCACCCAGAGCTGCAAGTTGAGACGGACGCAAGGCAGGCCGTCGGACTGGAACTGGAGTGGCCCCTATTTGTGGCAGCGCCGTCAATAGAGGAGTTGAAATCTCTCACCACCTCCGTAGCCGCAAACCCAAACAAAAATGCTAGAATTTACATTGAAAGGTAAAAATTGTTTTTAACTTAAAGCGGTTAAAATTCCAAACTGAAATAACTCTTATTTATATTCAGGTTGTTATCATTTGCTGAAACGGAAGCAACTACAAGGGACAAAATTTTGCAAATCTGGAGCATATATTTTGGAGAGCAACCTTCCCCAGCTGAGGTTCAGGGAGACATTCAAACATTGGACGATTTAGTAGAAAAAGCGCCTCAATTGGAACAAGGTTGCAGATGGATACGCTTGGGTCAGTTAAATTTAATTTTATGATTCAATCCATCACTAATTTTCTTCAATGTAGATGAATGGAATGCAGAGGCTATTGGAAGACTGCCCTGGCAACAGGGATTTGTTAACTTGGAACTGAATTTCGACAGTTGGGAATAAAACGCTTTTGATTTGTTATTGTCAAAAAAACCATATGTTGTTTATTTCTGTACAAAAATAATAACAATCAACAACTAACCCTGCTGTTGTGCTTTGGGATCACATTGCATTCATTGGAAGGCCTAGCATTGCACACGCCATCTTATTGGTTTCGCTGCATCTGTTGGAAATTGAGAAAATGCAGTCAAAAGCATGTCGAGGGCACGTCGACTCACATTTGGTGGGCGCGCGCTCACACAGATGTGTTGCTGGTCCCATACTTAGTCAGGCACTCGCGATTGATGTCGAAAAACCTGACACAAGCACCAAACGTTTACAAACGAGCACAAACAAATGATACAGTGAAAGGTTAGATGAAAAGAATTACGTGCATTAGAGGGAAATCGATGCTAATAGTAGGAAATTAAAACAAGCTCAAGTGTAAGATATACAAACTGACAGAAAGTTGATTTACCTTCCTCCGGAAATACCAAGAAGGAATCTCCAGTACGACGGTCGCAGGCTGCGCGGCTCAAGGACAGCGGCGTGGAACAAAACGGCAGTCGAGAAGCAATAAAGTAGAATTGTGGCCCACGGCAGCTCAGGTAGGTAGCCCTTGGCAGAGGCTGCGTTGTAGGCAACCTGAAGGGTTTTCCACATCATGTAAAGGGCCACAGTGGGTGACGGATAGAAAGCAAAGGTGGTGCCTGCCAAAAGCCCCGCAGGCACTGCTAGCTTCGGTGAATCGTTGCCTGTCGAGCGTCGTAACAAGCACAGGACCAGCTAAAAAAAATACAAATTTGTTAATATATTTTATATTAATTAAAGTTAAATTAATAAAAATTGCAATTTAAAAAAAAAATTGTTAAAACTAACCCTGAAGATTCCTGAGAATCCACCCAAGAAGGCAGCAAGTCCGTAGGCATCTTTTCCAAAAAGCATTCTACCCAATATCGAAGGGTTCCTGGCTATTTTCTTAAAGCGTAGCAGCAGGTTCAGGCAGGCCTGAAGACCGTATCCAACCGCAAACTGCTTGGCTGCCCCGTGCAGAGTGTAGTGCAGGCAGCTGTGCGGATGGGGACACGCTGGGTGACGACCCTGCGCCTTCAGAAACTCAACAAAAGGACGAAGGCTCTCGTTGACAGTTTGCGTCAGGGAGAGCAAAAGCCAAGGTCGCCGACTGGACGCTGAGCCGGTCTGCGATGGATTAGCCAAAACTTCCCTGTAGTCCTTTTGTTCGTACGGCCCCACTATGAAACTGCGAATTTGGATTCCAAATTAGTTTATATTGCTACAATGAAGATTTCAAAGCAAAAAATATTATGGATATTTTAGAGAATTATTTCCTGTGTAGAAAATAATGACTGCAACTTCCTTTATTAATTCTTTTAAAACAGAATATATTAAAAATAATACAGGCAAAAAATAATAAATGCCCTATTGTTAATCTGTGTCATGAGAACCACAATAAATTTACCTAATTAAACTGTAAACGGAATCATTTCCTGATCTGGTCTGTGATCGATAGAAGTACAGAAGCGACGAAAGTGCCGCCATGAAGATGTAGACCTCTCCATGGGGAATAGGCTTCACGAGACCCCGCCTCGCAGCCATTCTGAAAATGGTCTCTGATGCCTGGAAGATCAAAATAAATAAATATTTTTAAGTTTTTGAAGGACTTCAACATACTACGTTGGTAACATAAAGGCAAAGAAGGCTTCTCCTCGACGGTCTCTCGATCATGATGGAAAAGAAGCTGGAAATGAAGGCGGGCACAAAGGACACCGTGAGGTAGTTGAAGTTGCCGGTGATCCGCCTCAAGGAGCAAACAGTCAGCATGAAGGAGTATGCGTGGCAGCTAAGAAAGGCCGTCGACTGGATGATGCCCAATATGGTTTGGCGCAATTGTTTCTTGGTAGGCACTCGGCCTCGCATCAACAGGGCTAGCTGAAAATTAAACATTAACATTAATGAATTATTTATTGAAAAAATATTCTAGTTTGAACTTTGAACCAAAGAAAATTTAAACATGCTGCAAATTAATTTTATACCGTGTAGACAGTGACGTAGATTCGCAGACACTCCTGCACGGAATGCGAGCCGATGCCGGCGGCCGCGTCCGTGCAGGAATTTGTCCATGGATGAGCGTAGTCGCGGCAACTGTATGGAACTGTCTGCAATTTGCTGAAGACACCCATCGCATACTTAAGGTGGGCAGAGCACCACACTTGGAAACAGCCAATAAGTCAATCTGGGCCAAATCTGCGTGCTCGGCTGCTGTGTCTGCGGTTGGGCTGCGCAATATGATTCAAATTTTATAGCCTTGATAAAAAAATTGGAGTCAATATACCGCGTGATCGATGTTATTTTGCTAGCAAATGCAGCAGTACGACAGAGAAAGGGCGACGAAGGAGGAGGAGGCACCTGTCAGATTCCTCCACTTCTTCCAGCCGATGTTGATTATTTGCCACGCACTGCTGCCAACTGAATTTACCGCATTTCATTTGATACCACTCAAATGAACAATTTTTATTACCAGGCAGTGATATTTAGTATCAAAAAAATTAATTAGCAAAAATTTCAAATGTTTTTCTAGTAGAATTTTCGAATAATTATTTTTTGTTTAGCTTTAGATTTTTTCCAGCTTTTTTTTCTCAGGGTGATAATTATGTATTTTAACATATTTGGTCAATCTTTGATCAAAATGATATTGATAAGAAATAATTGTTTGAATAGTAAAAACTGATATGATTGAAACAACGTTGAAAATACTGACCTATAGACTTAAGCTAAATATCTTATCTTATCTATATATACGCGCTGCTTATTTCATAATAAAATATATCATGATAAGCAACAAAGTTGAAGTCTTTTTTAAGCAACCACTTCAAGAAGAGAGAGCTAGGCAATTGATTATGTAAAAAATTTAATAGCAGAAAAGTAAAATGTATTGACAAAATACAATTATAATGGTCCACATAATTATTAAAATAAAATCAAGATATAAGTGTGTGTATAATTTGGCGTTGTATTATTTTTTATGAAATGTCATAGTGTATATTGAACGTTTTTACAAATATAAAGACAATAGAATTTTCATATAATTATCATTATGGAACATTATAATAGTTATATAACATTTCAAAGTGTGATGTATAATTAATAAATATCAAGTGATTAAGAGAACGAATGAAGACTGTCGTTGCCTCAATCGATCATATGAGTCGTCGCAATTGGCACCTCAGTGGCGCCAATACTATAAATGCACCAGCATACATTTTATAACATATTTATCTCACAGTCTCGGCATCAACCTAACGTAAATCACTGAAACGACTAAAAAAGATTTCTGAAAACTTCTCAAGAACACGAAGCATGAACGATTAAGCCACACATTTGAGAGACCCACAGAGGAGTTTCCACACAATATCTAAAAGGATAAAATTTTTGCAGAGCTTAGAAGTGGTTCCATTGGTACAAAAAGCAATCCAGTTGCCAACGTACACCAAAAAGCAAAAAATTGACATTTGAATAAGAGCTCATCGTCTGAATCTCGATTAAACTTCGATTTTCGGTGGAACCCAGCCACCGAAGGCTTTTTCCAGCTCAACAGCCATGGCCAGAGTGAGTCTGTCTTGGTGGAGGCCACCAACCACCTGCAGGCCGATAGGAAGGCCGTTGGAGGAAAGACCCAGAGGAATTGCTGTGGCTGGAAAGCCGAGAACGTTAATAATGGCAGTGTAAGAAAAGTTGAATGGCCGCAAGACGGGTTCGTTGTGGTACGGTGCAGGCGTCGGATGAGTGGGGTAGAAAAAAACACCCTCCTCTCCTAGGAGGGCTTGCATTTCGTCGTGCAGCTCTTGGCACATGGAGAAGAGGCGATCGTAGCCGGGGGTTCCAGGCTGCACGCCCATTTTCTCAGTCAAGGCAGTCATTAGAGCAATGAATGTGTGATTCGACTGTCCAACTGTCCACTTCATGAGTTCCCATCCCAAATTGATCGAACCCTAAAATAAATGATAGTGAGAATTTAAGAAAAACAAATTGTGGACTTCTTCTCACCTCGCAATTTGCTAATTGCTGGCAAAAGTCAGGAGTTCCGACAATGTTCATTTTGGCCAACCAAATGGAAACAGCTCGTCGTAACCTTGGCAAGTCAATCTAGATGAATTATCAAAATATTATTAAATACAATAATATAAGTAAGAGAAATTTTGGCACCTTTGTGGGCTTGAGACCGTGGGCTTGTGCGAGGTAGTCGAGGACTTTCCGCATGCTCTGTTTGATTTCAGCGTCGACTGGACTAACATGTGGATTTCCACCGTCGTCTTCCATGTAATAAATGCGAAGGCGTCTGAGCTCAACCTTCCTGTCCAATTGTAAATCACGGTGGGCCAGAACTTTAACCATGGGCAGCAAATCGGTGGCAAACTTGCACATAGGCCCTGTGCCGAGGTAAGTCTCGTGAGTTTCGGAGGCCACTGGCCACTCTCCGTGATTAGAAATTGTGCCTCTTGTGGGTTTGTGGCCGAAAATTCCATTGAAGAAGCAAGGCATGCGAATCGAACCCCCAATGTCAGAGCCAAGACCCATTGGAGTTCCTTCAAAATTTCAAGACAAATTATATAAAAAAGGTTATTTTGAAAGAAAATATTACAAACCTGCTGCAGCCTGGATGCAGGCTTCTCCACCTGATGAGCCTCCGACAATTCTGCTTGTGTCGTAAGGGTTGTTGGTGCGGCCGTGCACCCGATTGTGGCTCTCCCACCACATGCACACCTCGGAGGTGTTTGTGATGGCAAGAGGAATTGCTCCTGCCTTCCTCAAACGCGCCACAGTCTCAGCATCTTCAGAACCTCTGATGTGTTTCCGGCAATGCAGTCCAGCGGTAAAACTCATTCCTTTCGAAAAAGATAGAAATTTCAATTTTTTCCACAAAAATATAAAAGATTTTCTAGAATAAGAAATTGATAAATTATTTACCTTCAACCATGATGGCGTCTTTGGTTGAAAAAGGTACTCCCAGAAAAGGGGTCTCTTTCAGGATTTCCTCCGGCGTCTTCTTTGTTGTTGCGAGCATTCGGTCCACAGCCCTTGCCTCCTCCAGGGCCTCCTCAAAGCGATGGTCCACGACACAATTCAAAACGGGATTGATTTCTTCGATCCGATTGATAAAAGCCTTCACCACCTCTTCACTTGTCAGCTTTGAATTTATAAAAATTAAATTTTGATAAAATAAAAGTATTTTTAATTCTTACCTTCCGCGATCTGATTTTCGCGGCTATCGATGTCGCCGGTTCCAGGAGAAGCAAATTCTTGATGGGCGGCATGGCAGTCCTGCCCTTGATGGCGTAGGTGGCCCTGAAGAGGATACCGCTGAGCAGGTCAACCAGTCGGCGCAGGAAGGAGAGCCACTTGGCGCGCGCTTGTTTCCACCACGACATTCTTCGCTCTGCAAGTTCAATTTCAATTTATTTTCACGTCCGCAGGGCTTCAAACTGACATTGACACTAAAATCTGGCTGATGAAATCTATCACGTGCATCATGTGTAAGAAAAGGGGAAAGGGTAAAAAAATTCATTCTAAATAAAGGTTCTCGAGCGCTGAGCTGAAACTTTTTATCTGCTTTGGTTTCCTGTCCAAAACCGACGTTTCCTGCGATTTACATTAGCATTGCATTAACACGTGACTTTTGCATGATAAGAAACTTCATCAAGTCGATATATGTTGATTTCCTTGTATCAGCCAGAAATAATTTAATAAGAAAGTGCAGGAAACAGTTGTTGAAACCAGTATACATATATATCATTATGAAAATAATTTGCTATGTGAACTGAACTGTGACTCACAGAATTCATAGGAAGAAAGCGAGATGAAGAAATAATTATCCCTTGTAAATAAAAAATGGTTGAAATTTGTAACAATATTATTCATTCAATTTTCTAAGTTTCACTTAAATTCTAATAACACGAAAATTTCTACGCAAGGTTTTTTCCAACCTAATGAAAATTGAAAATAATGTGAACCGAAAACACACAGAAATAATTACATGAAGAAAAAGACAAAAAGTACTGCTGTTTTTACCAGGCGGAGAAGTTGCTGTGGCTTTAGAAGTTTCGTGTCTAATTTTAGCAACCTTCGCCTTCACCTTACGAGATATCTTGCCCATTTTATGTACTATTCACCTGCTGGGAATGAGCACGGAATTTCAATTAACAAAATTCGTCACCAAACACAATTCTAGCAAATAAAGTAAGTTAAATAATTAATTTTTAACAAACAAAAAAACAATAATTTTTTAATATATTCGAAATGAGGGTGATTCAACAGAAAAATTTGCATAATTAGGACTTCCCGTGAAGTATCAGAGCAAAAAGTCAAGGTTTCTTGCTGATCTTGATCTCTTTTGCTACCGTAAAAAATTAATGACAAAGATCGAATAAAAAAATAAAAATGCATGACATAATATATCAAACTAGAATAAATAATGGTGCTAATGGCTTTGAAATGATCTTATAATAAAGTCAAAATGCTATTTAAAATAAATTATGGAACAAACATAGTGAAGAAAAATGTTAATTAACACACAAAGACCAAAAAGCGACGGAAAAATGTAGCACTCTCCCTCTAAAACGAATTGTTTGTGAGATAAAACGGCCACACGCATTAGCGTCGAAATTTGTCAATTAAACGACTTTCGCATCGATTGAATTCAACGCAGCCATACAAGTGAGAGCGAAAGCCGGCTGAAAATGTCAAGTCAAAAATAAAAATAGCAGCTGGAAAGTTTCACGACGGGGAGGAAAACGCGTATGAATTAATATGCACCTTATTTTTATGCGTTCGATCGGACGATTTGCAGACAAAAACTGTCGTAAAGTTTCCCGCAGATCTGCTCGTGGTGACCTTTTTCGGACGCTGGACAATCCTTTCGAATTGGCGTCCTTCCTACGACGCGGGGACCACAGAAAAACAGCTTTTGGTCTCACTTCTCGGGCTTGGGTCTCACTTCTGGTTGTTTCTGGCCATTTAACCGATAGTGTTGCCAACATTGTAAAGTTTCGCCGATGTAATTAAATCTCATATAATCTCTACAGAAACCCTATAATTATATAAAATAAATATTTTTTTGTAATTTGAGCAGTATTGAAGTATTTTTTACAGTTAATTAATGAAAAAAAGCAGTTAAAACTCGAGATAGTTGGATAATTATGAAAGGCTGGTAGTGTACAATCTATACTCAATGACTCACACCCGCCCACTTTTGCATAGCAAATCGCAACTCGATCCTCGATCGCTGTTTTTCTCAGATAAAAATAATTATTTTTAATTTTTTATGCACTCCGGTCTCCTGTCAAGAAAAAAATCGCCACTGCACAGTACACTACACAAACTTAGCTTCTTAATACATAATTTAAATGTTAATCTAAAGAAAATTTTACAATTTTATTGAAAAATGACTGACCGAGATCTGAAATTAATTTTGAAGGTGTTTAATGTTTTTTTTGTGTGCTTTTGATTTGTGCTTAATTTTCGTTTACAAATTTTCTCCAGGGCCTTCTAAATGACCGTACAGATGACATTTTGAAGTTGGACCTTCTCTATCAACTCGAGTCTTTGGAAATTGACGTCACTGGATTGAATGCGGCTTTGAATGTTCTCCGAGCCTTGCAGAACAATGAAGCCTTTTTGAATGATCCTCTCCGTCTCATCCGATCTCAGTCTATTCACACTGCCACGGCCCTTTTGCTAAATTGCCATGCAAAGGTATAAAATAAGGATTACATAATTTATTTAAAAATTCCTAGATTATTCAAGGGAAATTTCACGTTTTCAATACTTTTTATTGTTTAAAACAGGGTTTAAACTTTAATATTGTATTAATTCTCTATTTTTTTATTCAGTTCGGCCCAGAACTTGTTAAGGCTGCCATGGCAAACCACATAGACTTGCTGCTGTCCTTTTGCAATGGTTCTGATGCAAATTTAAAAGCGGTTGCTGCTACTAGTCTATCAGAAATTCAACTTTGCTTTAAAGTAAAACGTTCCAATTAACTGTAAAGGCCAATTTTAACTTTTCTTATTTTTTAGGACTTGCTGGGCCCTTGTGTGGCCGTTATTGATACCTTGGCGGCCTTTGAGGCCTCTGCTGCTCATCAGCCACTCCTCCAGCTGCTATCCCTTTTGGCTACTGAAGAACAAACTGCCGCTTTCCTGATAGCCCAGCTGCCCCTGCTATCAACTCCTGCGGCCGTTTTCTTGGCCGCTCGTCTGGCCTCTTTGGCGACTCCGTTTCTCATCCGACCATTCCTGCAACAAATCCTGGTCACCTTCGACTTATCTTCTTTGTGTGCCGCAGTCCGACTGTCCCACTTTCTGGACGACTTTGGTCGGGTGCGTCTGTTGAATCACTTGCTCGGACTGAGCAAAGACCCTGGCCTTGCTGCGGCAGTCAGGCTGGTGCTATTGGACATGGCAGTTTACTTCAGCAATCGCTCCAACCTGCCCATTTCTTCTCCGAGTTTCACCCCGGCGGACGGTGCACACAGCAAACTGAAAAAGGCAGCCATCATGTTCGCCGAGCCAAGCAGCCAGTCTGAAATTGCTGCATTGGAGTCGATTGTGGAAGACGCAGCCAGCACTAAAAACAAATCTGTAAATGCCAAAGTTCTCTACCTGGCATCAAGAAATGAACAGCTAATAGACGTCTGCAAAAAGTATAATCATTTCTATAATTAAATATTATTTTAATTTTATTTTTGAAGGGTCGCTGTGGATCTCACTTTGAAGGATCTGTCATTTGCCCCTCATTTTCTTCAGTTGGTTCAAACTGTGCCAGAGCTGGAGCCCTCGAATCTGATGTCGTCTTTGGTTTCCACTGAACCTCCGCACCCCAAGCATCTGTCCCACTTTATAATGCTTTTGAAACAAGCAGTTGCATCAAGAAGTGCGGCCGTTGCCCGGCCCAAAGAGAGTCTCAGTCTAGCGGCCCGCTTGGTCAACTCGTCCTCGGAAGGCCTCTCTCCCAACACAGCCCACAGACTTTTGTCCGTTTGCCATCAAATAATCAAGGTTTTCGACCCTGCCGACTTCAATACAGAAATGACTGCCCTGCTCTCTGCTGTTGCTGCCAAGTGTCCGGAAGAAGATGTGGCCGCTCGAGTCGTATCTTTTGAATCCCTGCTAGGTTGTCTGACGGACTCAAAGGTCAGGGAAGTGTTGAGGTCGCAGAAAAAGGGCCTGGTTGCTGGTTTATTCCACAGACCGCAGGCTGTGAAAGTAATGGAGCTTCCTGCGATGACTCTGCAAGTGTGCAAAGCCCCAGTTCACGTGCCTGAAGAAAAGAAGTCTGAGCGAGTAATTCAGGGGACTGATGTCCTCACCGAGTATTGGCCTCTAATTCAATCATCTAAGCAGCGCCAGATTAAAATTAATATTTTGGTCACTCCGGAACAAAACGAACCCTTAAATGCAATAGCCGTATTTTTTGAACCCCTTTTACCATTCGGACAAATGGAACCACTTTTGATAGGGCGGGTGTCTTCGAAAACCAAAGCAGTTGGAGCTTATACACCTGAACGTCCTTACCCTGTCATCCTTGCAGCTCGGGCTGAATTTCAAATGAGTGGCCGTTCGTACTGCTGTCCTCTGCAGGACCTGACCATTGGATTGGCGAGCCTTTTCCAGCCAATGCCTGGAGGCTCGAGAAAGCAGGTGGCCAAGGCCATGTGGGAACACATGAAAGAGTGGCCTGAAGCGTCGGTTGTTCTGCCTGAAGAAGCAGCCAAGGCCAAGTTGAAGGAATTGAAGCCATTTCTGGTGAATCCAGGTGGAAACCTGGTCACTACTTTTCTAGCTCCGAGCAGCCACTTGCTATTCAAATTCGGCAACATGGACTCGGCAGTGGTGAAGATTGATATCAAGACTGATGACGTGATACTACTGGCGCATGCCAATGACTTCTTGCTCAAGTCAAAATAGAAAATTAACTGAAAATTATACAAATATTACAGCCTTAAAAATAAAGTTATTCCATATTATTTTTAACTGTTTTTTTTTTTTCTTAAATTACCATCATGTTACTATAAATTTAACTGGATAGTAAACAATTCAAAAAAGATATTATTTTCAGTAAATTAATCGTTTATACTAGAAAAAAAGTTTGAACAGTCAAACGTAAATATGTACAAAAGTCACAAATTAATGAAAACAGAAAAGAATTAATAAATAACAGCAGTCGGTGGAATGTTAAGAGTTGCGAGGCCGCTGCGCCAAATGCTCAGAGTCGGCGGCCTTCGAGTCCTTGTGGGTGGGTGAGGGCTGGAAAAAAGCTGCCCTGTTGACCTCGGTCTCCTGAAGGGCCACGTTCCAGTCTGAAATCCGACAAAAACAGTTCAGGATAACGAAAAAAATAAAATTTGATCAAAATTTACGGTTGCAGATGAACTCAACGAGCTCCGTGTGCTGCGGCGTCAGCGACGAAGGATGGTGAGGCTGCTCAGGCCGCCTCTTCGGGGCCAAGCCGTTGACCGAGCCTTTGGGCGAGCTGAAATGAGATCGCGATTAGTGCAACGTGCGGCGCCGCAAGAGCAGAGATTCACCTCATTTAGGTTCGGCCAGGGCCTGCGGAGCAAAAAGGGTGCGTTAGTTGCACGGTCGGGACTCAAAGGGTGCCGAATTACCTTGCAAACACGAGCGGCAGGGTGGTTGAGCGAGTGTCAACAACACAAACACTCCACCAACCGCGGATCACGTGACCTGAAAACACGTCTGCCAATAAAAGGCGTCGACCAATCGCGGACGAGAGTTTTGCATAAGACCATTTCAAGGGCGCGTGCCAAACCTTGAGCACCTGCAGCCTTTGTCTCACTCTAACCCTTAATAAAAACGTGCTTTGAAAACTTCATCGCGGTAAAATTTTTTTCACAACGATAATCAATAATAAGGGATCTTTATTTTCATTAATATTTGCGTGATAAACAAAAATTTGCTACGAATCCACTCATCTTGGACTTTTCCCGCCCCGGAAACCTTGAAGACAAGTGAGCATCGGCGATGACGTCACGTGACACTCCCCTGGGTGGTTCTCCTGCGGCAGCGATAAACAGAGAAGGCAAAACTGAGATGTCCTCTGCTTCCTGCTGAGAAAAGTAAATAATTAGAGCGAATTAGGGAGCCGAGCGCCAACTTTTAGTCAAGATGGCCTGCCGAATGCCCCCATGTGTGATCGACGTCGGCACCGGGTAAGTCGAAACTGGCCAAGTGTGCAAAAGGGTGTTGAAATAATGAATCGATTGCAGCTACTCGAAGATGGGCTTTGCGGGCAACAAGGAGCCGCAGTTCATCGTGCCCTCGGCCATCGCCATCAGGGAGAACGCCAAGGTCGGCGATCAGTCGGCGCGCAGAATGACCAAGGGCGTCGAGGACCTCGACTTCTTCATCGGGGACGAGGCGTTCGAGGCCACCGGCTACTCTGTCAAATATCCGGTCCGACACGGTTTGGTCGAGGACTGGGACTTGATGGAGAGATTCCTTGAACAATGCATTTTTAAGTAAGTTTTTATTGACTCATAGATATTAAAATATATAATAAATTTTCCAATCCTGCAGATATTTGAGAGCTGAACCTGAGGACCACTACTTCCTCCTCACCGAGCCACCTCTGAACACTCCTGAGAATCGAGAATACACGGCTGAAATCATGTTTGAATCCTTCAACGTTCCCGGGTTGTACATCGCTGTGCAGGCTGTTTTGGCTTTGGCCGCCAGCTGGGCCTCTCAGAGTGCATCCAACCGCACCCTGACTGGTATCGTCGTCGACAGTGGTGACGGAGTCACTCACGTAATCCCAGTCGCAGAGGGATACGTCATTGGTAGTTGCATCAAGCACATTCCCATTGCAGGTGTGATGTTTGGATTAAAAAGAAAAATTCCATGCTATTTTATTAATTATACAAATTATTTTAGGACGCAACATCACTTATTTCATCCAGTCACTGCTGAGAGAGCGAGAGGTGGGCATTCCCCCTGAGCAGTCTCTGGAAACCGCCAAGGCAATCAAGGAGCGCTACAGCTACATTTGTCCTGACATCGCCAAGGAATTCGCCAAGTACGATTCCGACCCGTCAAAGTGGATGAAGCGTTTCGACGGAATGAATGCAGTAACCAAACAACCCTTCGCAGTAGATGTGGGATACGAGCGCTTCCTTGGTCCAGAAATTTTCTTCCATCCGGAGGTAAATCTCCAATCTTTTGAGTTATCTTTGAAATTTGATTTAACTTGTTTGTAGTTTTCAAACCCGGACTTCACCACTCCAATCTCGGAAATTGTGGACACCGTAATTCAAAACTGTCCGATCGACGTGCGTCGGCCCTTGTATCACAACATCGTGCTGTCCGGAGGTTCAACCATGTTCAAGGACTTTGGCCGACGCCTCCAGAGAGACATCAAGCGCACTGTGGATGCCAGACTGCGACTTAGTGAGACTCTTAGTGGTGGCCGAATCACCCCTAAGCCAATCGAAGTGCAAGTCATCTCTCATCACATGCAGCGATATGCTGTAAGCTTTTTCCCTTAAAATTTTAATTTTTTTTAATAAATTCAAATCTCAGGTGTGGTTCGGAGGCTCAATGCTGGCTTCAACGCCAGAATTTTACCAGGTGTGCCACACCAAGGCCGCCTACGAGGAATACGGTCCCAGTATTTGCCGGCACAACCCTGTCTTCGGCACCATGACCTAAGGAGCAATTACGGGTAAACCCGAGCATTCCGCAAGAGCGCGTGTTTTTTATCTTACTATTATAATTTCTGGCTTTGTTACTGATCTTTATTACTAAATACTATTATCGTTTAAAAGAGAGTTATGCTAAATAAAAAAAAATTATGTCAATATAAGAGAACACAATAAACGAAGAGTACCAGAGAAAATTAACTTGTCTGTTATAATAATTTATTTGCATCTATTTAATAGTGACTTTGACTGTTGTTTATGTACAGACTTGCAAGTCGTTAGTAACTAAATGTTTCTAGTTCAAATCACATATTTTTATGCTGATAGAGCAGCACCCAATTGGAAGGCTGGTTGTATCCTATCAAAATTGGCAAGTGCAAAATCAGGGAGAGGTGGTCATCGTCGACGTTGCCGCTGACCAGGGTCCACTTGTGCAGCCAGAGCACCAAGTCTTCCGTTTTCACATTGACCGGATTCAGGCCTCTTAGAAAACAAGCCTGTTGAAAGAGGAAAAAAATTAGCGTCTTTTACAATGACTGAATTATAAAACAGTAGAAGAGTTAAAAATGAATTTTCATGAAGATTCACTTCTTCACTTGATGCAGTTATTCTTTTTAAAGACTACCATCTCAATTTGAATTAATAAATAAAATTAATTACATTTCTAAGTTCGTCATTGCTCATGACAGTGACGCCCTCCTGTGCCATCATGAAATCCATTTCCCTGAGAATTTTGGCACGATCCCTGAGCCTCTTTCGCCTCCTCCAACCCATGTGCATGCCATGAAGACGGACCAGCGCGTTTTTGTGATTGGCCCACAGGCCAGCCAGACCAAAGGGCTGGATCTCTGCAAACAGGTCTCTGACATTTTCGATTTGCTGAAGGTTGGGATGCGATCCACTTCCGAGCAGACCGACAATGTGAGCCCAGCGATTGCGAAGGTCGCCTTCATCGAGATCATCAAGGCGAGTCTGCGTTTTAAAAATTAAGTCAAAAATTGTATTTAATTAATTTAAAATAATTTAATAAACCTGAAGGCACCGAAGGACTGGTCTTTGGTTGTAAAGTCTCTTTCGAAGAGCGATGGCAGCAAAATCCACCCTTTGCTGGAGGGACCAAAAGTGTCTGCTCAGGAGATGCCGAGGAAAGATGTAAGCAAGAGGAAAGATGACGTAGTTGGCAAAGGGCAGGGCAGATATCAGGAGGACAGGGGCGACCCGAATCATGTCCTTCGGCATCTGGAAATGCAGCTCCAATTCTCTCCTAGAAAGTCCATCCGTGCCTCTCTTGCTAATCCACCTGGCGATGCTAAAATAGAAACAAATTAAAAAATTATTTAACAAAAAACTAATTTCATTTAAAAATTGAAATGTTTTAGAATTAATATTTAATTATTTGCCAGTAAAGTTTAAAATATTTTACAAAGTTTAATAATAGAAATTTAGTTTTTTGAAAACAAGGTGATTTCAGAAGATTTTTTCAACCTAAGGAATTCCTTGAGGTCCTCGTAGAAGTCCTTGATGCCGACCACGAACACCCTGTAGACGTGCATGGCCGAGGGGAAGTTCTTTTCCAGGGTATGCTCGAAGCGCCGGACGTAGTAAACATAGCGAGAGATGGTGTACCTTCGCATTTTGCGCTCGATGGCGTCCTTGTTGGGCGGCTGAGCCTCTCCGTGACAGCATCTGCAAAAAGGTCATTCAGCCTGACATTCGGGACGCAGGGGTCGACTCACCTTTGCGCAAGGGCAGGCGCTCGGAACACGATCCTCCTCAGGACATGACCTACCATTTGACCAGCATGTGATTTCGAACTGATTCGAATTCGGCGCCCTCGAGAATGGATCTGTGCGAAAAATAAACTCGTTAAGGTTTCCCAGCACCGCCACAGATGGCGCAAACTGGACGATTCCTCGATGGTCATTCAAGTGTGCAATATTTCGCATCATGATATTTTTTATACTAACTTTCCTTTAACCCTTCATTTATACCCTGGAAAGTTGCAATTCCCATAAATATAACATACATTCCGGCAAATTTATATGTCCCAATAAGTGATACAAAATTAAATTTTCTCTTATTTCTTTCAAATTCTTATTATTTAATGCTATAACAAAATTTAATAATTTTTAATTTTTCAAAAAGGATCGTAAAATTATTTCCTGATTATAAATTATGAATTTTAATGAGAAATACCATTGAAAAAAAGAGCTTATCTGAAATAACTAGCAGATTATATCAGTATAAAAAAATTTTAAATAAAAAAACTGCAATCAATACTTAAAAAATTTATACTTGATTGCTTTTTTACTTCATCTGAATATAAAAATCTACATTACTATGTGCAGCAGAAAGTAAAAATTTTGATTCAAAAATTTTATAAGCAATTTTGATAATTATTCAAAACTTTTAAATTTTAATCAAATAAATTTAAAATTTTAATCTGATATAATTCTGTCTGTTAATAAATTTGTAGAATTTTGTGTTGAATCTATCTTTTTTTTTTTTTAAACATTTCATGTGCTATAATAAAATATATAATGAATTAGGGAGGTTGTCAAAATTTTAAGGGGCCAGAAGTGTAATTTGATCATACGTTGGCATAAAGAAATTTGTAGTTATTTGGGTACATCTAATTGCGACATTACCATCATAGGGCCGCACTTATTATTCATAGTAAAATTTAACTTGAGATTTAGAGACACAGAGACTAAATAAACTTATTAAATTTCAAAGGGATCATTATTATCTCTTAGCTGAAGTGAATAATGTGGCCTGCAGTGGCCTGCAATTATAAATTAGGGGGTTACAAAACTCTTTTGAGCAAATTAAATTTAGAAATAACAAGGTTAAATTAACTTTTTTGCACTGCATGCAGAAAAATATATAAGGATTGCAATCAACGAGCGCTCTGTACAGCGAGCGGGGATTTTTCGAGCGAATTATTTTTGACATCAGCATTTATTTTAATTTCGGCCGGCGCGTTTACTCATCGGGAAGATGCGGAGAAATATAAGTACTCGTCTCTTTGCGGGCCACAGACGTGTTAATAACGCGATCAAAAATATACGCACCACACTGAGCAAAGCCGACGAGAGCGTAATTTTAGAGCAATTTCGGCCGAGTGTGCGTTCCCAACTGAAAAATCCGCGAAGCTCCATAGCAGTAAAAAAGAAGATATGGAACTTGGCCAAATTGGCAACGCGGCTTGCAGATAAAAAACAAATTAAATAAATCCACCGCGGAACAAAGATAAGAAACACGAAATAATTAAAACCGACTCGTATTTTTCTACAATAAATTTACATCGAAATACGAGAATGAGAGATAAAATCCAGAGTCAAAAAGAGTTTGTTTGTTATAATAAGTTTATGTAAGAGATGCATCTTCCTTATATAAAAAAATTCCCCGCATCTCGTCCACACAGCGAGCATATTTATTACACCGAGAGATCAAATCTCGGTGGGATTATTTCTCCTTGACCGTGACCTTAACTATTAGAGAAAAATTTATATAATAACAAATATCAGCCCTTCTGCACGACTTTCTTTCTTTCTTTATATGAATCGATTTTCCTCCCTTGATGCACGTATGGGGGACAAATTGCATGCTGACAAAGCGCAAGTGAAAAAGAGTTGGAAAGCCGTACAAAAGAAAAAGACTCTCCTCCGAGTGTGCCTTGCCTTGCACTCCTCGACACTCTATCTCGGTGGAAGCGGAATTTTTTTATTTCGATTTGAGCAGCAGGGCCGCCTTGAGAAAAAAGTTGGCCTTCGTCTCGAGCGCGCCGTTTTTACACAGCGAGGAAATGAGGCGCACGGGAAATTGGGCAAACTCTCTTTTTACTTCTCATTCACTATCACCGCCGGTTTATCAAAAAAGGAAGCGGCGGCGTAGGCGTTTCGAAATTTCTTTTTCGAAAAAAAAAATGTGGAAAAATGGGTTTTCGGACTGAATCATTGGGGCCATTCATGCTTTCCGCTGGAATTTCAAACAAACTTAATATAAAAATCGTACGATGATTTTGTGACGTCTTCAGCTGCGAAATGAGGAACTGCGGTTTGGGATTTTTCGCTAGCTAATATTTTATAATAAAAAATGTGAAGCTCATTTACTACTAGAAATATCGAAAATAGGAATATTAAAAAAATTATGTGTTATTCAAAGTCCAAAATTTATGCTCTTTAATCTTCATTGATGTAATTTTAAATTTTTGCTCATTTCTAAATAAAACTTAAAACATGAAAACGGCCAAACTTTCTGATAAAAAAAAAAATGAGATGAAAAATTAGAACTAAAGTTTCGCAAATAAAAAAGGTAATTGTTATATTTTTACGCTGGAATCATGTTATTCAAACAATTGTGGTTGAAATTTCCAATTCATGTTTTCCAATAATTACCATAAATGACTCCTATTCTTGAAAAAAAATTGATTTGACTATGCTGATAAATTAAACTTCTTTTCTCAAAAAATATTTTGAAAATAAATTTCTCAAATATAAATTTATTTAATATGATAATTTACTTTTTATTTCAATTTTATAAGTATAAAATTTTGTTGTTATCTTAGGTGTTAATAAAAATTACACAATTTTGAAAAAAGGGATAACAAATTATTTTAATTATTTATTTATATATTTTTTTAAAATGGTTATTAAATTATAGTTTATAAAAATTAATTTATTTTAAAATATATTTCCTGTTCGGGAAATATACAGCCAGGATATTTTTTTTTATATTAATTTAATTGAAATGCATAGAAACAATTAAACACATAATATTACTCTATCAGTCTATCATCATCAAACTAGGACATGCTTTGGTAATAATTGCGCTCCAATTAAAAAAAATGAATCAATGTCACTGGGAAAGGAGGAAATTTTTTAATATTTCAATAAAATTCAAAGAAACTAATCATTGAAAAATCTTAATGAGAGTGATTATTGATCAAAGGCTACGTGCAGCTCAACACGGTGAGCATCCATCAAGAGATGAGTGCACAATTAACTTCACTTTTCCTCTCTTGAATGTATAAATATAAATATATCGCTTTCCCACTTGAAAACAGTCTCACGTATCGCATTTTGCGAAAACAAGTTAAATGCACACGGCATTATTCTTTTCTTTCTTAAATATTATTTCCTCTTTATCTCTTTCACTCTCGTGAGAGGCGGCGCACTTCTTTCTTGTGCAAAAACAACAAGATTATATCTCTCGGCATCATCATCGTCGCGCCGCCGAGAATATGCAACCCGCAGAGAAATAAAGAAAACGAGGAAAAAATCTCTCTTGTAATATGCACGGATTGAAGGATAACAATAATGGTATTAGATGCATATAATGTGTTTTTACCATACAGTGCAGTGCGCTCATTACACTATAACTTGTCAACCTGTTTTCAATTGTTTCTCTTCACGTTCGAAAGCAAGGTGAAAATGAAAATACACAATATCGTGCCTCAAGTCATCAACAGCATTAATTGTTTTCAACCTACTCGACTCAATATTTTATCGCTGATTTATTTTCCACATCTGAATTGCGTCAGAAAGGATGAGTTTAAATTATGATCTAATGAGTTTTTTTATAATTTAGATAAAAATTATTATTGCGTTGCGGGATGAGTGATTTCCTCATCAACGAAGACGCCTCTGGAATTTTCATAAGTACCTATTCTCTTGTCTTTTTGATGGATCAGACCTTAATTTAATTTTAACGATTTTCGTATAAAACTTGCTGATTCAAATGTCGCATTCTTGTGAATTTCCCATCAATCACAGATATTAATTTTGGTTAATTTGAGCTACGGTTGAGAAAATTTGTGTGTTTTTGTTTTACTGCTAAAATTCTAAGTTTAGAGGAACAATTGTGATTATTTGATATGAATTGCATTTTTTATTTAATTTTTCCTCTTGAATAAAGGTAAATTTTGGTGCAATTTTCAAGTAAAAAATTTGACAAAAATTTAATAATAGATTTTTTAAGTACAAACAGACAACTTGAGATTTTTATCCGTTTTTATCCATTTAATATTTTAATTTATTTGACGCTACAGCCTCAATTTCAGCTTAAAATGTTTAAATCTGCAACATTTGGGGCTCTCTCTTGGTACATTTTTTAGTTTATTTCCAAAACAAACAATTATTTTTTCAGCATGATCTTCTTAAATCGAGTGTACATGAATTATGATGGAAATAAACTTTCTTCGACGGGATTATTATTTCCGAGGGCGGCCGCAGCATCACGCAATGCATTGCTTTCGTTTCGCTTTTCTGGAGATAAAATATTGCGCTCATGAGCCGGGTCCCCTGGCCTGCTATGTTGCCCCGTATGAGCCCTATAATCACCATTTGTCCAAATTTATGGCGCCTTCCAGTCGAAAATAATTACAACTGTGCGCCCGTTCGATTGTTTTTCTTGCGCTGCAGCCGGGCCGAGAGACATAATAAACAGGGCGGACGGCTTATTTATTTATTTGGACTGCGCTGGGTGCAGTTTGGAAAAGAGACACGCCACGCTTGAGAGAAGAGGATATTTTTGGATGTCGCAGCCGCTGCACAAGAAGACGCTACAAATGTGTAACAATGCTGAGGAGTGAAATATACGGGTTGAAAAAAAAATAGCACTTTTGTGTTAGAAACTTACACTGTTATGGCTGAAAGAGGAACGATATAAAATTATACAAGATAAATGAAAATTATTAACCCTGAATATGCGCAATGTGACATTAAAAAAAAAACGACTGGAAATTGCTGGGGATAATAAAAAGAAATTAATTTGATACAAAAATAAAAAACAAACTCTTAATTTTTTCAAATTAATGGTAGAATTTTAGATTTTCAAATGTAA